CGTGGTGGGAGGTGGGGGTGGAGGTAGCAGTGCAGATAGCTTAGATCTGTAATGGAGCCTTGTGACTTTATCCACTGTCCCCCACAGAGCTTGGTCTTTAAGCAGTGGACCCCCCCCCGCCCCTTATACTATATTCAGGGCACTCCCCCCACCCCCTCTCCCGGATCCTAAAATCTTCTTCTTTCGTCTGGCGTTTGAAGAAAGCAGCAGCGTTGGCAGGGCTACGGTTGTATTGTTAATGTTGTAGCCACGCCACGGCATCCGGGGCGGTGGCGGAGTGGAAGAGTCCGTGTGTTGCATTGGGCCTGTTCTGAAGACGGGGGGGGGGGAGAAATAATCGTCACAGTCAAAGTGAGGTCCTGGAGCTCAAATGAGCATGGACGTATTGGTGCTCATCTCCCGTTTACAGCACTGCAGAGATCGTGGAGGAATTTCCGCATGCCTACGACAGGGGACGAGCTATTCGTGATAACAACCATTTGATATCAGCAAAAAGTGGTGCTTATTTTATCGATCCCAGAGGGTGCCAAGACGACGGGCCAAGTTAACCTCCAAACGGGAACGCGAGCCACGCCGCCTTCAGTGCCGTCAACGAATGCGCCCCGCAGCGTAAACCCAGCAGCAGCTGGGGCCACGTGGTGACCAAGAGAGGGCAGCACAGCAAGCGGGCTGACGCACCAGTCCGTGCGGCCTTTTCGCGCGCGCACGCACGGTGCGGTTTTCCTCCAGACCAACTCCGGTTTCCTTCCGCGTGCAAAAATATAAGACTTGACCCAAATATCTCGATGCTTGAGCCTCCAGAGAGAGAGATAGAGAGTTTCGAGGCCTAGCGAGCCTCTTCTGGAGGAATAAAAGGCAGCGCTATTATATTTAGACGGCGGAGACGCGCGGCGTATGCGGTGCGACACCACGGCGGTGCCAGCTCCGCCCCCCGGCCCCCACCCTCTGGTGTCGTGCGCCTGTCCCGTCACCTCTAGCTCATGCAGTGACAGGGCAGCAGGAGGAGGGAGGAGGAGGCCAGATGCCGGACGGACGTATGTTGCCCTGCCCGTGTGTGCGCACTGTACCTGTGTGTGCACGCGGGGGCCATCGCGAGGTCAGGGTTCGCGAGGTCAGGGCTCACGGGGGTCAGCTGATGCCCCCTGGATAGACGCTCACTTCGTCCTCCCTCCCCCTCTCCTTACAGGTGCTGCCCAGTTCATAGTAACAAAGACAAAGATTCCCCGTTTAGCCTTTAACAGGCTGTTGGAGCAAGTGCTGTGAGTGAGCACCTACGAAGGCCGGCACGGCACACGAAGAGTTGGTTGGTCAACACCACACCCAGCCGCCTTTGGCTCCCCAGTGCTGATGTTAACACACCGTATCAGGAACTCGTTTCAGGCTGAGTTGACCTATGGGAGACCCAAGATCAGTTGGGGTTGATAGGGAAGTGTGCTAACCACCGCGCTGCCATTCTCCGTTAATAACAAAGATTCTAAATGGCCACACACACGTGCGCACATCTCCTTTAGTAGGCCAACTCCTCATCCTCCACCTGCTCTTCTTACAGCCGCCGCCTCATTCTACGAGGGCCGCACGTGCACACATCTCCAGTAGGCCCGTGGCGATGGCGCCGCCGATCCTAGCAACTCGGAGTAGCTTGGCCCGACGCACCGAGCGTGCACCAGTTAAGTGTACCTACAATCGGTGTGGGCTTTCAATCCCAGTGTGACGTCATGTGACGTGTGCTGATGTTACGGAGCGCGATCACCGCTCGTTGCAGAGGTTGGCGGTTCGAGCCCGGCAGGCCGCCATGGTTAATACTGCTGCATGAGTATGAACTGTAAAATACCAAGATGCGCCCTCCAATTCACTCACAGTGGGCGTTAGAGGTCCCGTGACATCATCCGAAGAAGAGTAGGCCATTGTGTGCCGGCGGTGCCGCGGTCCAGATTTGCCAAATATAACCCGGCACATTCGTCATTTGGGAACCACCCCTGATAACCTGGGTTATAAGAGTTGTGTGTTTTTATACGAAAACTTGGCAGGAGCCTCCTGCAAAACGAGTCTTGAGGCTTTCCTGGGTAAACAGTGTACTGATAGCATAGCAGCATTACCTTCTAATATGTACATGTGGTCACTAATCTGGGCCTCTCCAGGTCTCTGACCTTTTCATATTGCTCTTATTTCACTAATTTCTTGGTTACTGTCCTCTCGCCGTGATCCTATGCTAAGCTATCTGTGGTCCCACTAATCCGCATCTCTTTGTGTCTCGGAGAGTCTTGTCTTTCGGTCGGCTCGATTGCTGCTCAGAGAACATTTGCGGGATGGTCTGTGACCGGGCGGGAGCTTGAGCCATGGACCTGTTCTTATGCATTGCCCACTGTAAATCGTTACTGCTGAGTTTAGCCACCTCTGAAGGGAAGCAGTGTCTGCCTCTGACCCATGAGGTGCATTGTCCAATTATGTTATCAGAGTGCTCCAGATTGCTTTTCTATTGAACGGCCTGTTAGCAGCCCAGGCCACATCGTCGTGAGGGAGCTGCCAAAGTTCGGCCAATCAGAAGAGTCGATGCCGTACGTTCCTGCAAACTCGATTGAAGATCGCGACGCGTGCGCTCATTGGCTGAGAGGGTGCGTGATGTCACACCGCCCTTGCGAGGCTCTTTGCATCCTAACTCGGAGCTAACGTCCGCCTCTGTGCCTGTAAAACGCACCGGTGGCCTACGGGGGGGGGAGGTGGACTTGTTGGATCGCCACAATTTCACCAATAGATGGAATCAACCCATGGGGAGATGCTTGAAAGAGTCGCTCGTTTTGCAAGGGCAACCTGAGCCGTGAGAGTCATCGCCGCGCCACTGCACATAATTGGGGTCCTCTGTGAATGCGTGCAGTAGATTATGCATTTAACCCAGGGTTTGTTACTGGGTCAGTGGATTTAATGGCAAAAACTAATCCTGTAGGCAAGGTGTAAGCAGATGGTTTGCGTTAATAGGAGGAGGAAAGAGGATTAGGGGCCTCTGTGTCGTGGGGCGTAGCAGGCGCTCGGCGGCGAGACTGCGCGTTGAAGAGATGATGCACACACACACACACCTCGTCCGTTTTCGTGAAGGGCCTCTTTAAACAAACCGGCGGCTTCCCGAGACACCCCGTGTGCATCCTGCCATTGGGCCGCGCTGAGGCCGCGCAGACCGGGCGACCAGCTCCACCCTTGGCGTGTATGTAGAGCGATGATTAGGTTTGTGCGGACGCGAGGCCCTGTCCCCGGGCCCCTTGGCCACGTGGCCTCTTATCTGCTCGCGAAATTGAACCGGGAGTTTGTTGTTGATAGTTGGTGCCGTGGCCACTGCTGGGACCGCCCGCGGTGGTGGCTCCGCTGCGCGTGGCATGGCGTAGCCTGTAATTCAGTACTGGGGAGGCAGCAGCCAGGGTTGGTGGATTGCACAGATGTTGCGTAACTTCCCATGGGCATTAAGTTGCCTGCCATTCCCTGGTTCGTCAGGATAATGCTTGGGTTGCGATCGATCGTCGTGATTTTTTATTAATTTTCTATCTACGCGACTTTACCAAAAGACCCAAACAGTAGGATAATACGGTAGAGCAAGAATATGAACTCCACCTGTTCCGTTTGTCTGGGATAGAGTGTTGCTCCTTCGCATGCATGGGTTTTCTCTGGGTACTCCATGCTTCTTCACACATATAAACACTGGCTAATTGATCCGATAACGCGTTAAATTATCGAGAATTACAGAGCTTGGACCATTGTGGGCGCCAGCTCTGCCTTCCTGTTCGTTTGAGGTTCCTCCTCATGCGTCTGAGCCGTTCTTTCTCAATGATTGCGAGTGATCGCTTGTGCGGCAGTGGTGGCGCATTACAAGTTGACATCATCATTGTTACAGCGTCCACAGTTGGGACAGTGGGGCTCAGAAAGTGTAGCGGCCACTCGGGAGGCGTGGCCCGTCCGCGTGTTGAACCGAACACACCTCGACATGTGGATGCAAGTGTTGGTGCCTTCAACCCCCGGGCGTCGTGGCCATCCGCTTCGCTCACAGTGGACGTTAAAGATCCCCGTGATCTCTTTCAGAGAAGATCAGGCAATTGTGTGGCGGCCGTGTGAGTGAGTTGGTGAGTGGACAAATGAGTGGGTGACCAAACGGGTGGGTGTTTCGGTTCATGGGTGAGTCTGTGGGTGGGTAGATGGGTCAGTGAGAGGGTGAGTTTAGATAGTGAGTGAGTGATGGAGTGATTGGGTGAGTAGGTGAGCGAGTGTTTGGTTTCATGAGTGAGTGTGTGCCTTCGTGAGTGAATAAGTGAGTGATAGAGTGGGTGGGTGATTTCGTTTGTGTTTGACTGGGTCTATTTGTGAGCGGATAAAGTGGTTGGCGAGTTTGTGACAGACCGCCCGGCCAGACCTCGGGAGGTCGCTGTGTCTCTCCGGTGCAGCAGCTGCGATATCTGGCGCAGGGGCAGGAGGCGATGATGGCGAGGAAGGCGAGGAGGGTGAGTAGGTGCGGCAGAGGTCGCAATCGGGTACCCGATACCCGTACCCTACCCGATACCCGTACCCTACCCGATACCCGGCTACCCGTACCCGGCCGGGTACGGGTACGGGTACCCGTTTGCGACCCTGGTGCGGCCAGGTACGGGTACGGGTAGGCCGTGAGTCACTGGTGAGTAACTGTTTGTCACTCATTTCCCAGCGTCTTGTCTCTTCTCACAATTCAAGTTCCTAGAATCAACCCACCCATGCCTGCAACATGGCTTCATCCCAGAGGTCGCAATCGGGTACCCGTTAGCGACCCTGGTGCGGCCAGGTACGGGTAAGGAATCAAAACCCGTTTGCGACCTCTGAGGTGCTGCGATGGCATCGGTGGCTCGGGCCACGGTGACGTCGCCACCTTCTTGGCCTGGACAGGTGGCGCGACCTCTCTGTCTCTCGGTGGGCGCGTCACCGCACATTCACCCATGTCCCGGACGCGCGGTGACGCCGTTGTCTTCCTGTATGCGCACTCCCGGTGGCAGGATTCGTCCCCAGCTGGCCAAGGAGAAGATCGAGGGATGCCACATCTGCACGTACTTGACCCCCGGCGAGCCCCAGGTGGTGTTGGGCAAGGACAAGGCCTTCACGTTCGACTACGTCCTGGACATGAACTCGACGCAGCAGGAGATGTACGCGTGCTGCGTACAGCAGCTCATCGAGGGCTGCTTGGAGGGCTACAACGCCACCGTGTTCGCCTACGGCCAGGTCAGCCGCCACTCACTCCGCCACTCACGCCGCGCCCGTGGATAGATGCTCCGTTTAGTTTCTGGCCGGTGGCGGAGTGGATAAAGCTTGTGCCCTCGCAGCTAGAGCCACCCAGGTTCGATTGCCGACTTTCCGTGTGGAGTTTGTGTATGTGGTTTCCTCCTGTTCTCCAGAGCGTGGGTGAGTGTGAGTGAGTGAGTTTTTGTATGTTCTCTCCCTGTTTTGCAGTGTCAGTGAATGTATGCGAGTGAGTTTGTATGTGCTCCCCCTCATTTAAGCCTTCGTCTTGAATGAATGACGATCGTGATCGTCACGTGTAGTATTATACACAGCGGCAGCGGCGGTAGCGTTCATGCCGATTGCATTTCTCAAAATCGCCGAGGAACCACAGACGAGTGGGAAGGCGGCAGCAGCATCAGCAGCCGGGCAGTGAGGAGCCAGCACCACCAATGACTGCCCAAGCTCTGCGCTCCTCTCTTTTCCTCAGACGTTGCCAGCCAATTAATCATTTGTTTATATGTGTGGGAGGAAGCCGGAGTACCTGGAGAAAACCCACGCGTGCGAGACGTTTCACGCTCTATCCCATACAGAAGGGACGGACGATGTTAGTCCGCACTCTGCTCTTGCGCTTTCTCCTGGAGAGCCGCGGTATGGCACCTCCTCGTAGGCCCACCCACGGGAAAGGAGTTCCGCGATATTCGTGCAGTGATCCACCAACCGTCGCCACCTCCACAGTGCTGGGCTACAGGCCGCGTGCACAGCCAACGCCCCTAACGAACTGATGGAGATGCGCGAGACATCGTCGGCCCTGTGCAGGGCCACCCGGGACACCTGAAGGGGCATTAAACTGGAACGAATCTGGACGAACTCGGAACATTCGTGTAACCGCATTGTGAGTTGTGTTCGTGAGCAAAGCAGGCAGCGATGTAAATGTAATTTCTGAGCTACGAGATTAGGCAAGTGGAGGCATTGGAGATCACATTGCACAGCTTGCGATAGCATTCGATGGTGTGCGACCGTGTGCGATGCCACGCGATTCCGAATGGGCTGCATTTGGGCAGAGTCACATTACACGGAATGGCCTCGCTTGAACGCGTCCTCTGGAATATTTCTTAAAATGAAACTTCCTGCCAGGGCGCCGTGGTGCATGGTGCAGTCTCCGACCGGCCCCTTTGCTGTGAGGAAGGGGCCACTTGCCCGACACGTCGCCTGTCATGGACGCGTGTTTCCCGCAGCGCCACGGCTGCATGAGTTTCGTGTCATTACTGTCGCAGCAGCAACAGCAGCATCGCCATTTTTTTATTTTGCTACGAACATGCCGGGTGACACGGCCAAAGTGCTGTAATGGTGGTACTCCCTGGCGCTACTCTTCAACTAATATTTTGTTTCTCAAGCGTCAAACTCGCTGTTAGGCGAGGTGGACCGTATCTATGAGATAAGCGCTATGGATTTTTTCCCCGGGGGTTAGAGTCGTACGGCGGTGGGGGCAATGGAGACGGTCGGGGCAGTGGGGTCGGTGGGGACTGCGGGTGCGGCGGGGGGCGGTGGGAGCGATGGGTGGGGTGGGGACTGTGGGTGCGGTGGGGGGCGGTGGGAGCGATGGTTGGGGTGGGGGTGTTGGAGGCGGTGGGGATGAAGGCGGCCTCTGCGCCATGCTGGAGCGTGCGCTCGCTGCTGCCAAGCGCTGACCGCGTGGTCGATGGAGCCATCGATAACCGCTCCCTGCCGTGCCCATTATCTCGATTGAACCCGCCCGGCACAGTCACTCGCTCGCTCTCTCGCTGTGTGCTGCCTGCTGCTGCTCGTGTTATTAATCGGAAGAGTGGCCCTCGCCTCATCCCTGTTCCGGGAGCTCTCATCCTGTTCCGATTAAACGCATTGTGCAAACGGGCGTCCGTTTCGCTCCCCTCTGCGACCCTGTTATAAGAAAATGATTGTGACGATAGGAAATAATGATGGTTATTGGCGTGCGTTAGCCATGAGGACGTCACCTCGCGGGCAAGCGTGCTACCACTACAGCCAGCACTTCCCGGTGAGGTGACTCACAGCGGCGGAGCGAGTTGCTCACATTCGCGCGGTCGCAAGTTCAAATCCTGGTTGCGGTACTCGACTTAGCCCATCATCCCTCCGTCCAGGGGTCGATAAGATCAGTACTGCTTCGTGGGATGTGAACTCACAAACTTCATCGTCCGAGCCACTCACTATACCGCCGAGCCGGCTGTATTCCGGTTGAACATAAACAGCAGCAGCAGCAGCAGCAGTGATACTCGTTGTGAACAGTGACCGGCCTTCAGTGCCGTCGATAGATGCGCCCCCGCAGCGTTAACCCAGCAGCAGCGAGGGCTGCGCGGTGGCAGCATACCAAGTGGGCTCACGCAGCCCTCCGTGCGGCCTTTGCACGCATTCACTAACTTGGGCTTCCTCCCGTTACGTAAACAACAAAAAAATTAGCACAAACTTGTCAACGCCGTGACCTCCTGGGAGGTGCGAGCCGCACCCTGGCCGCCGATGCTCCGCTGCCATCGTCGCGCCGCCACGGTGAGCCGTGTCCTCGCCCTTCTGCGTCACAACACCGGCGAGAGCTTGAGAATGAAAATCTTACAAATCCCCACGAGCGTAATGGCTCGGGTGCGGGAGAGAGAGAGCGAGAGCGAGCGAGCGCGCCCGCGGCATTCAAAATTCTTCTCGCCCTAAAAGCGACGATGCTCCTGTCCTGTCACGGCGCGAGGCATCCGCCCGGGGAGGGTGGGAGGGAGGTGGGCCCGCCGCCCTCCCGGGTGGGAGGTCGCCGCTGCTACCGTGGAGCGGGCCCTCGCCTGTCTGCTCGCCGCCCACCCTGGGGGGATTAGCGGGGGGGGACGTCGCCCGGCCCCTCGTGCCATGGGTCGCTCGCGAGAGAGATACTTGGTGAGGGAGACGCGTGATAAGGGAGATGCATGGTGAGGGAGACACGGTGAGGGCGAGTGAGAAGTGTTGAGAGGTGAGGTCAGCAAGGTGAAATTTAGGTTAATGCGGTGAGAGTGACGCGGTGAGGGAGACGTGGCAAGGAGATGCAGTGAGGGAGACGTGGTGACGTGACATGGTGAGCGGTACCGGGCTTGCGCTGTGTGTGGTGCAGACGGGCTCGGGCAAGACGTACACGATGGGCACGGGCTTCGACGTGGCGGTGCAGGAGGAGGAGCACGGCATCATCCCCCGCGCCGTCGCCCACCTCTACGCCGGCATCGAGCAGCGCCGCCAGGAGGCCCTGCAAAACAACCTTCCACCGCCCGACTTCAAGATCAGCGCCCAGTTCCTCGAGGTGACCACCTTGGGCGGTGCCTCGCAGTGCCGAGCTCCTCGCTTCGATTCCCATCTCGAGCGCCTTCTTGTGTGTGGAGTTGGGTGTTTTCCCACTTATCTGCCGAGTGCGATTGAGTGCGTGGGGAGCGGTCGCGTAGCGGTTCGCGCGCTGCGCTACAAACCAGATGACCCAAGTTCAATTCCCACTCACCAGTAACGATTATCTGTACCGGTCCTGGACCTCCGCTAGGTCTACTGAGCCCCAAATGAGTACTTAGTACGATGTGTAAACTTCACCATTAGGGAGACAAAGGTGGCTAGGTATAGTGCTGGCCACCTACTCCCTCGTGTGCCGTGCCAGCCTTCATAGGTGCTCGCTCACAATACTTGCCCCAACAGTGTGTTGAGGTTTTACGGGGGATCTTCGTCTTTGTCGTTTGTACATTCTCCCTCTATGCTGCGGGGTGTGAGTGAGTGAGTGTGTGAGTGGAGGACACTTCACGTGGCCTCAAGGTGCACTTGGCCTGGCACAAGTGTCGTGGTGACGTCACCGCCACTTAGTGGCGAATGGCGGTTGTTGTTGAGTGGAGGATGTATGATTTTTCCCTGTTTTGCATGGATTTCCTCCGGGTTCTCCGGTTTCCTCCCATAGCTAAACGCATGCACACTACAACCGGGGTCAGCCAAACATCAGCAGCAGGGCCCTGCACACTTGCGTGACTCTCCTAAGTAATTGATTATGAAATAACAACACACAAACCGACCGAGGACATAAGATTGGCGCCACGAAGAGCGCGTGTTGGAGCGACGTGCTTGTTGTATTGGATCTCGTGTGTCCGCAGCTGTACAACGAGGAGGTGCTGGACCTGTTTGACGGGACGCGAGACGTCGAGTCCCGCAACCGCAAGTCCAGCATCAAGATCCACGAGGACGCGGCGGGCAGCATCTACACAGTGGGCGTGACCACGCGCGCCGTCGCCACGGAGGAAGAGGTCGGTTGTGCCTTTTGACCTCGTCGCGTTCGGGGGAGCTCAGGAAGGGGGTGGGCGGGCGGAGAGGGCCTCGGGGTGGCCTCCCGTGCGATGGCCCCGCTTGCGGTCGTACGTGGCGCACGGGCCCTGTCCGGTCACGCCGTTCCCATTCGTGCCTGAGGGTGGGGGGGGGGGGGGGGGGGGGGCGGGGGGGTGGGGGCAACGAGTGAGGTTGCGGCTCGGTTCGGCGTGGCCCATGCATCACGGCCACTTGCTCGCGGAGTGGGAGAGCGAGACATTTGTTACAAGTTCCGGCGTTGTCACGTTTCATTTGTCAGTCAAAACAATCGCTCTGGGGGAGGGGATGCAGTGGGGAGGGGGGGGGGCAGTGGCAGAGCATGCTTGAGCTTATTTACTCCGTTCGCGAGCTGTGTTTTTCCGAAGATAATTACACGGCTCAGATAATGACACAGCTCGTAAGAAGAAGGCCACGCGGTGCAGAATGTTCTCATCCTGCCAGGAGGCGAGATAAGGGGAGATGTGTTTGTCAAGAGGGTGTTCTCCCACCGAACGCGTGGGAGGAGCGGCGGCTGAGAGATTACCGGTCGCGGCGTCTCCTGCTCATCCCTGGCCCCCCGTCTCGTCTCGTTGTGACTTCTGCTATTTGATGCCTCCAACTTAATCCTGCGGTCTCGCGGAATGTGGCGCAACCGGAACGCGGAACGCGCAGCTGCCTGTGATTTACAATCGCGGCTTAATAGGCGCAGCGTAAATATTGTTGATTGCCGTGATCGCGGTACGGCGAGGGAGGGACGAGGCGGGTTTCGCTTGGCGGTCGATGTTTTCTTGAGTGGATACGACAGGGAGACCTTGGCAGCTCTTTCACACGGCTTCGTTGAGTGGCACTCGCGTTCCCCGGCCAGAGAGCCCCCACCGCCACCGCCGCCATGCGTGAGAGATTGGGAGAGTGACGCGTTTAATATTTAATTTGGGCTTTCACGACAGCACTGTTAGTCCCTGGGATTAAAGTGGCAGATCGCGGTGGGTGTAGACCATGCTTACGAGGACAATGCACGTGTATGTGTGTGTGGAGCGGTCGTGTAGTGGTTAGCGCCACGCTGCGCTACAAACCTGGCGACCCGGGTTCGATTCCCGCTCACGGCCAACACCGGTGACGATTATCTGAACCGGTCCTGGGCCTCCCGTAGGTCAACTCAGCCTCAAATTAGTACCCGGTGCGATGTGTAAACATCGCCACTAGGGAGACAAAGGTGGCCGGGTGTGGTGTTGGCCACCCACCCCCTCGTGTGCCGTGCCAGCCTTTATAGGTGCTCGCAAACAGCACTTGCCCCAACAGTCTGTTAAGACTATTCGGGGGATCTTTGTTGTTGTTTGTTGTCGTGTGTGCGCGTGTGCACACACAGATGATCCAGTGCCTGAAGCTAGGCGCCCTGTCGCGCACAACCGCCAGCACGCAGATGAATGTGCAGAGCTCTCGCTCGCACGCCATTTTCACCGTGCACATCTGCCAACAGCGTGTGTGCCGCTCCAAACCACAGGTAAACCACCCCGGCAACGCCGTCCCTCACCTCCGCCCCTGTTCCATTCACATGCCTGGCTTCTGTACGCACTGCGCATCTGTTTGTAATGCTCACGTCCATGCGTGAGCAGCAGGGGAAGAGGTGACTTTTAGGATTAGGCGGTATTAGTTTCGCTGGACTCAGGGAACCGTGTCGAACCGCCCGGCAAGCCCAGGGGCAAACGTTCACACGCCCACCGCCCACGACGCCGCGCGCTCGCTCATGCGGGACCCCAGCAATCGCTTCCAACTCATGGCAACATTTGAGGGTTTGAAAGGGCAGCACATGGGCGGGCGCCATGTGTGTTGCTGTCGAGGGGAAATATTGGCCGATTGCCGCTGCCTCCGGCAGTTTGACCGGAATGCGGCCTTCTTCCGGTGCAGAATGGTTGATGGCATGTCAACAGCATGTCGAAGCCGGGCCGGTCCGGCCTCTGTGAGCCTCGCTCCATGATAGGCCAGGTGGGAATGGGGCCCACTCATCGCGGTTTCCGCTGACAGCTTCAACGGCCAGAGCAGTGCGTCCGTTACAGCTATAAAAGAAACGCGCCGCTCCGTCGCTTCCCGTCAGTAGTGGCGGCGCGTCACCGCTATTCATCTCTGCCAGCGCGATCACCGAGGTTTACGTTCCAACGCGGAGACGCGGTCGCAGAGACGCTTGAATGCTCGTCGCTGTGCGGCGATGGGAGATGATGTTTCTGCTCATGGCTGCGCGACTCGTTCAGTGGCGTGCGAATCCCCGTGACGCCACTGAACCGTCCACAAATCACCACAAAAAACTGCAGACTTATAAAAGTACACACGTTTTATTTGAACAAAAAAATATGTGTATATAATGTCACTCTGCGAACATTCTTCAGAATATAGAGAACACGCTGCCTCTCTGGCCTGTTTGTGCTGTGAAGAAGGGTCATTGCCTCAAACGTCGCTTGCCATTGTATACTTGTGCCTTCAAGGATGCAGCGTATTTTACATGGGAAGTGTTGAGGTGTTAACTGTGCTTGTGCACCACTGCCGACGCAGCAGCAGCGTCATCAGGTGATATAATCTGTTTGATGCAAAAGCAAGCGTGAAGGCTAACTAGCAGTCGGCCTGATAGAGAAAAAAAAAACACGAGAATCGACAGGAATGGTTTGTAGCAGCGCGACCTCATGGCGACCCCTGTGATCAGCATCAACCGGACCCAGAGTTTCACAGCGATGCACGTCGCTCTAGTATTAATATTCTGATTGTGCTGTCACTCACCTGTCGGCGCCGATCTCTCGTAAGGGCCCGGCTTGCACGGAGAGCGCGACGACGGCACGCGTGGTTGTTCACCCGCGGGGCGCCATTCCCTACGCCCGTCACTGCCTCCGCACAACAGTGCCTCGAGGTGCTGCGGTTGTGTTGTAACTGAAGTGGGCAGTCGGCGTGAGCCGTGGTACTTCTACAATCCAGCCGTGGCAAACGACGGCACGGCTACGTTGCCAGACATGGGAAGTTATGCCATGGCTACGGTGCCAGCCGTGGAAAGAAGACCACGGCCGTGGTGTGGGTGGGTGGTGGTAGTTGACGGGACCGCACATGCACACTCACGCCCGCGGCGTGTTTTTGCAGGACGCGGAGGAATACAGCAACAGCGTGGAGGCCTCCTCCTCTGCCCCCATGAACGAGCTCGAGGTGCTCACCGCAAAGTTCCACTTTGTGGACCTGGCGGGCTCCGAGCGCCTCAAGCGCACGGGCGCGACGGGGGACCGCGCCAAAGAGGGCATCTCCATCAACTGCGGCCTGGTGCGTAGGGCTCCCGCGGCACCGTCTCGCCCGCGTCCCCGTCGGTCTGTTGCCGTCTCCGTGTTGCGTGCTTGCCGACGCGATGGGCGCGGTCCACGTGCTTTTTCAGCTTCATCTCCAACTGGAGCTCATCAGCACTGCGTCTGGCATTCGCTCCGTTCTCACAGCGCAGGGCTGTGGTTCACAGACGCAGGCTGCGGTAGTTTCGCAATAGAGAGGGGAGAGGTGGTTACTGTGTGTGATCTCAGTTGAGTGATTGGCGGTGTACATTTTAAAATATATTCTTAGGTTTTTTCGGTAAAGTCACGTAGGTAAAAAATTTAAATTTAAATTAATAAAAGTAAAATAAAAATAAAAATCCCGACGTTTCGGAGGCAACACAAGCCTCCGTCTTCAGGTGGAACCGTCACAGCACGATAGCTGTATCAAGTAAGAGAAATTCCAAGAAAACAGTCCTTGTATATATGGCAAATATGGAGCGTGACGTCGGCACACAGGGGCCGATTCCTTTAGAACAATGTCACGGGGTCTTGAACATCCACTGGTCAAGCGGAGAGACGGACACAGTTACTGACCAGAGGCCCAAGGGCCTTGAACATCAAGTGGCCAGCAACACTCTTGGCAAGATGTTGACTACCTCGCTTGGAATACAGGAGGGTGTGCGTTCGATCCCGACCCTGACGCCTATATATTTGGGGTTTGCATGTTCTCCCCGTGGTCACGTGGATTTTTCTCAGGCCCCTCCGGTTTTTCCCTCAACATTTAGAAAGATGCGTTTAGAGTATTTGGCTGCTATAAATTTCCACGTGATGAGCCACTTATTTGAGCTATAATTCTTGGCCAGGTCACTTCTTCAAAAGAGCTATATAGCTCAATGGGCATTACTTTGTAAAAAAAATAGTTAGTAATAGTACTGTTATCAAAGTTGTAATGGATAAGAGTTTCTGGAATTGAGCCAAGTTATTGTTGTTGTAAGAGCTTGGAAAAAGAGACAATGCAGGAGGGAATTCCACCGTGGAGCAGTGCGATGGAAGAAGCAGAAAGGGAATTGTTGTGACCTGCAGTGTTGTGAGTGAGTGGGTGAGTGATTGATTGTGTTCGTGAAAGAGTGGGTAATTGAGTGAGTGGGTGAGTGAGTGAGTGAGTTCATGCGTGGATGAGTGAGTGAGTGAGTGGGTGAATGAGTGGGTGAGTAAGTGAGTGAATGGGTGAGTGAGTGAGTGGGTGAGTGAGTGTGCTCGTGACCTGCGCTGTGGTGTTGGATGAAACGGTGTGCATGAAATAACACAATCGGCAGTGTCTGGTAGACTGAGACCTCAACAGGGCGTCCAGGGCGCGGTCGGTGTGAGGGTCGCTGGCCGGCCGGCGCGTGGCCATGCCGATGTCCCTGGTGCTGACCGCCGCTTGCGTGCGCGCGTGTGTAGCTGGCGCTGGGAAACGTGATCAGCGCGCTGGGCGACCAGAGCAAGAAGGCGACGCACGTTCCGTACCGCGACTCGAAGCTCACACGCCTGCTACAGGACTCTCTCGGGGGAAACAGGTAGCGGCCACCACTCCTCGGTTGACTCAGCCTCAAATCAGCACCTGGCGGCCGGGCGTGGTGCTGGCCACCCACCCCCTCGTGTGTCGTACCGGTCTTCATAGGTACTCGCTAATAGCACTTGCCCCAACAGACTGTTAAATGTTATACAGAGTGTCTTTGTGTAACCACACACACACTGTTATGTCAGCTGCATGCCCAGCCACTTAGTTCTCAAGCAGCCTTAGGTTGAATAGAGGGGGCTAAGCAGGTGCGGTATGGGATAGAGAAGAGGTGGGCTGATGCGGTCCAGGAGGATCTGGAGCTGAGTGGACTTGCTGACGACTGGTACCAGCGGTGTTAGGGCAGAGAAGCGACGCTCGCAACAATTAGTGGAGCGCCGGGCAGTTAAAACCCGGAAATTTGGCACAGCGGGCAGCATTAGCAGTGCATCCGTCAGTCATCTCAGTCAATCCACAACACCTGGGTCTGTCCCGTGACCCGTCAGCTGCAAGAGGCTTCCACACCTAACTTAATGGTGGCTGTTGTGGCCGTTGTGTGCAGCCGAACGCTTATGATCGCGTGCGTGAGCCCATCCGACCGGGACTTCATGGAGACGCTGAACACCCTGAAGTACGCGAACCGCGCGCGCAACATCAAGAACCGCGTGATGGTGAACCAGGACAAGACGAGCCAGCAGATCGGCGCGCTGCGCGCCGAGATCGCACGCATCCAGATGGAGCTCATGGAGTACAAAACGGTGGGTGGAGGTGCCTCATCGTCATGACGACGGTGGTCATGATGATCATGATTAAGACGATGCCCAGTAAAGCCTCGCTTTAGTCTCACGACTCTTTTACAAGAGGATCCTGCCACGTTTTTGCGGTAGGGGGTGATGATATCTGCTGTGTCTAATCCCAAATGTATGTGTGAATGTATGTTAAACTTCTTTCGCACCGTACAAGTCATTTGCGGTGTAATTTTAAATTGGCGATTGTGGACCGTGACGCCGGCACACGATGGCCTGCTTGTTTCCAATGACGTCACGGGACCTCTGACGCCCACTGTGAGTGAAGGGGAGGGCACGTCGGAGGGCACGTCGTAGTACCATAGACCCTGCACCCACCACCGTGAACCCAGCACCCTGCACCCAACACCCTGCACCCACCACCGTGAACCCAGCAAAATATTTCACCTGGAAAAACTCTGGAGGTGGAACCGCTCGTTTGCAGTGGCGTCCGGGGCTCTTCAACGATCGCGACGGCTCGGGGAGGCCTTCATCCAGCAGTGCATCGAGCCTGGCTGATGATGATGATGATGACGATGGGAATGAGATGGACAGACTATGAACCGTCCCAAATGCAGAAACACAGCTCCCCCCCCCCTTACCGGGTAATGCCCCCCCCCCGGGAGCACCCCCCCCCTCCTCATCTTCCCACGGGGCGTCTCTCAACTGTGACGGGAAACGCGCTCCTCGCTGGAGATGAAACACGCGATCGCAAACGATTTTAGTCTCCTTCAACACCAACACGAGCCATCGCCAGGGGCCTGACAGGGCGACTGCATCCGCCGGTTCAGCCAACAAGCTGCTAGATTAGAAGCCTCGACCCATGCCGTACGGGTCGCGGTGGAGGTTATTTGACCATACTTCACCACGCTGCTTGTTGCGGGTTGGTGAAGACGGGCAGCACAGGAGCGTGCGGGGGGGGGGGGGGGGTGCGGTGAGCATCACCCGGTGCGAAGAGCCGAGGGACGCGGTCCCTCTCGTTTCTCTCTCTCTCTCCCCCTTCCTGTCTTTCCCTTTTTCTCACTTTCTCTCCCTTTCTCTCCCTCCCTCTCTCTATCACTCACACTCTCTCACTCCCCCCCCTCTCTCCAGGGCAAGCGCCTGGTCGGGGAGGACGGCGTGGAGAGCCTCAACGACATGGTGCAGGAGAACGCCATGCTGCAGGCGGAGAACGGGAACCTGCGCATGCGCATCAAGGCCATGCAGGAGACGATCGACGCCCTCAACGCGCGCATTGCCCACGTGCTCACGCAGCACGCCAGCCATGCGCTGGCCGGTGCAGGCAAGGCAGCACCGGCGTACACGGGCACACGCACGCACCCACGCACCCACGCACCCATGCACCCACGTTGCACCCTGCCGTGGTGGAGTGACTGGGAGCGGTGTTGCTCCACGTGGCCGCAGGTGTGGGTTTGTGCTGCTGATGATTTTGTCAGATTTGTAGCCATCATTCACATCGTCATCATCATCCCCGAGTGGTGGTGGCGGCTATTCTGCCACCCATCATCGTCTCTGTTCCCAGGCTCTCATATTAACAACCTGGCTCAATTCAACAAACGCGCCAACCACTAATCCATTACAACTTTGATAAGAGCTCATTGTTGCTGGCCATTTGACATTCAGGGCCATAACCTCACGCTCCGTCTGCTTCACAGTGGACGTTAAAGATGTGTGACATCACTCGCAGAAGAGTAGGCAATTGTGCTAGCGATGCAGTTCGTATTTGAAAAAATTTCCCAAATTTCTCAGCTGGGAAACGCAGAAATCGTCGCCCCCCGTGCCTCACCGAGTCTCAAGACTCATTTCAGGCTGGGACCTGCCAAGTTTTTGCTAGTAGGGGGACAACGTTGCTGTGTGCGCGATCCCAATTGAGTAATTTGAAAGCATGGCCAGTACCGGTCACATTGTGCACAGTGTGCCGTGGTGCTGCTGCTGAGTTGGCAGTGGTGCACAAGTACAACCAACAACAACCACAACAACTCGGCATTCAATAACAATGCTGCGTGCGTGTAGCCTTAAAAACAAAACAAAAGGTGACGTTTCAGGCAATGGCTCTTCATCCCAGCACGCGGTTTACATGGTACGTTTGTTTGTACCCTAATTTATATTCAGCGCTGTCGGTGCCCGCTCAGCTGGCGTTTCAGGGGTGAATGGGGGGGGGGGGGAATGGGGTGCATGGCAGGTGGGTGGGTGTTACGGGTGTTGGCGGGGGAGGGGGGGGTGTTGGGGTTGATCCTAATTGGGACGGAATTGTTGAAAGGCTTCCGCCTCTCTGATGGCCGTGCTCCTGCGTCCCCCGTTTTGTCTTCTCTCCCGGTGCGTAGGTGACGGCAGCGAGGAAATTGGGTCCATGATCCAGAGCTACATCAAGGAGATAGAGGACCTCAGGTCGGCCATCCCTAAACCCTCACTGCCCGAGCGGCTCTGCCCGCAGCACGCACTCTCCCACAACAAAGCAGGTCCCCCGCGGCACGTTGGCTTCAGAGCGGCGAGCAGCGAGCGGGCGGGCGAGCGAGAGAGCGAACGATGAAGCGAGCTCCCGGTTAAAACGCGCGCTCGGACTACCAATGCGAGCCACTCGATTCCCGTGTGCAGGAGCTGCGCGGAGCCCAAGGTGTTCATGCGAATGCCTTGGTTGAAACGGAGAAGCAGAGGTTGCGGTGGTGGAATGTTTTTAAACCACGAGGCTCGTCCCGCATGGCCTCCCGAGCAAGCTAGAGGAGGAGGAGAGGTTCGGGCTTTTGGGGGCCGTCAACTGTGCCTGTCACTGTCGCCACCTTGTGATGGCAAAAGTCACGGATGTGGTGATGGTGGTGTATTGACAATGCTGTGTAGTGGCCTGTGGTGGCATGTGGCGTGTGCTGGTAAGTCTCTGTGTATGGTGGTCTGTGGTTGTGTGCACGGAGTGGGGTGTGGTGTTATTGGTCGATGCGTGGTGCGGGAAACTTGTATGTGATGTGATGTTAGGTGGTGTCGGTATTTTGCTTGTGTTGTGCGTGTTCACGTGTTGTTGTGTTGATGTGTTGTGTGTTGACGCGTTGTGTGTGGTGTGTTGACGCGTCACGTGTTGCATTTGGATTTGTCGCTCGTGGTGTGGCCGTGGCTGCTTGCCGGCGTGTCGTGTGTCGCTGTGGTAGAACGTCGCGCGCTGATGTGTTGCGTGTCCTCACCAGGGCCAAGCTCCTGGAGAGCGAGGCAATGAATGGCTCGCTGCGCCGGGAGCTGACCCGCGTGTCCACCTCGCGCTCGCCCATGTTCGGCGGAGCCGCGTCGCCCGCTGCCTCCCTGGGGGCCCCCTCGGGGGCCGTGGCGAGGCCCTACGGAGTGACGCCCGACCGGGAGATGCAGGAGGTCCTGGAGGTGGCTCGCAAAGACCTGGAGAAGCTCAAGAAGAAGGAGAAGAAGCAGAGGAAGATCAGGTCGGTGTCTGCTGGCGGCCACCGATATTCCTGTTGCAGGGCAGCTGGGGAGGCTTTGACCTTTCCCCCGTTCCTCACTGCTGGGGTCACTTGTGGGATTTGGCCGCTCGATTGTACGTAACGTGCGGTCGTCGTCGCGGCTCTCCCATTCTCGTGAGTGGCGGCGGTGGAGAGGCGCCTTTGGGGAAACGGCGTCCATTTATCGAAGCCCTCAGGGGGCGACGTGCGGCGTTCTCAATGTGCGTCTGCTATGTTTGTCTCGCCCAAGGCTAAAGAAGGAAGGAAGACACGGCCGTCTGTCGGCGCGGAGGTTTGCTATCAACCGCCCCCGTTGTGTTTGTGCTTCTCCTGCGCCGCGCTGCGCGTGCGTCGTCATGCGTTGGCGTGTGAGGATCCCGACCGTAGCCCCGCCCAGTGGGTTCCTCGCGGCCCAGCGCCGCGCCGCTTTTGTTTGCCTCACGAAAGCGCACTTAGCCGTTTGAGATTCGCGTCAGGCGCCGTAGCGGTTTGGATGGAAGGCGTGGCCCGGAGTAGTCGCGGAGTGGAGCGGAGCCCCCGCGACCGTCGCGTGCAGTGCACGCCGGGTCACGAGCCGACCCCTCTGGCTGCGATCCGATCCGAGTTCCACTCCTCTGCTTTATAACGCCACTCGCTCGGCACGTTCCTCCTCACCGCTCGGCAATTGAACTCGGCGTTTGATTTCTCACCGAATAATTTCCCGGTCACCGGCTGACCGGGGTTGGTGGCAGGTGATTGGGAGTAGCCCCACAGGCCATAGTGAGACATGTTATGGATGAGGGGTGCCGGGTAGAGAAGTCGTTTCTGAGTCGCTGACCTTGTCAAACCCGGCTGAAGTGAAGCCCTCATTGTTATCCATCCTTGATGCACGTGGCATCATTCAGTCATCTTCAAGAAATAAAACGACTTTTTATTATTGCCCTCGTTTACCTCGGAAAGCCTCACCGAGTTTCTCACAAGGCTCTTTCTCAGGAGGGTCCTGCCAAGTTTTCGTAGTAAGAGGGGGCAGACGATCGCTCCGTACCTCTCAATTGGGTAATTTCGCGGTAATATTTCAACTTGGGCAAATTTGGACCGTGATGCCGGCATGCATTGGCCTAGTCTCGCAAATGACATTGCGGGAGTGAACCGGATGGCGCTTAGGATTTCACGGTTAATACAACCGCAGTATTAACCAGGGCGGCGATTGGGAAATTGAACCGCGATGCAAATTGATACTCGTTAACGTTTGTCGTGTTGTTGTGGCTGCATGCTTTTTCATGCAGTGGCTTTGACTGGGACCGTGCCACAACCCACGTGGGCCGCCTAGCGTGGCCCCCAGTGGGCCGCCGAGCCAAGCCTGCGCGGGCCGCCCCGCACGGCCTGTGCGTGGCCTTGCCCCCGTGGCCCCCCTGCGACGGGCCTGCTGTGTCTCTCCGTCGAGGCCCCGGCGTAACCGCGCATTCGTCGTTTTGCCCCGCAGCCTGGAGAAGCGAGGCGACGCGGGCGACACGGAGAAACGGGAAGGCGAGCACGACGAGAGGACGCGTGACAACCGCGAGGCGGTGAGTGCCCCGCCGGCCCACCGTGTGACACCTGCACTACCGCCGCCGCCGCCATCGCCGCCACCAACACCCTTCGCGGTTTGCCTGCCCAGCACCGGTTCTCTCGAGTCGAGGTGCCTTGACGAGTCACGAGAAGACAGCGCTGATTAAAACCCGCGCCGGTTAATTGAGTTGGCTCGCCGAGCCTCGAACTTGGCCTGGAGAAGCGTGTGATGAAGTGGGTTGGGGCCAGCGCCCGCGTGGGACGGGATGGGGGATGGGGGGAGGGAGGTGGAGCGATGCCAGCTCGCGGGGCAGGCGTGCGTGACGCTGCCCTGTATGTCACTGTGTGTGTGTGTGAGAGACTAGCTTTGTGCGACTGCGTGTATGTGACTGTATATGTTCATAGCTGAGCTATGGACACGGCGGCGGCGCGATCCATCTGGGAAAAATCGCTGCGAATTGCTCTATCTGAACCAGTCCAGGGCTTCCCCTCGGGTGACTCAGCCTTATTAGCACCAGGTACTGTCTGTTGAAGCTATACATGGGATCTTTGTCTTTGTGCATCTGTGCTCGCGTGCGTGCGTGCGTGTACTCGGGCAGGAGGAGGAGGCGGAGGAGAGCGATCATGAGAACGGGGAGAAGGAGGAGGCGGAGGAGGAAGAGGAGGAGGACCTGGACTCCAGCGACAGCTCCGATGAGTCTGACTCGGAGCTGGAAGAGAAAGGTGACTCTCCCTCTGCCGGCTCCTCACCCGCATCTGACGTTCCCTCCCTCGCCAGTTGCAAAAATCACAAAGTCAGACTGGTGAATAGAAGCTGGTGGGTGCTAGGCCCTGGCTGGGCCACAATACGCTGCCGTTCCCTCGGCCACGCAAAGCGCTTCTCTGGTGGGAAGCTTCGCTGGGAGCGCCAGGCGCTGCCGCGAGGCCGCCCGCCTCAACCTACGCTCGCTCGTGACGCGTACTCCCGTACTTTGTGAGCGAGCGGCGTTGGGTGAGCGGTGGCGCAGCGGTTAGCATGCTGTGCTTCGAACCCGGCGAGCCGAGTTCGATTCCCGCTCACGGCCATCAACACCAGTGACGATTATGTGAACCGGTCCTTGGCCTCCTTGAGGTGAACTCTGCTTCAAATAAGAACCTGCTGCTGTGTGTAATCATCGCCACTGGGGAGACAAAGGCGGCCGGGCGTGGTGTTGACCACCCACCCCATAGGTGCTGCTCACCCACGGCACTTGCCCCGACTGGTCTGCTAAATGCTACACGAGGGATATACGTCTTTGTTTTTGTGTCCCGCCCAGCCAACTACCAGGCGGACCTGGCGGACATCACGTGCGAGATCGCCATCAAGCAGAAGCTGATCGACGAGCTGGAGAACAGCCAGCGCCGGCTGCACACGCTCAAGCAGCAGTACGAGGAGAAGCTCTCGACGCTGCAGAACAAGATCCGCAACACGCAGCTCGAGCGCGACCGCGTGCTGCACAACCTGGGTGCGTGCGACGCCCCCCCCCCCCCCCCCGCGGCCCCCCGCCCCCGACCGCTGCCTCCATCAGCCGCTGACGCCGCTCTTGCGGAAATTTTAAATGAGTGTGGGACGAGCCCCGCTGTGCCGCCCGCGCGCCGAGGAGAAGAAAAAAATTGTTGCCGTCGGCCAGGAGGAGAGGAGCTTGTGAGCCGGGCACTAACGTGTGCAGTGGTGCAGCAACTTTAAACGAGGGCTGGCCACGGTGTGGAATTGCGTGCGTGTATGTTGCGTGCGTCCCTGCGTGTGTTAGGGGAGCGGTAGTGCAGAACCCCGGCGACCGGAGTTAAGTTCCCGCTCGTGGCCAACACTGCTGACGAATATTTGAACCAATCCTGGGCCTCCCCTTGGTTGACTCGGCCTCCAATTAAGAACCTATTGCGGTGTGTCAAACATCAGCCCTAGGGAGACATGGTGCTGGCCACCCACCCCCCTCTCTTGTCGTGTGCCCTATTGGCCTTCATAGGTGCTACTCGGCAACGCCGCTTGCCCCTAACAGGCTTGTAACGGCTATTGGGGGGTCGGTGCGTGTGCATGTGCTCGCAGTGTAGAGCCAGCAGTTCTGGCGGCGGCAGTTGTGAAACTCCGGCTTGTTTTGTATTTAATGGTCAATGCTCGTGCTGTGCGTCTCCTGCCGAAACGGCAAACCCTACACGGCCGCTCACACAATAGACCGTGCGCCATCACCCAACCATCATCCCCTTAGCGGCGCAACTCGATTCGGTCCGCGAGCGGCGTACGTTACTTCGCTTCATGCCTTTATCAGCACTGCGGGCTCAGAGCGCCGTTTTCAACTCCTTCGCCCGAATGAACCTCGAAAGGGTCGCCTAGAGAGACGTCCTAGCGCCGTGAGACTAATTGCCGAGCATTACACGCGGCGAGCTGACGCGGGATCCTCCATAGATTCGCTATGGAATCGCCCCAAGCCAGGCGGTGGTGGCGCCTACGCTGCACATGGCCTGTAATCCACCACTGTGGAGGCGGCGAGGGTTTGCGGATTGCACACGGATGTTGTGAGACTCCCTTCCGCGTGGGCATCGAGGAGGAGCCGTTCCCTGGCTTGCCAGGAGAAGGTGGTACAACAAAAATGTGGACGTATCTTTCGTCTGCCCTATCGTATGGGATAGAGCGTCATTACACTTGCAACCCAGGAGTGTTCTCTGGGTGCGCGAGCTTCTTGCCCAGATGTAAATGACTCTTAATTGGCTGGAAACATCTTAATATATCGAGGACCACAAAGGTTGGTAGCACCAGCTCACCGCGTGGCTGTTGCCTTTCCCGCTTATTTGTAGTTCCTCTTCCTGGCGCCTGTTGAGTCTTTCTCTCTCTACGAGAGCGAACAATGACTGTGCGGTGGTGAGTCCACGTTGATATTATTATTATTATCCCAAACAGTCGTTTATCGCTAGTCGCTTGGACAGAATGTCGTTGCTCCATCAAGCAACAAAATCGCTCGGATCGGCGAGGTCGGCGTCTGGTGCGGGAAGTCGCGGCGGCCGTGCTGAAGGAGCGCTCCGCTCGCTCGCTCGTGCGCTCAATGCAGGCTCCATGGAGAGCCACACGGAGGACAAGGCCAACAAGGTGCGCGTGGAGTACGAGAAGCGGCTGCAGGTCATGAACAAGGAGCTGCAGAAGCTCCATGTGGCGCAGAAGGAGCACGCGCGCATGCTCAAGAACCAGTCGCAGTACGAGCGCCAGCTCAAGAAGCTCCAGCAGGAGGTGGCCGAGATGAAGAAGACAAAGGTAAGGGGGCAAACGAAGCTCGGGACGTGCGCTTGTTGCAGGGGCGGGGTTTGAATCCGGCTGGCCGGCCTGGTTAATACTGCGGTGTGTATTAACCACAAAAAATACCACACAGCATCGGAGTGGACTTAAAAAATCGCCGCGAATTACTCAGTTGGTTAAACGCACAGCAGCAACCGTCTGTCCGCTGTTGCGAACGCTCGGCAGGAGCCTCCTGAAAAAGAGTCTCGGGACTCGGCGAGGCTCCCCTGCGTGAACGAGCGTGGTGGTAATAACGACGCCACGGTCGCGCTCGGGAGAAAGATGGTCCGTGCGTGCCCCCTGTAGGTGCGCAGCAAGGATTGCTGCTGCCCCCGCAGACATCGCTAATGCGGTGCGCATGACAGCGCGCGTCTGTTGGCTGTTGCGCAGCTGGTGCGTAAGTAGTGGTCTGTCTGGGTGTGTGAGCGTGGATTGTCTGGATGCCACTGTGTGTCTGTTGGTAGTGGCCGGGTGTGTGTGTGTTAGCAGTGTGTTCGTGGATCTGTCGTGGGGTTTCTGGGTGCATCTGGGTGTGTGAATATTGGTTAATTCTCTGTGTGCGTGAAGGCAGTGTGCTGCTGTTGGGACTGTAGTGGTGTGCCTGGGTGTGTGCGAGTGTTGGCGACGTCCTGCTGGTGGGACTGTGTTGGTGGAGTTGGTGGCGCGCGTGGTAACTCCCCGCGTGGTGACCGCGCAGGTACGGCTGATGAAGCAGATGCGGGAGGAGCAGGAGAAGACCCGCGCGGTGGAGATGAGGCGCAACAGGGAGATCGCGCAGCTCAAGAAGGACCAGCGCAAGCAGGAGGTGGGTGGTGGGGGCAGTCTCTGACACACGCAGGGGTCGGTGTGGTCATTTACATATGCGTGGTTGGAAGCCGACAGGCCACTCTCGTTCAATTATTTGCTGCTGCTACTGCGTTGGCAGTGGTGCACAATCAGTGAACAAAGCAATAACAACACCGCGTGTATCTGGCCTTCAAATATTTTTATTTTAGAAATTGCCGACGTTTCGGGCATTGGCTTCATAGCCTCTCGTTATCGCTGCGGTGCGCATCAACCGTAGAACGCCACGCGCCGTCTGCTTGACTGCGGACGTTAATGATCCCGCGACCTCATTCGAAACGGTGTCGGCCATTGCGTGTCGACATCACGATCCAAATTCACCGAATTTGAAAAATGACACTGCAAATTACTCGGTTTGGATTACACGTAGAGGAGCATTTGTCGTGACCTCCTGGCAGGGAGAGCTGCCACTGGGGGTGCCCTCGGTGAGACCCCTTAGCAACATCGTCCCCTAACCGCTGCGCGTCAAACGCAGCGGCGCTTTCCTCCGTGACGATCGCCCTGCGCCACGAGAATGAAAGCGCGAATAATGCACGTGCCACGTCATTATTATTATTATTATGATTGCGGCTGATCTGTACGGAAGGATTCCGCTGTTAAGGCCGTGCTCACTGTTGTGGCCGCTTTCTGTTTCAGTATCACATCAAATCTCTGGAGGCCCAGAAGCGACAGCAGGACCTCATCCTGCGGAGGAAAACCGAGGAGGTCTCTGCTCTCATTCATTAAGTCGCTCGGCGTTCGTCCCCACGGCCGTGTGGCGCCCCCGCGCGCCGTGGGCCCCGCGGTGCAGGCCGCGGGTGTCGGCGTGAAGTGAAACAATACAACCCGCCCCTTCTCAGTGGTCACCCAGGACCGCCGTGCAGCACCCAAATCCCCCCTGCACCCAGACCCCCTCTGCACCCAGACCCCTCCCTGCACCCAGACCTCCTCTGCACCCAGACCCCCTCTGCACCCAGACCTCCTCTGCACCCAGACCCCCTCTGCACCCAAACCCCCCCTGCACCCAGACCCCCCCCTGCACCCAGACCCCTCCCTGCACCCAGACCCCCTCTGCACCTTAACATAGCAGTCGCGCTTTCGGCGCTTGCTGCAGAAGTACGTGGGAGTTGAAATCCACCGCTTGACATTGCTCGTTTAAGATACCCGTGATGCTATTCGGAAGCGGAGGCCATTGCGTGCAATTGCCGTGGTCCAAATTTGCCATTTTGCACAACAATTACAGCACAAATGACTTATTTAGAATACACACGCAGTAGCCATCATCACACCCCCTACTGCGAAGACTTGGCAGGACCCTCCTGATTAACGAGACTTGCTGGGTAATCAAGCAAAATAATATTGGTAATGCTAAAAGGATAATATAACATAATGGTCCATTTCCTGGTTACATAATGGACGTAAATTAATCATGAAGCAAGGCTGATTGCCTTTCCAGCAAGCATAAAACATCGGCCCAAAAGTTGGCACAAAATTGGCCCAACATTGGCACAAAGTTGGTCCATCATTGCAGGTGTGCTGGGTTAGCACCACACATAGCGATGCGTCTCACATTGCCGCCGCTGGGTCTCCGGCAGTCCGACGTCTTTGGCTGAGCCAGGTGAGGGCCTCGTGAGGTTCACAACCTCCGTCTTGGCATCACGGGACCCGGAGCCTCACAGCGAAGCGTGTCGCTCTCTCTTGCGCGCGCCCGATCTCGTCATATCCCAAAAAGCTCAGCAAGGGTTTGAGCTTGGACATCGTTCGGATGGACCACCACCCGTGCTTGTTCAGTTCAGGTCGCCGTAAGCCTGCGGGGTTTCATGGCGGACAGCAGAGGGGGCAGAGCAAAAATCTATTGTTCCACTGCACTTCTATGCTCCCCGCAACCGGCCAGCATGGTGAAGTACGATCAAGCAACCCGCCCGACCTGCGCGGCGCGGGGAAGCCCCCATCCAGCAGTGGATTGGCAGACGCGCCGTGCGTGGGTGCGTGCTCTAGGAGCTGTGGGAGCGACATGGTGGGGGAAGGGGGGCTCTGTGCCGGAAACCAGCGGCGTTTAATGCGGCGGCGTTTAATGCGGCGGCGTTGCGGTGGTGTCCCGACAGGTGACGGCGCTACGGCGGATCGCCAAGCCGGTCTCCGGCAAGGTGAGCCGGCGTCTTCACGTGGTGGGCGACTCTGGGGTGGACGTCTCGGCCACCACGGGCTCCTCCGACCAGGACGCCGCCGCCGCCGCCGCCGCCACGGCACCGTCGCGGGGCCGCGTGCTCAGCGCGCGGCAGCAAACGGCCACCGCCAGCGCAGCCTCCGCCACGGCGAGGTGAACGCTGGGCGGCGGGTACCGAACTCGCGGGGCGGTCCCTCCCCTGCAGCGTAGACACGTGTCTAGCGAGTCGTTGACGTAATATTCACGTGTGCGGGTGGCACGCTGGACCTGCGATCCAGAGGTCGCAGCGTCGATTCTGTCTTCCTGGAATGAGAAACTCGCTTCATCCCTCGGTTATACGTGGCCGGCCTACACCAGGCTGCTGAGCCGTGCTGCGTCGTTTGCGTCATGAACCGGCAACGGCGCTTGTTCCATCTCTCACCCCGTGTGTGTCCCCCGTGTACCCCCTCTCCAGCAGCAGGAAGAAGCACTTGCGCAAGGGCGTGAGCAGTTACTCGTCGCGCTCGGCGCGCGTCAAGTGGCAGACTCTGGAGCGGCGCATCACCGACGTCGTCATGCGCAAGATGACCATCACCAACATGGAGGCCGACATGAACCGGCTGCTCAAGGTGTGTGGCGGGTCCGGAAGAGGACTTTCAGATGGTGATAGTCTGAGAAGTGAAATTTAACATATTCTTGGTTCTTTCGGTAAAGTCACGTAGAAGGGAAATAATAAAATAATATTGATATAAAACAATAAAAATTTCCTTTCTACGTGACTTTACCGAAAGAACCAAGACTATGAATCCCTGCAGTCACGAAAGCTTTAAATCAAAATGAAGATGAAATTAAACGTGTTAAAGAAGCGCTGCAGTTTATCAGTTTCTCCCGCAATGTATGGTATTTTAATAGTTTGAATTGCTTGGTCAGTTTCAACGCTTGTCCTGTTTGAATTGGTTTTGGCATTCAGTGCCCTGTTGATGTGTACATCATTGTAACCGTTCAATAGGGCCTAAGACCCATCACATCTCGGAGCCTGGATAATAATAATGTCAACTTGTAATGTACTGCCACCGAAACATCCGCTCAATCGCTCACCTAGAGAGAAAGGATGACTCGGAGGCACCAGGAGGAACCACAGATGAGGGGGAAAGAAAGAAGCCAGGCAGTAAACCCTGTGCCAACAATTGCTCAAGCTCTGCAGTCCCCTATATATTCGGACGTTTTCAGCCAGTTACTGGTAGTGCTCAGACGAGCAACTTCACTATGACCTCCACGCATTGACAAACGGGCCGTGCGTGTTCATCTCGGGAAGGGGGGGGGGGGGGACCTAGTATTCTCCCGTTTGTACGGAAGAGTCGCGTAGGCAGCGGTTTAATACGCTGGTGCCCCTCGCCCCCACTCCCACCCCTGCCCCCCCCCCATAGCAACGCGAGGAGCTGACGCGGCAGTGGGACCGGCTGAGCCGGCGACGCGATCGGCTGCTCGAGGCCGGCCCCGAGGACGCGCAGATGCTGGCGACGTTGGGCGAGGACCTGGAGAACCTGACGGCGAACATCGACTACATCAACGAGAGCATCTCGGACTGCCAGGCCAACATCATGCAGATGGAGGAGGCCAAGGTGAGGCTCCCTCGCGGCGACGGTGGCCCTCGCGGCACACACGCACCCGCACACACGCACGCACCGGTGGGCGGCACACACGCACCCGCACGCACGCGTGGGCGGCACACACGCACCCGCACGCACGCGCGGACGCACGCGTGGGCGGGACGCGCGTGTGAACGTCCCCGTCGTGTGGTTGGCGCCCAGGAGGACGAGAGCGAGAACACGAACACGGTCGCCATCATCGGCTCGTGCTCGCTCACGGAGGCGCGGTACCTGCTGGAGCACTTCCTCTCCATCACCATCAGCAAGGTCGGTGCCTCCACGCCTCTCCTACCTCTCCGCGCTCATCTCACTCTACTCCCCTCCATACATTCTCCAGCAGATATGACCCCAGCAGGTATAATCTGCGCAGATACGACCCTTCTCCCGCTCCTCCCACTTGAGCTGATTGGCCCTCCGGCCACCCGCGCCCCGCCAGGGCTTGCTGGCGGCGCAGAACGAGTCTCAGGTGAAGGTGCTGGAAGGGAAGCTGAAGCAGACGGAGATCAACAGCTTCACGCAGAGCCAGCTGCTCTTTCACATGCTCAAGGAGAAAGCCGAGGTGAACCCCGAACTGGAGGCGCTGCTGGGGAACGCGCTGCAAGGTGCCCACACACACACTCACACACACACGGACACACTCACACACTCACACACTCACACACTCACACACTCACACACTCACACACTCACACACTCACACACTCACACACTCACACTCACACACACACACACGCGGACACAGCGACGCGGATCTCCCCCCCCCGTGTCGGCACAGCACACGAGAGGGTGGTGGTGTGTGCTAGAAAAAACCGGGCCCAGCAGCCTCTGCCTCCCTGCTGCCGGTGTTTATACACCACGCCCCGAAGGCTGAGTTGACTTCGGGGAGACCTAGAGCAGATACTCTTTGGTTCTTTCGGTAAAGTCACGGAGGTAGAAAATAATAATAATAATTTTATACCCACGTGACTTTACCAAAAGAACCAAAGAGTATAGATTCCTGCAGTTACGAAAGCTTCAAATCAAGATTAGACCTAGAGCAGGTTCATATAATCACCACCACTGGTGTTAGCCGTGGTTGAGAATTGAACCCAGGTCACCGAGTTTGTAGTGGTCCACGAACCACTGCACCACTGCTCTTCACGTGCACAAACCCGCACGCACGCACGCACAAAACGCATTCGCACACCCGCGGGCAATCGAGGGTGCAGCCGTGGTTCCAGTCCAGCAGGGATCAGGGCTGGCGAGCGCCGCCGCTGTGCCGAGGCGACGGCGCGGTGACCCTGGGCGCACTCGGCCCCCGCCTCGGTTGGACAGCGCTGGGTTGCGTGGACCGCGCTAACGATTCGGACGGCAGGCTGCTCGTCCCCAAACCCTTCTCGCCGCGTTCCGAATTTGGAAGCAAAAATTTCAGTGCGATTTATTTCTTCAGATTTCATGAACGTTGAATCTCGGAGTGCGGTAAGAAAGTTAAAAAATCCGTAGCTCGACGCAGCAGAGCGCGGATTGGAGAACTCACAGCCGTGCAGCTGTGTGTGCGTTTGTGTTGCTTGGCTCGGTGTACACCCAGTACTCGGCCGGCCCAACGTAATTTTCCTTCCCATAATTCCACGGTGATATTATGAAACCGTGCGTTAAATGTCGAACAGTCCCAGCCCTGCGTCGGCGCTAATGTCACGGCAATAAATCACTTTGCATGCAGCGCAACGCGAAGGACGTGCGAGTCGCAGGCAGGTGCTCGCATTAACCCTGCGTGGCGAGCCGACAAGCGTCTCCCGCGTGCGCGAGCGAGCCTCCCACGCGGGAAACCACGCGGTGGTGTCGCCCCGCTGACGGCACCCTCGTTGCCTGCCTGGTTCATAAATCACCCGCCGCTCCCTGCCGGGACGTGGGTGACACCGGAGAGCTGAGCCACTCAAACTGGCTCCGTGGGGGAAACCACGTTCACGTTGCTGCGCGAGATTAGCAGAAAGAAATCTCAACCGCCGCGGTGCCGACGCCATCGCCACCCCTGATGTGACTGTTTGTAAACTCCGTCCGTGGACGACTGCGGTTTTTGTACGCCGGTCGTGCGTGTGCACAGACGCTGTGGGCTGTGGGCTCTGCCTGCCGCGTGCCTTGTAGAGCAGGGTTACCCGCTAATCGTCGTGTAATTCTGATTAAAGACGAATTGTGCACGCGATTTACGAAATTTCACGATAATCCACATTCGGGCTAACGGAGCAAACGGGACGGAACACGCGGAACGGAACACGCGAGACGGACAGTGCAAACCATGCAATTGATACGGACAATCAAGTGGATAGGGACAATACCGATGAGACTCGTGTCGCCCATGAGAGAGTGCAACTCGAACATCATCGGGACGAAGGTCATCGTTGAATCGCTGCTCCGCATCGTGACGGATCTTGTAGCATCGCTGTCTGGGGGGGGGGGGTGGGGTCAATCGATCCACGCCTGCCCCGTTGCCAAGGGATTCGTTTCAGACTTGTGTCTGGGTCTGTGACACGGAAAATATATCCACGTCCGGCACACCACGTTCGGTGTACCTCCAACTTTGGCCGTGGCTACTCCTGGTCGCGTACTACCTACCCCAGTCTACCAGCACGCAGCAGTGGTGACACTCGTGCCTCGTGGCAAGTCGTGCCCGGGCTCCATTCCCGACTCAGGCGCCTGTGCTGCGTGGGTTCTTTCTGGGTTCTCCAGTTTCCTCCCGTAGCTAAACAAAGCGTACAATGTAACTGGTATTGGCCAGACATAAAAATGCTAAAATTACCTGCAGATTACTTAATTGAGATTACCTACAGCAGTATCGCCAACCTACTGCGAAATACTTGGCAGGACCCTCCTGAAAAAAGAGTCTTGAGACTCGATGGAGCTTTCCTGGGTAAATGAGTCACGTGACTCAGGATGTGCGGCGGCGGCGGTGGCGGCGAGGGTTGCGCGGGTGCGGCTCTGCGGAGCGTGCTGCTGGTGGTGGTGGTGCGCATGCTCTGGGCTCGGTGTGGGTGACGCTTGGGAGCTGGGTTGGCGCCCTGCGTGATGTCGTTTGTGGCTGTATGGAGGTGGCGGCTCGGTGTGAGCTGCTGCGGCTGCTGCTGATTGGTCGTCCGCCTCCCTGCCCTCCCCCCAGCACCTGCGCCAATCGAAGTGCACAGACACACTCTGAGACGGCGTCGTAATGCGGAGTGCTGTGACGGAGAGCCTCGTCGAAATCTTAGAATAACACGTTCTCACTAACGATTTGAACTGGTATTGGCCCGCTCGGAACACAAGGCGCGAGTTCGTATCTGTTCCGTTAGAAAAGGGCTGGGGGAGCAGCTTCGGGGTGCGTGGAGAAACAGCATGTCGTGAACCGGTCGACCAATAGTTGCGGACGCTCCTGGTGTCTTTCCCATTGGCTCCTGTCCTCCAGGCTCCTGGAGCGCCAGCTTGCAGCGTGCAGTGCCGTGCGGTCCGATTGGTGCGTGAGCTTGCATCCAGTGTGCGGTGTTGTGCAATCTGAACGGTGCGTGGGCTTGCATTGCAGTACCGTGCGATGTGATTGGCGTGCGAGCTTTCGTCCCAGCGTGCAGTGCAATGTGATTTGAGCGTGTGCTTGTCCCCCCCGTGTGTTCCTGTCACACAGAGCTGCGTAACTTAGACTTGGGTAAGTAAGGCGGCGCTCTTGTGTAACAGAGCTGCGACACGGACGGCATGGCTGCATGTGGCAACCCCGCTTGACTGCGTCGCCGCTGCCCCCCCCCGTGGGGGTTGGGGGGCGGGGGGCGCTGTCTCTCCGTCCTCCCGCGACAAAAGCACAACTCCCCACCGCTCAAGGAAGTCGCGACCCTTACAAAGGACGATTCTCATCTTCGAGATGAGTGCTTGGGCTAGGCGTCCCGGATATCCGACTCGAGTTCCAAACTTTGTTCGTGGATAAAGCCACTTGTGTATTGTAAGCGGCAGGGTCACGGGGTGGTAACGCTCGTGTCTCGCAGCGAGGAGAGCCTGGGTTCGATTCCCCAGTCGGGTGCCTCTCTGTGTCGAGTTTATATGTCTCCCCCCAGTTCTGCGTGGGTTTCCTCCCAGAGCAAAAAAAAAACCCATGTACAATGTAACTGATATTGGACAAAACATCCCAGTGCTAAAATATCACCTCCAAATTCATAAATCAACATCGCCCCCTACTGCGAAAACTTGGCAGGACCCTCTTAAAATTGAGTGGAGACTCGGCGAGGCTCAGAACGAGATTATGTATTTATACTGGAGTCATCTGATTAGCCATGAATATCTTTTTCACAGATATCCAGTCATCCAGGAAGCTTTCCCAGGTAAACAAGCGAAATAATAACCCGTATTATTATACTGAGCATGTCATGATGGCACTTGATCAACATCACCGTGATGACGTCACTGCCACGTGATTTAACGCAGCGTTATGGCAAAGGCATCAATTAGGGCGGTATGACGGAAGCTCTGGGCCGTGGCTTTAAAGTAATTTTTTCTATTCATTAACAAAGTTTGGAACGTTGTGGGAGAGTCTTACGACGGCACGCATCCACAGGGCAGCACGAGCCCCTTGGCTTCGTCGTCCGTCTAGATTTTTGTTTGATCGCAGCGAGGGGCCCGCGTCGATGGAGCCACGCAAAGCACGGTGGTCTCCCTGGGTTAGACCGCGTGTCGATCGCGCCCTTTCTCAAGCTATGACCACGCAGGAGTTGCGAGGTGATTCAACTCCGGAAGCCGGGCGGCGGTAGCTACATCGCACGCGGCCTGCAACCCAGTGCTGTGGAGGCGAGGGTTCGTGGATCACACGAATGTTGTGATACGCCCTTCCCGTGAGCATCAAGGAGGAGCCACACTCTGGCTCGCCTGGATGAGATAGAGGGTTGTCCACCCCCCCGCCTCGCATGCGTAGGTATTTTTCCGGGTGCTCTGGCAACCTGCCCACGTGAAAACACTCACGAATTGGCCAATAACACCTTAATATATAGAAAGCGCAGACCTTGAGGACAGGAAATTTGGCTGCTGCTCAACGGCTGGTTGCCTTTCCTGCTCGTCTGCGGTTCCTCCTTGCGCCTCTTGAGTCGTCGTCTCTCTACGAGAGTGAGCGAACGCAGCGGCGGTAGTGGCGGCAGCAGCGCAGTATTACCAGTTGACATTATTATCATGTTCTTAGGTTTTTTCCGTAAAGTCACGTAGGTAAAACATTAAAATTAATAAAAGTAAAATAAAAATTTATTTTTATTTTACTTTTTATTTTACTTTTACTAATTTTTATTTTTTACCTACGTGACTTTACCGGAAAAAACCTAAGAATATGAATCCTTGCAGTCACGAAAGCTTCAAATCTAGAATTATTATCATGATTAACATGCCCACGGTAGCGTGTGCCGAAAGCTTGAGAGAGGAACTGCTCGACACGCGGACCGGCCAGGAGGGCCGCACTTGGACAACGAGCGGCCTGCGAAAGCCTCCGCGTGAAATTGACAAAGCTTTACCGGCGGAGGAGTTGTGCTCGCCCTGGGAGGACCCGAGACCGCGCCCCTCCACGCTCGTGCAACCATAACCCTGCTAAGCGGCGATTGAGTGCGCACGGAGATGGGGGGGGACTCCAACCGTACCTGCCACCCCCACAACACCCCCACAACACCCTGTGGCTGATGCACGCATGTGAGCGTGCAGGTGCAGCAGCGTTGCCAACTCCGTAAAGCGGATAGTCGCCAAGCGAACCTCAGAACGTCGCGAGACGTTGCCATGCAGAACCTGTAATGTTACCGTCACGAGAGAATGCGCCAAGCATTACTCACGGTGCACCGATACGGGATCCTGAACGTGAACCTGGGATCGCCCCTAAATCTGCATTGCGTCCTCGTCCTAGAAAGTCGCTAACTTTGCCACCAGATGCTTTGACGATATTTTGCCACTCGGAAAACCGAAAAGGTCACTGGATTTGGCGACAAAATCGTGGAGTTGGCATAGCTGATCTGCGGCCTAGTGAAGGCTTCGCCTGCACCGCGCCAAATGCAGGGCAGATTCTGCGTTTGTTTTGGGGGTCAGGCTTCGGGTTGGAGGCCCCCCTCCATGTGCGTGAGCTGAACGTGCGTAACTTTGCCTGATGTACTCACCTGCATGACGCACAGCCCAGGGGTCCACCCTGGGGGTTCGGCTGCTGCTGCTGTGGCAGCGGCATATCTGTAACCCGACTGAGGACACCTATGAGACAAAAATAACTGTCTCGCAAGCACGCAGACGCACACACACACACGCACGTGCACTCACACCACGCGTTCAAGCATGGAAATGCCTCGTGAGGATGTACACTGTCGTCCCTGTTCCGGCTGTCCTGTCCAACCCCACAGTAACACATCCTCCTCTCAGCTAACCCAGTGGGCAGCCCTCTTCCTCTACCCTGGCTCTCTACCAGGCCGTGCTGCCCAAGTGAACGTCTCTCTCTTAACGATGCAATCCGATGCCGTCGGCACACTGTAAATTCTTGAATCGGTATTCTCCGCAGGGCCGTCCGACTTCGAGGAAGCACTGCCAACCGTGGTCACGTACGGGGTTGTGTAATTCGGTTAAAGATAGGGGAGCCGTATCGCTTACCGCACACACGGGCAGAGAGGGGGGGCTCGCACCGGCTCCTGCAGGTGGCGGTTCCTCGCCGGTCCGGCGATGGCACGCGACGCCGGCGCTCGTGCGGTGATTATCGTGTTCACGCCAGCGCTGGCGAGGTCCCAGATTCGCCCGTAAATCTCCACATTCAGGGCTGTCGCAGGCTATGATCGCTCGCCGCATGCATAATGGCCGAGCTTGCCGCAGCGTAGCGTAAAGGGCTGCAAAGCACGATTTACAGTTTGATGGTCACCGAGTAGAGCGAGGGGAGGGGGGCCTCACCGTTTATCGCCTTCTCTTTGCCCGGCTCCCGTCCTGGACCCACGATGCGATGCCAACGTCGTGAACGATCTGCACAGCCAGAGCCGTGCTGTTGCGATGAATCTCGAACCCGCCTCACGGGCTGGAGGAAGGGGGAAATCGGACGGGGGGACCCCGCTTCACTGCTTGCGCCAGGGCCAAGTCTGATTGATCTGACCTCCTAGCAGCGGCGAGGGCCAACTGCTGTGCAGGGCGCCCACTTCAGTTCGGCGCCGGGCTCGGTGCCGAACCACGTTTCCCGGCGAGCGTGGAGTCTGGTTCAGGGTTGAGCGCAAAGCAGGATAGACGCGTCGTTGAGGAAGCTCGCGGCGAAGGCAGCGCAGCCGACGGGGCCCGGCGGCAGTGCTTTCTCGTGGGAGCGATGGCGCCGCGGCGGCGCCGCGATCCGCTTGACGCGTCGCCCCCCCCACCCCACTCCACTCCCCCCAAACGTGCGGTTGTGTCGGCTGCAGATGCGGAGGACAGCAGCGAGGACGAGTTGGTGCATCCCACCGCGGGCACGGCTGTGTGAGCACCATACCGCACCGCACACTCTCACGTTAAACCACCACGGCGTGGGCGCAGAACCAACGGTCCACAGGCCGGGCACAGCCCAAGACTCGATTTCGTGTGGGCCTGCAGCCACGCTACGAGTCTGTCACCGCAGGCGTCCTCGCCGTGCTCGCGGGGTACCGGAGGGGAATCTTTTTTTTATACCTGGCAACATCGCCGTTTCTCATTTGTGTGTGCTCAGTCACCTGTAGAGCCAAGGCCCAGCGGTGGCCAGCGCCATGCCCGGCCCCCTTTCTCTCCCTAGTGCTGATCTTTAAACACCACATCAGGTACTCATTTGAGGCTGAGTTGACCTAGGTGAGGCCCAGGACCGGTTCAGATAATCGCGACTGATGTTGGCCTTGAGCGGGAATCGAACCCCGGATCGCCGGGTTCGTAGCGCAATGCGCTAACCGCTACACTCCGGTCGAAGACACACACTCGCGCACGCAGCTGGTGTACATTTCTAAATAAACGCGGAAATAATGCAGCTCGCGTTGCTGAAGTGGCGCTGATCACTGTCCGCTGTGCCGCTGGCTTTGCCGCATGCGACGCTGGGCGCTGCTGCTCTGAACCGCTGGGCGCTGCTGCTGTGCACCGCTGCAGACTGCAGGGCTTGGAGACGTCCAGAGGCAGCGCTCCGGGCGAGGGCAAACCCAGAGACAAGGTACAAAGCAAACACGTGATGACCACGTACGTGAACGTTCGACCGTATCCCACCGTGCCGGTCGGTGATAATTGGCGAAGGGGCGGTGTGTGCCTCGGACAAGTTCAGATGTTAACGGTCGCCGCTGGCTTTAGCCGCGGAGAATCCAACTCGGGTCGCCGGGTTCATTGCGTAATGTGCCAACCACGGCGCAACCGCTCCACGCTGGTGAATATTATTGAATGTAACGCAGAGTTGTGGGAGAAACGTTAAATCAGCCAGCAGCAAGGGACGTGACGAACGGAGCCACGCAAAGGTTAGGCGGTGACGCGGCCCAGCAGTTCGCCGCTCATTGGTAGGGGTGACCAGGCCAAGACCATCAACCTGCTGCATTTGAGAAGTGTCAGCAGTAGGATCTCGGCAGCGGTGACGGCGCCGCACCCTGACCTCTTCGTCGCCCGACCGCTCTCACGTTTATTTTGCCGAGCGTCAGAGCCTTGACTTGCAGCGCCCCCCCCCCCACTCCGCGGGTCTGCGTGGCTTAGGCTCGGCGGCGGGCAGCCACGCAGAAGGACATGCTGTACGCTGGCAGCGAGTGCCCCGCGCCCTCGCTCGCCCCGGACGCGGCGGTGGCGCCGGGAGGGACGGGCGTGGCGGCGGCGCGGACCGGCAGCGGCGGCGCCCTCGCGCTGCTGCTGCCCGTGGTGGAGCTGCAGGAGAACGGCGACGAGCCGCGTGGCCCGCACGTCGCCAGCCCCTCCGGCAACGCCGGCGCCGCATGGGAGGCCTCGTGCCAGTCCCCGCGACAGGGGAACGGCCAGTGAGTAGCGGACTGGCCAAACGTACTATTGACACTGACTCGACTCACTCACTACAGACTCCAAAAAACTGCAGACACAACTCGCTCACTGCAGACAAACTCACTACAGACTCAACTCACAACAGATTCAACTCACTCCGCACCACCTCTCCGGCTGTTCCACCACACCACACCAACTCTCCCAAGGTCATCACTAAAGCTCGGGGCACATGCCCCTATGTGCGCGTGTTGTCTGTGTTTGTGTTCTCTGTATGCGCCACCCGAGTTCGTTGGAGAAAGTGTTTTTGCCGCCACCTGTGTGAGCTTTAAATCCACGGGGATACTGACAGATCCTTGATGCGGCGGCACTGGCCGCGTCTCATTGCGGGAGAATCGGAGCCGTTGGTTAACGTGGCAGGCGGGCGCGTTGAGCGACGCGTTTAACGGGCATCGGCGTGGTGCCGATGATGGACGCGCATCCGGAGGAGAAGAAGTGAACGCGCTCTCCGTGTTTTCGGTCGTTCCTCGTCCGTCTCATACCGCAGACGGCGCCAGGCCCCAGCCCTGGCGCGAGAACGGTCTTGGCGAGACCACGGGGGCTGGGCTCATGGGCCCGGGCGACCCGCTCTGCACCTGCACCGTGATCGCGCGACGTTACTTTATAACTCTCGTCGTCGTCGCCGCCGCCGCGAATTCTGGACAATGAGTTTCCCTCCTGCGAGCGCACGTCACTCGGAGTGTTGCCTTTATTACCGCCACGTGTTTCCTGTTGCGAGCGAAAAACAAGGGTGAAATTATTCTCTCAACCGTCATGGGTGAATCCTCCATTGCTGGCCGCAGTGATGGCCTGTATGGTCAGTGTGTGTGGTGAGTGTGTGGTGAGTGTATATGGTGTGTATGGTGAGTGTGTATCGTGAGTGTGTGTACGTGGCGTTTCACAGTGGAGCAGTGTAAGGGAAGAAGCAGAAAGGGAAGTGTGACCTGCAGCGTGGTGGGTGGGTGGTTGAGTGAGTGGGTGAGTAGGTGAGTGAGTGGTTGGGTGAATGAGTAAGGTGAGTGGGTGGGTGAGTAAGTAAGTGGGTGAGTAAGTGAGTAAGTGGGTGAGTAGGTGAGTGGGTGAATGAGTAAGGTTAGTGGGTGGGTGAGTGGGTAAGTGAGTTGCGAGTGAATGAGTGGATAACTCAGTGGGTGGGTGAGTGGGTGGTGACTCGCAGCGTGGTGAGTAAACACAGTGTGGCGAGATGACACGGTCGGGTCCAGTAGAGCGAGACCTCCATACAGGTGGAGGAACCCACGGGGGGGGGGGGGGGGGGGGGGAAGTTGCGTTGCTGGTTTCCGCTACCGGGCCGGCGCACACCGACACCGCCGCGGCACCGTCCAGGACGAGGCAGCCCAAGGCACAGACGGCCGCTGCCGATGCACACCGAGGCCGCGTGCCGGGCACCCGGGCGGCCAACGCAGCGCTCGACCAGCGGTGCCCAATCGGAAGGTTGCGACGTTAAATCCGGGGCTGGGTTAGGATTGGCTCGACTCACCATCCCTCGGGGGGGCGGGCGGGGGGTCAGTAAATTGAGTTACGGTGATTCCCCGTCTTAGGAATGTAGAATTTCCACCGCTGGGGTCTGCAAGGTTGTGAACAGCAGGTGAGCGACGAGCGCTGTGTGGAGCCTCGCTCGTGAGAAAGCGGGGGGGGGGGGGGGGGGGGGGGGGACCGTAGCCACGGGAAGGTCTCCGTGGAGACGTCGCATTACAAGTACCGGGAGCGATGTGACGGCGTCGGCGCTCGCTGCTACAGAGCGCCCCACTGTGCTGTAGAAGGACTATCGCCACAAGGAGTCACTTCCTCCTGAAACACAGTTATCATGTCACACGAAGGCGTTCGCCACCAATATTACGATTCGTAATATCGTTAACGCCTTACGACGATGCTTCGTGGGATCTCCAGCGAAACGTCGGACAAAGTTGTCAAAAATGTTGCTTGGGCTTTTGAGCGTACCTCCCCCTTCCCCTCCTCCACCCCCGCTGGCTTTGCTGAAAAACAAAATCGATCGGCGCCGTTGGCCACGACGGGACGACTCAATTGGCTCTGCCGCTGGGTAGTGGAGGGCTCTAGGGGAAACATTTTGATCAGAACATATGCGACGATCTGACACAGAAACTCCTTGTGAATCACAATTTACATAATTAGCTCACTGAAGAGTGTTCTCGGTCTGTGTTTTTACAAATGAACCGCTCCGCTGAGTGCCCTAATAGCGCGTCTGACCGCAGCTCTCGAGTCTACTTTATATCAACTCGGCCTCCCGCCCCGTGTGGGGCGGCCGATGGCCACACAGCCCCCGGGGGCGTACCTACGGCACCTGGAGCCGTCGGGTGGCGCATTGGGTCGCGTCCGCCACTAACTTTCACCCGAGTCTTGAGCTCACTTTTAACTCCCCCGAGCGGGCCATGCGTCGGGCGCTAGCCGGCAGAGGCATGGAGGCGACGGCGGAGGAGGAGCGGCACCTGCGGACCCGGGAAGCCCTGGCCTCCTGGCATGGGGTGGTTGGACAGGGGCGGCCGTGGCGTGCGGGACCCCCCCGGGTGGAGGAGGCCGGCGGCGGCGGCGGCCCCGGGGACCGGGCGGGAGGGGGTGGCCGTTGTGCGCTGCCACAGGTGTTGCCTCTCCTCGTGCCTCCGCGCGGGAGCGTGCACCGCGTGGCCCTGCGCGACGGGACACGCTGCGCATCCTTGTCGCTCGCGGCGTGTGCGGTTATTAACGGCGCCGCACGCTTTGGACTGCATTATAATCACAAGCAAATTACATTTACAGCCACGCATTTCCCAATTACCAGCCCGTCGTTCACTTATTAAGATAATTGCCTTGGATGATTTATAATTGCGGTCGTCAAAATGCGGTCCTGCTCGCAAATTAACCCGATAATCGCGGGCGCCCCACGATGCTTGAACGCTGCGATGTTCACGCACGTGACGCTTCCTCGGAGCCTGCGCGCAGCGTGGGAAGCATGGGTCCCTCTTCTTAGTCCCGCACCTGGGCCTCTCTCTAGCTTGGGAGCCGCATTGCAGTCACACCGCCTGCACACCCATTTGCTATGCGACTGCCCGCGTGAGACACCACGGGTTCACATCGGGTGCTGGCTGCTGCCGCTGCTGCCGCCGCTGCTGGTGTTTAACTCCGCGTTGCCGTTCGCGTTTTCTTGCCGCCGCCGTCGTTGGGCAGCTATGGTGGCACTGGGACCTTGTGGAGCACGCAGGGAGCAGGGAGCAAGGTGCATGGTTGTGTGTGGGGGGCGGGGAGCGCAGGCGTATCCGCGTGCAGCATGCCGACAGCCGCTTGCCGCCGCCGCTGCCCGCAGTCGCCGAAGAAGCCTGGCTTGGGCCAGCGGGCGCCCGGCCGCCGAGGCGAGCACGGTTCCCGCCCTCAGCGTCTGCGGACGCCGGCTCTGACGATGTCCTCTTGTTGCGCACAGCAGCAGCAGAACGCCGTCCAGTGGCTCGGAGAGGAGGAGCACCGAGCCGTCGCCGCTCCTCGGCAGGCGCAAGACGCTTGACAAGAACGCCGACCGAGCCAAGCGCGACCAGAAGCAGTGAGTGCGCGCCGGCCGCGTGTTACCATGAGGCGCCGACGTGTCTCGGTGCCCCGGCGACCTGGTAGTACCACGGGTGACCGGGTGTACTGGTGACCCGTTGCCCCGCTATCGGCTTCTAAGCCGCTACATTTTTCCAGCCTTGGCAACAGCGCGTGCCAGTATCGGCTAGGGGCGCCAGCTCGCGACGCTCTCGACTCCCGCGCTCATGCAGTTGGTGTTGTGCGCGTGCCCCTGTGCGCGTCGGGGGTCGGCGCAGGTCCGACTCGGGAACGTCGGAGGCGAGCATCACTCCGCCGCCGTCACCCCCGCCTCGTGCGCGCACCGACAAGAACGTCTTTTCGCGGCTGACGAGCGCCCAGGCGCCGTCCTCGCCCGCGCACGACAAGTGAGTCGGTGCCACGCCCCGCACACGCGCACGCCTCGCCGCCCTATGGCGTGGTGGAGTTAGTGTGGCCGGCGCAGGCCGGTGTCTTAGTGACCTACTTCCCAGCTGGTACTCTGCTATGCCACGTGTCCCGATACCTCGGGACCCTCGTGCCCCAATGCCCCGGTGCCCCGGTGGCTCGGTGCCCTGGTGACTCGGTACCACAGTACCCTCAGTGTCCCGGGGTCCATCTCCAAGCCACTAAACTGTGTGAACCTCGGTGCAGCAACTGTCCATAGCGGTGGGGTCAGCGTGTGTGGGGGTGGGTGGACTGGGTAGCAGCGTCAGCTCGCGACGCTCCGTGTCCGTCCCCAACTGTTCGTGTCACCGCTGTGCGAGGCTGGCGTGAGAGAAGGGGGACTTGTTGCCGCGGTGGTGCCGGCACGGCAAGAGATGTCGGCGTCACGTGAGACGGAGTGCCGTTGTACTTGCCCGCCTTACCTCCCCACGGTCTGGGCCTTCCAGTTCTACTCGTGACTGTACCTATCTGTTGCGTCATGCTTTCCTCTCCCAGGTCAGATGACAGTGACTCTTCCTACCCAGAGTTCCGCAGGTATTGAGTTCTCTTCCCACCCTATTTCTGGATTGGTGTTGTCGTGTTTATTCTGCCCCCCCTTCATTTCATTTCTCTCCCGCTCCAATCCACGTGTCACTTGGTGATTTACGCTGCCGCACGGCGCTCGCTGGGCTCCCACCGCCACCGCCGCCGCTCCGCCCCCCTCCCCCCCCTCTGCCGGGGGGGGGGGCAACCTGGGCGCCACGTCACGTGTGACTCACCGTGTGTGCCGCGCGCATTAACGCGTTCATTTTTAATTTGCTCTGGGTGTCCTTGCATGGCTTTGTCGCTCGGGAGGGCGCGCCGCTGACCGCGGGGCCTGCGCTAACGCTGCGACGGGCGCCGCGATTTTACAACGCGAACCCGCCGACGAGAAACCGGTGGATCCGAGCGCACGCCGATCCAGTTTCACATCCCGGTCGACCTCTCGGGCCGATCCGCTTCTCGCGGCGTGGCCGCGCGTTGTAGTCGCCGCCGTGCCCTCTGTGGATCAATCGTAGAGCGCCCGAGGCGGAGCTCCGCTCAGATATCGGAGTAGTTGCCTAAGCGATCGGCGCACGAGATGGTGGGAGGTGGTCTCCCCCCCCCGCCGCCACGAGGGCGGCCGGAGCCACGGCGCGCCGACGCGAGTGACGGCGCGTGCCATTCCGTGCCGCCAGGGGCGTCATCAACCCGTACAGCGGCACCGGGCGTGGGAACCGCTCGCAAGCGCTGCAGTGCCTGCACGTGGCCGAGGGGCACACCAAGGCCGTGCTGTGCCTAGACGCTACCGACGACCTCCTCTTCACCGGCGCCAAGGGTGAGTGCGCTCCGTGCGCTCCGCGCGCTGCTCCACGCCGTCTCGTGGTCCGCGTGCCCCGTGCTCTTGCGCATGAACCGCGTGAGTGGATGTGAGGGTGGAGTTGACACAGCGGGGGTTTGTGTGACCAGGTGAGAACCCAAGGGACCAGGATGAGTCTTGGTTGCAAGAGTGACATGGGGCGTCAGCCTGCTGCCAGTAGGGGGAGATCATTGCTGGGTGAATTTGGCTAATCTTGGACCTTGATGCCAGCACACAATGGCCTCCCCTTGCGACTGACATCACGCGACCTTTAACGTCCACTGCGAGTAAAGCAGACGGTGCGTAGTATCGTTTATTACGCACTGCAGTAATGACCAGGGAGGCCGCTAGATACGAACCGCTCCAGCAAGAGGCGAACGCGCTACCCTTGGGCAGAGGTCGCAAACGGGTTTTGATTCCTTACCCGTACCCGTACCCGGCCGCACCTGGGTCGCAAACGGGTACCCGTACCTGGCCGGGTACGGGTAGCCGGGTATCGGGTAGGGTACGGGTATCGGGTACCCGGTTGCGACCTTTGCCCTTGGGACAGATCACCGAGTGACGTCGCGTGCGCGTGTGCGCGGAGCAGACCGCACGTGCAAGGTGTGGAACCTGGTGACGGGTCAGGAAATCATGTCGCTGGGCGGCCACCCCAACAACGTGGTGTCCGTCAAGTACTGCGGCGACTCGGGCCTCGTGTTCACCGTCTCCATGTCGTACGTCAAGGTGTGGGACATCCGCGACTCGGCCAAGTGCATCCGCACGCTCACGTGAGTCCCCGCCGCGCCGAGTGTCGCCACTCGCACGGGGCCGTACGTCCGCGGGCGCGCCTCAGCCACTCCAACCTCCACGTGCCGTGTGAATGTGTGGACACACCTCTCTGTCTAGATGAGCGCAAGCCTCTCGTGTGAATCGCGTGACTTCTACGTGGCCACCTCCACTCGGAATCGCTCCCCTCTCTCCGCTGTGAAAACGGACGCTGCTCCTCTGTGCAGCAGCGTCGAGGCCCTGGTGCAGCCTCTTCCTCCTCCCGTCCTCATCTCCCCTGACTCATTGCTTCCGTTTCTCCGCTCATTTTTCATCCTTGTCCTCGTATCTCCCACTCTTTCTCTTCCCTCTTTCCGTTCCTTTTTCCCCATACATTACATCCTTTACTCTGCCCTCCCCTTGCTTTGCCACGGGTACAACAGTTGCTAATGTATGAACAAAGTAAAAGGCCCTCCCGGTAGCCTTAACAGGCTGTTATGGAAAGTGGTGTTTGTATGCACCTGTGAAGGCCAACACAGCATACGAGGGGAGTCGGTGGCTGGTACCACACCCGGCTGCCTTTGTCTCCCCAGTGCTGATGTTTTATACACACACCGTACCTGGCACTCATTCGAGGCCAACATCTGTGGCGAGTAATGTCTGAACCGATCGTGGGCCTCCCCTAGGTCAACTCAGCCTTAGATGAGCACCTGGTGTGGTGCGTAAACATCAGCGCAGGGAGACAACGGTTCACCGTGCGCGAACTCTCGCGTCGCGCCAGCCTTACTCGGCTCTTTGTCTTCATACAACGGGCGTCCGCAGGTCATCGGGACAGGTCACCATGGGAGACCAGTGCGCCAGTGTGTCGAATCGCACGGTCACCTTCCCGGCCGGCGAGAGTCAGATCAACCAGATCATGCTCAGCCACAATGGCGCCTTCCTCTACGCCGCCGCGAGCAACTTCGTGCGCATGTGGGACCTCAAACGGTGAGCACGCACAAAGACAAAGATCCCTCATATAGCCTTGACAGACTTTTGAGGCAAGTGCTATCAGTGAGCACCAACACACAAATACACATTTCCCCATTGGGACTTAGCAGAACTTTGGGGCAAGTGCTGTTTGCGAACAACAACAACAAATGCCATTTGCCACTAAGTGGCGGTGACGTCACCACGACGCTTGTGCCAGGTGAACACCTACACACACACGTACACAGATCCCCCCTATAGCCTTCACAGACTTTTGGGGCAAGTGCTCTTAGCGAAGCACCTCCACCCAAACATCCCCCCCTATACGATTAACAGATTGTTGGGGAAAGTGCTCTTAGCGAGGACCTACGAAGGCCAACGTGGCACATGAGGGGGTGAGTGGCCAGCACCACGCCCGGCCGCCTTTGTCTCACGAGTGGCGATGTTTACACACACTCGCACACACACGTGGGCTTATTTTGTGGTGATGGATGATGATAGTAATATCAACTTGTGCCACGCAGCCACTGCCGCAGTGTTCGCTCGCTCGCTTAGAGAGATAGAGGACTCGGAGACGCGAGAATAAACCACGGACAAGTGGGAAGGAAGCGGCAGTCAGGCAGAGAGCCGGTGCCAAATTCCTCCCCCCCCCCCCCCCAAGCTGTGCAGTCCTCTACAAGTGACGATACGTGTGGGAAGAGAAAGCAGAACGCCCAGAGAAAACACACCGTGCCGATTGGTGCGGGTTGGTGGGCGTGGTAGAGCATGGACCTGGGAGTTTACTGCAGTAAAACATTGGGTTTTACTGCTCTGTCCTATGCTCCACAGTGACCAACCAACACCTGGTTTACGCATACAGTAAAACCATGGATTGCGAGTAACTTGGTCTGCGAGTGTTTTGCAAGACGAGCTAAATTTTTTAATAAATATTAATTTGATAAACGAGCGAGGTCTTGCAATACGAGTAGTACGTGTATACGCTTTGTCTGCCGAGCGTCACGTGATCACAACTGATACACGAGTGCTTTGGATTACAAACACGTTTCCGGAACGAATTATGCTCGCAATCCAAGGTTTTACTGTATTGGTAGCCCTTTCAGGAACTATCCAGGCTCAATTCCCGGGTGATGTGACTTCAACGCGTGGGGTGCATGGAAGGGGGGTGCATGGTACGGACAACGACCATCTGAGGTCATCCTGATAGTGGCACCTCGATTCTTCACTGCTGGTGAGGAGGCGAAGGAGGTGGGGTTACGAGAGCGTCGGTCGCTGAGCGAGCGCGTGTTGCCACGTCTCCAGGTTCCAGTCGACGGGGAAGCTGAGCGGACACACAGGCCCCGTCATGACCCTCACCGTGGACTATAACGCCGACAGCACGAGCAAAGTGATCACCGGCTCCAAGGACCACTACATCCGGGTACGGCGCTCGCCACGCCAGTGACTTATGGTGCTTGAGCACGTACTGCGTGTGCATGCAGTCACTCACGCAGCACGCGTGCGGGTGACCTACGTCTTTGTGGTCGCATACATACTCACATGCAGTGTGTGCGTGCACACTGTCGCATACACCTGCAACGCTTGTGTGGGTGTGCCGTCGCGTACGTAGAAAGACACACGGACATGCTCGCTAACAGCACTTGCCCCAACGGTCTGGTGAAGGTTCTATGGGGGATCTTTGTGCACGCCCGCCAGGTCTTCGAAGTGTCGGAGGGAGCGCTGGGCACGGTTGGACCGACACGGAGCATGGAGCCGCCGCACTATGACGGAATCGAGTCGCTCGCCGTCATCGGGGACGTCCTCTTCAGCGGCTCCCGCGACAACGGAATCAAGAAGTGGGACCTCAACAAGCAGGAGCTCCTGCAGGTGGGCGCTGCGGGCTTCCACGGTGACGAGGCCGTCCGGCTCAGAGAAACAGGCTTTCGAACCACAGACACCGGCTGGGCTATGACCATCGTGACAATGTGAACTGGTAACACGGCGCCGCCGCACGGAATCCGCTCGGCGCTCGCGTAGAGAGGACGACTCAAGAGGCGCTGAGGAGGAATCACGGTCGAGCGGGAAGGCAGCAGCCAGGCAGCGAGCCGGCCCTCCCAACCATTACCCAAGCTCTGCGGTCCTTTATATATGAAGGTCTTAGCAGCACATTGACGAGTGTTTACGTGTGGGAGGAAACTGGAGCACTCGGAGAAAACCCACATGTGCAAGGGGGAAACACTCTATCCCGCACACACGGAACAGGTGGAATCCACACTTTTGCTGTACCGCCTTCGCCTGGCGAGCCAGGGTACGGCTCTTTCTCGATGGCCACGCAATATCCGTGTGTGATCCATCAACCCTCGCTGCTGCCTCCAGTGCTGGAGCACAGGCCACCCTGTCGCCACCACTGTTACAGTGGTGAGGGTTAGGGCAGGGGCTGTATGCATGGGGAGCAGCAGTGCAGTGGTTAGTCCACTGCGCTACAAATCCGAGTTCGCTGCCGGCCCACGGCCAACACCAGTGACTTTTATCTGAACCGGTGCTGGGCCTCCTCAGCCTCAAATGAGTACCTCGTGCAGTGTATAAACATCGTCACTCGGGAGACAGAGGCGGCCGGGCGTGGAGCCGGCCACCCACTGCCTTGCGTGCCTCGTCTGTGTGCGTCGTCGCTCGCTCACAACGATTCCTGCTCCCCGTGGGGTCGCGAGGAAGGCTCATAATGGCCGTGTCAGACACCGAGCCGCCATCGGGCGTTCGAGCCTGCGTCCCACGGCCCTCTCATGCGAGCAGCCGCACCGACGCCGCGCCGGGAGGCCGGTCGTAGTCCAAGGGGAGGCGACCGGGAGGCCAGGTGGTCAGTGCCGAGCCATCGCCACCGAGATCCTGGAGTTGCGTCGGGGCTCCGGCCGCCAGTGACGAGTTCTCACGCGTTGGGGGTCGGGGGTCGCCTTAAGGGAGATCACTCTTAATTCTAGATTTGAAGTTTTCGTGACTGCAGGGATCCATACTCTTTGGTTCTTTCGGTAAAATCACATAGGTGAAAATAAAAAGAATACAAATAAAAATTACTAAATTAAATCACGACGTTTCGGGCGCAACACAAGCGTCCGTCATCAGGTAGGGACAACCAACAGCGAAAACAGTTGCTGAGGTATGCCAAAGAGATGACTGACAAGGGATTATATTGCTGAGGAGGGTGGGGGAGAAACGAGGACACACCCACACTCACCCTGTCCTCGTGACTTTAGCGAAAGAACCAAAGAGAATGGAGGTCACTCTCTCTCCGTGTGTTTGCGACGTCTCTGCAGCAAATCCCGAACGCGCACAAGGACTGGGTGTGCGCGCTGGGCGCGGTGCCGGGCCAGCCGGTGCTGCTGAGCGCGTGCCGTGCCGGCGTGCTCAAGCTGTGGAACGTGGAACCGTTCGCGCTGCGCGCCGAGCTGCGCGGCCACGACAGCCCCATCAATGCCATCTGCACCAACTCCTCCTCCATCTTCACCGCCTCCAAGTGAGTGCCATTCACCACGCAGCTCACTGCACCGCACCGCTAACCTAATCTATATCTATAGCCATTTTACAACAGACTCAGGCTTTATCATTTCAGCTGGCAAGACCCCATTGAGCCGAGCAGCTCTGTTACGAGAACGACCGTAGCCCAAGACCATCGGCATTGGCGTCAGTTACAGGACGTCACGGTTTCATGGAGTTAGATATCCATAGTTACATAGAGATCCAGAGTTGCATAGAGATCCATAGTTACATAGAGATCCATAGTTACATAGAGATCCATAGTTACATAGAGATCCATAGTTACATAGAGATAAATAGTTACATGTAGATCCATAGTTACATAGAGATAAATAGTTACATGGAGATCCATAGTTACGTAGACCTGGGCAGTGGTGGCAGCTTCCAGAAACTGCAAGGTGGAGGGAATGTGCAAACTAACCAGAGCAACAAGAACAAGAAGAAGCAAACTAACAACAAGTTGTTTACACGAAACCCACGCAGAACTCAACCGCAAGCAGGGTGAACAGTGAGCAAGGGTGATCACACACACATCAACAGCGGTGTCAATAATCCCATCACGGACGTCCGCGTAAGCAAACCGACCGTGCCCGCACAGCCTCGGACGTAGCGGAGCTGGGCCAAGCAGCACCCCCAGCGATAGCGGCGGAGGCGGTCTTGCAGCACGGCGCCGAGAGGAGGATCTAGGAATTTTCACCAGGCACAGAGGTCCGTCCGGCTAAGGATGGAGAATGTCATTTAATCCTGAACTCATTAGAATTCAGTGCTTTGTCGATGAAGATCGCCCAGTGTAGGTCTCTACATAGGTCCGTCGGGGCGAGATCAGCTTTAGAATGAAGGTTGCATTGATGCGATCTCTAAGGGGGACATCTAAGGCGAATCTTAGAGCTAATCTTAGATAGAGGATTTAGTTTATCGAGGATAGTGTTTGCAGTTGATCTGTAGGCTACACATCCGTCAAGGCCCTCGGTTCAGGGCCAGCAGCATCAGACTCCGGCGGCATCAGAGCCCAGCAGAGCTGCGATGCCTAAACACCGACTGGTTCCCTCGCCTCTTTGGCAATCGCCCTCATTATCGCGACCCGCACCTGACCCCGCCGCAGCGGGAGTCTCTGCGCCCACACCTCTTGACTTACGGCGGCAGGCATGTTTTATCGGTGGTCGTGCGCGTGGCTCCCGTCGGCCGTCGCTTGAGAGATGACTAGCGCGCAGCGCTGGCCCCCGAGGCCGATGCGGCAAGGTCGTTATCAGGAGGCTCCCGATGGCGTTGGCGAAGATAAACTCGGGACGTCTCGAGGACCCCCGCCCGGGAACCTCGCCTGCGGTGGGGCCACAAGACCAACCATGGCCCAGCAGCATTCAACACCTGCAGTGATGGGGGTTCTCCATTGTTTTACGCCAAGTTTGTATAGGAATTGCATCGGGGGAAAATCCTCGCTGGGTTGTTTTGTGCCACCGACCAGTCAGGGAAGTCCGCAGCACACAGCGGTATCAGGAGATGGATCGGCGCACGCGCTCACTCATGTCGCACCGCGCTGCGTGGGAGCTGTGGGGGATATCGACTCACCTGCCCTTCCAGCAGTGGTGGTGCAGACGTCGAGTGTGCAGGCGGTGCAACTGCACAGGGGCCCACGAGCTGCAGGGGCCTAGGTTCTGGGTTACGAAGTGAGTGAACGAGGGGCAAGGGGGTGGAGCCCATTTCTTTCTTGCACCAGGGGCCAGGCCAGCCACGCTACTGCCATCCCACCAGGCCCACAATCACTCCTTAATGCCAGGCGACCCTGGCCCCCCACCATGTCCTCCCGTGAGACGCTCGCTTTGGGCGAGTGGAGTTGTGCCGCTGTGTTGTGACACGGGCGTCTGTGCTCCACAGTGACCGCACGGTGCGGATGTGGAGAGCTCGCGTGGCGCTGGACTCCCACAGCAACGAGGGCGCAGACGCGGCAGAGGAGGGCGGCGGCAGCTAGAACCCCGCACGCAGGCATGCACGCGTGTATACACACGCACGTGCACACGTATATACACACGCACGTGCACACGTATACACATACATGCGCATGTGTACACATGTGTACACATGCACGTTTACATGCATATGCTCACACACACGTGGCCCCAAGGGCTGCAAATGTCAAGTGACCAACAACAGAGCACTATGTGCACACACGCACAGACTTGCGCACATACATACAAAGTTCCCCCATATAGCCTTAACTATCTGTTGGGGAAAGTGGCCGGCACAGTACGAGGGGGTGGGTGGCCAGCACCACGCCCAGCCGTCTTTGCCTTCCCAATGGCGATGTTTTCACACAAAGTACTCATTTGAGACTGAGTCAACCTCGGGCAGGCTCAGAACTGTTTCAGATAATCATCACTGTTGTTGGCCATGAGCAGAAATCTAACTCAGGTCGCCGGGCTTGTAACGCAGTGCACTAACGGTTCCGCTACTGCTCTCCACATACACACTCAAGGCAAGTGATGTTGAGCACACAGGTATATACAGATATATATGCATGCACGCACACTCAAACATACAATAATGTGCACACACACATATATCAAGACACATTTACACAAGCACGTCACCCTGGTACGAGCCACACCACTCGTCGCCCGCGTGGGGCGAGGTGGCCGGCTGGCACCGCCGGGCTCCGCAGCCCCGAGCGCCGCAGCCGCGCCGAGAAAACTGGAAACCCCCCTGCACTCTCTGCTGCTAACTCCGTGAGCCAGCCCGCAGAGCTACGTCCTGCGAGTCGTTACTTCGCTTCCCATTTGCTGCTAAGTGACCCCGTGTCGCGCCTGGTCCTGCAGAGCCACGTCCAGCGCTCGGAGTGTCCTGCCAAGGTGTCCACGCGTGACATCGTCGATCGGCCTTAGGGCTCGTCCGTCCCCACGAGCCCAGACGTAGGCGTCTCACTTGTCGGTGCCACCCGGGGTAGCAGAACTTTCGTGGTTTCAGTTCCTGTGTGGCCATTAACGGTGAGTAAAAGTATTCCTTACACAACCCATCGGCCGCACGACCTTCCGGGATTGCTGAAGTGTCGCACTCCCAGAAGGCAGCGCAGCTTACCAAAGAGTTCACTTGTGTTGTCCGTTGGGAGTGAATTGGAAGGACCAGAGTTTTGCCACCTCAGGGCAGGCGAGACAAGAATTGTGAGTGCCGCGCTTGAACCGTGGTTGAACCCACGAACGACATTTCACCGTGCGTTTCGCTGTGTTTTGAGTTGCGCACCGCCTTAGCGTTTGTTGTGCTGGAAGTTGTTTTTTTGCGAGTTTGCATGGTTGCCGACACGCTTGCGCGGCCGGCATCGTGTCGCACCTGTGACTACACGCGGCCTTGCGCTCGTTGCGAACCGGCCAGTGTCCACCCCCTGTCAGTGTTGACCTGCCCCCAGTGCACTGTTGGCATAGGAATTTCTAGGCCCTACTCTCCCTGCGATTTCAGATGTCCGTGTGCCTGTGTAATCCAGGGCTTTATTTTCTCGTGGCATTATTGTCCGTGCATGCCTACTGGATTAGGCAGGCACGAGACTCACAGCCAGAGCAAGAAGTAATATGCTGGATTTGTGAATGAGCCCTGCTGCTGCACGGGTGCGAGCGTGGCGGCAGTTGTGTGCGGAGACTTGAATGTGAGCAGCGTGTGGAAGCTTTGTTTTATTTAAAAGGACCGTGTTCCCTCCGCTTCAGGTTTCCCTTGCTCCCTAGGTGTGTATTTATTTGAGGGTTCTAACGTAAATGATTGTGTAGCCGTTTGTTTTTAGTTGTAAATAATAATCCGCAGTCTGTTTAAAATAAATGTTGAGCTGCACGATGATGTGCCGTGTCACCGCGTGTCCTTGAGTCGAGCATGGTGGTGCGAGGTGCTTTGCGACGGAGCCTCCAGGAGCAAAATCCCCACCCCCAGTCTCCTGGTCATCTCACATCAGCCTCCCCACACGCGCATCCTGCAGCACACCTCAACACCACACTCGCCCAATCATATTCAATCAACTTTAATTGGCTCTTTTTTTAAAAACTAAACACACAACTAAAATAATGACATGCAAGACATTATAACACGGCTAGAGAGATGAGTAGACAAGGAGACACCACCAATATAAACATCAATAAGACACTTTCTTCACCTTTAAGAGACTGCAGATTTTTTTCTTCCACCTAGCAGGATACAGTGCCAATTCCAGCCCAGGCCCGCCGCAATGGGGGTACAGTAGCAGGCGGGCGGGCAGGAGGGAGTCGAGACGGTGGGGCCCTGGCCCGCACGCTCAGAACTTGAGCAGCGGGGAGTCGATGTTGATCAGGAGGCACTCCGCCGATGACTTCTGACCCAGATTGATGAGCGGGGAGCTCAGGTCGATGAGCTGCAAAGCAAAAGCGACACGCTGACCGTCACCGCGGATTCTCCCGTGGGTCGACACCAAATGCCAGGGCCACAGCGCGAGGAGGCCACATCGCTAAACCCGCCAGGGGCTTCATTCTGGGGGTGCGCCAATTGAGTGTGGATTTATCAATAATCGTTTATAGAATCCATCAATTCTATCTGTTAGTCTCGATTTTGCAACCTCAGTTTGTATTGTTTGTAATATCCCTATTTTAATGGCATTAACGTTTAGTGAGCAAATCATCGTACAAAACAATTGCCGCAAGCATAATTCTGTGCTTGTGTCGTGAGTGTACGAACTGATCTGAGGCAACGACTCCACGCGTCCTCGCATGCCTGCCACTCGTGCACCCAGGACCTGATCTTCCAGATCGCTGGCCGATTAGAGGAGGTGGCACGTGACCAGTGGTGGCCGCAGCCCCATATCGTGAGTGCTGTTTACTGGATGTGGTGTGCTGGGTGCGGACATTTTTCCGGGATTTGATCTCCAATTTGCCACTTGCCTCCTTGGAACTGCCACTGCCGCCGCCGCCGCCTCCATCTCGAGCCTCGGGGCTGTCGGAGAGGTCGATGAGGGGTCGCTCCTCCGCCTGGGTCGACTTCTCAGCCGCAAACCCACGCAGGAGGTCACCGCTCGCTTCCCCTTGCGAGGCAAAGGTCTGGAACAGCACAAACGCCGCCATCAACAACGCCGCCATCCACCACCACCATGGCCCCCCAACCAGCATTGCCAAATCAGCGATTCCATCATCGCTAGGTCTCGCGACTCTTGGCGCCTTCCTGAGCAACAAACTTTCGTCAAACGCAACGAGCGACAAACCTCGCGACGCTCTGGGACGAGATCATCATGCACCTTTGAGAGCGATTCAGGGGGGTGCGGCGTCAAGGACCCCTTATCCCGTTTATACGTGCCATGCTTGCCAACTGTCCATTTTGCAAGCATGGCAACTCGAAGGTTCGGCAACTGTCTACTGCACGGAGTTGGCCACCGCCGCCCCTCGCACGGTCCGCCTGTGGGAACGGCGCGATGCGGTCGAACGCCGCTGCTCACCTCCGCAGGAAGCAACGACTCCAGCTGCTCCAGCGCCGTCGCGGTTCCAAACAGGTTGACGACCACGTTCTGGAGGGGGACGTCGCTGTCCGGGCTCAGGGAGACGATCGACGAAGACGCCTCAACGGGGACTGCTCCCTTCGCGACGCGACGCTCCACCCCCACGGGGCTAATCAGCGGTGCGCTGGCGCCGGTACGGGAGCTGCGGCGACACGAAGAGGGGCGCCCCCCCCCCCTGCACCCAACATCGGCGTGAGCGACGGCGCAAACGCGTGAACGGCACCGCGACGCCAACGGCCACGGCGAGGGCTCGTCGTCAGAGGCTGGGATGTCAAATCAGGCAAGGTACAGCCGGGGCCTTCGTTGTGCTCACTCTCCGTGCCAACACCACTCAAGACAGAGGTCTGGGCCCTCCTGGGCTTGGGCATGGCTAGACAGCTGTGTGTGCTACAGGGTCACATGGGTTACATCTCTCGCTGGGTTCCCACCTCGTGGTTGCGTGCAGACTCTCCGTGGCTGGCGGGGAGAACAAGAGCTGGGAGGGAGCTCGCGTGTCCGTGGCCTTCCCCTCGGCGTCCGCTCGCACGGCGACGGCGACGGCGGCGGCGATGCCGTCTGGGTCGCGCCGGGGTCTCAGCGAGGCCGGCGTGCGGATCGGCGTGATGGCCGGGATACACGAGCGCCGGCGAGTTGCGGACGCCGGCGTCGACCCCGGCGGCACCACCGCCCCCCCCCGTGACCCCGCCACAGGCGTCGGCATCGCGGAGCGGGGGGGCGGCTTTGATGGAGTCACAAACACGGCCGGTGGCCTGGAGAATGGGGAAATAATACGGCTACAGAGATTGACCCTGGCACACCCTGGCCACGCCCTGGCAATCTAGAGTTTATGGGAAATGCGGAAGATGTGCAGCTGCATCTCACCTGTCCGTCGAGCCGAGGGCCGAGAGCCTCTGTCCCCGCAGCAGCTTCACGGGCGTCCCCGCCTCTGGGAGTTTGCCGCCAGCTGCGACGCCAGCTGCGACGCCACGCGGTTTGCCCGCTCGGCATACGCCCCGCGCTTCCCCCGAGACGGCGTCACCGGACAACGCGGCTGCCGACCCGCGCCCCCCCTCCTTGCTGGGCGTCGCGGGGTGACGAGCGGAGCCCGTCCCGACGGCGCGGGCGACGTTCCCGGTTCCGCTCGGCGCAACCGGCGTCCCCCGGCCTTCCCCTCCCGCCGCCGCCCTCCCGCCGTCCAGTTGGGGCCCGCGTCGGGCCGGCCGGCCCGCGGTCGGCACCCGCTCGCCGCCCGCGATGGCCGAGCCCTCCGACGCGGAGCCCGCGCGCCCGCTGGGAAGCGCGGACGTCGCCCTCCTCGCGGGATGGCTCTTGGACGCCGGCGCCTGCTGACCGGAGAGGGACAACGGGCGGGGGAGTCCCCCCGGTTGGACCGGATGGCCCGTCGGCAGTCGAAGCGCGCCCCGTAGGCGCCCGCCGCCGGTGGCGGCGGCGGCGGAACCTGCGGAGAGAAACGGCGGCGTCAGCGCCTGCCGCGGCGGGGCTCGTCCGTGCGGGAAGACGGCGCGGGACGGCGCCGTGCGGCGCCCGGCCCACCGCGGCGACTCACCGCGGGGGGAGGCTCGGCGGCTCGAGCCGAGGCCGAGCAGCGAGGAGCACGAGCCAGAGGAGGACGAGGACGAGACCTTCTGCTGCCCCGGCGGGGGCCGCGTCCCTCCCACGGGGGCCGGCGGCCTGAGTCCCAGCGCTCGCCGCAGCTGCGGGAGAAAGCGCACGAGTTGGACGGCCACGGCACGGTCGGAACGGCCGTCACGGCCTTCTTTACAAACGTAACGAGTCTCCGAGCGGGTCGAGTGGGAAGGGGGGGGCACCTTGGTGCGGCTGGGAAGGGGCAGGCTCGACAGCGCCGGCGCGTCCAATGTGTCGTCCTCCAACACGGGGCAGCTGAGGAGAGGCCTCTCCTCTCCGCCGTCGTCGCTCGCCTGCGCCGGGAGACAAGCGCTCGTCAGGAAGTGGACGGTCAGGTCGCCACGGCGGTCGTGCGAGGTCGCCGAGGACGCACGGACGCGCACGAGTATCACGCGCTACCTGCGTTACCTGCGTTACCTGCGTTGCCGTGACTGCCGAGGTGCACGACGGTAGTTGCAGAGCGCCGGCGCGTGTCGCGTTGGTCGACGGCTGCGGTTGTGGCCGTTCCGATTCGGGGCTGGCTCCGCTCACCTCCCCCTCCTCGCCATCCCCGGCCACTCGACGGTCAGAGTCTGGACAATCGCCGGTCCCGGGCGCCGGTCCTCGCGGCAGAGAGGTTTCCTGGCGGGGGGTGCGAGGCTGGGGCTGGGCCGTTAGCTTGAGCTTGGAGCAAGACTCCTCCACGAACCTCTCCACCACCCTGGCCCTGGCCTTGCTTCTGCTCGACCGAGCGACGTGACCCGCCGCGGGGGCCTCCCCGGCGATGCTCGCCTTCTCCATGTGCAGCGCCAGCAGCGTCGCCTCCTTGCAGACCTGATGGAGTGAGGGGGGAGAAGGGAGAGGGATCCAATGTCACTCGCCCGCACCCACGCGCATCGAGGACAGAGCCATGGTTTGGTTGTGGCCGGGGTGTTCGTACGTAGACTGGCGTGGACTGCGGTGGACGTGACGCTCAGGAATGGTTACAGCTCTTTAAGCAGGATGAGCGATAGGCTCGTCAAGGTGGGGAGGGATCGTTAAGGTGGGGAGGGATCGTCAGGGTGGGGAGGGGGCACCTGCACAAACTTGTCTCCGCTCAGGGGACTCCAGTGTGGCTCGGGGCCCAGGTCCTGCTGCTGCAGCCCCTTGCCCACCACGATGCACTTCTCCCGGTGGCCCATCGGCCCGAAGAACACCTCGTCGTCGTCGTCCTCCTCCTCCTCCACGTCCCCCTCGTCCCCCCTCTCCTGACTAAGGGCAGCACTCCGGGGTTACGGGACCGCGAGGCCGCGGCACAAACACTACGCGTCCTCACACCAGCGGCCTCTCGGCTTTCCAGACCAACAGCACTAAGCAACATTTGTCCTGAAAGCCGATCGATCGACGGAATGAAGACCTAGTAATAGGTTTTTACCCTTTCAACTGGTACAAAAACTGACACCTTTATACAAGGCATCATGTTTGCAATAACCACAACACAAGCAGTCAAATGCAAACAAAAAGAAACAACTCTGATGATGATAATGATATGCACTGTCCTTGAAGTTGATTGGTCCACACCCGAGACAGCTTTTCTTAGAGCCTAGTCTCCATTGGTGTTGGACCAGATGACGCCAAAAGGCGTACAACTCAAAGACAGCGCACTATCAGAATATTGAGAGCTCGGGGTAAGCATTTACACTATGAGACCTCCTTTACCAGTGTTGTACCAGTTGAAATGGTAAAATCTATTACTATATTTTGCCACTGGTAAAGGAATGAAGACATTTTTATTCGTGGAGATGCAGAAGAACAGAGTTCTGTTTATTATGTGCTTCATTATTATCATGATGCTTGTTCACCAGGAAAGCCTCACCGAGTCTCAAGACTCTCTTTCAGGAGGGTCCTGCCGAGTTTTCGCAGCAAGGGGCGATGTTACGTTTTATCCAAACAGAGTAATGTGCGGGTAATGTTTCAGCATTGGCATGTTGTCTAGCCAATGCCGATGACATTGTAGGTGGTTTGTTTTGCTATTGGAGGAAACCGAAGAACCCGGAGTAAACCCTTGCAGGACAGGTGGAGAAATAACGAACTCCACACAGAAAGGTGCCCAAGTCGGGAATCAAGCCCAGGCTTCTTCTTGATGCGAGGCATGAGTGCTACCACTGCCTTGCTTTCAGCCATAATGCTCCACAGTAATCCCTAACGAGCTGTATACAATATTCACTGCACAGGGGCGTTCTCAAAACTGGTCGTCACCCCGCAGGTGCGTCCTGTCTCACCTACTCAGTCTGTTGCTGTGTGCCCTCCGCTCACCTGGTCGGCGACAGCACAAAGTCAAAGTCGAAGGTCTCGTCCGTGATGAATGCTTGCTCTGCAAGAGAGACGACGCGGGCATTTGCCAAGATCCCGTTGGTTCCGCCTCGTTGGTGCCGGTGTGGGATGACACGGCTCGCGCGGCGGTGATGATGATGATCACCAATCGTCCGGCTTCCCGTTAACCCTCCCCGAGCATCTGGGAGTCGGCGTCTAGTGACTCGCCCTCACACTTCCCCACCCACCGTGGTTTCACGAATCTAGTATATAATTACAATACCCCCCCCCCCGCCTCAAATCGTTGCACCTGATGAGTTGATGAGTTAATGATGACGTCACCCTGCTGCTGCTCTATATAAGAACGGGAGCAAGAGCAGAGCCTCACCATTCTGGCGAATTGCCCGATGATGCTGGATGCAATTACCAGCGAAACGTCGTGCTACTCAAAAACTGTAAATGTTGTGGTTTCACGCTTCAACACACCGGTGGGCTAAAGCAGTGAACTATTTGTCTATTGTCAACGTGACACTTTTTTACTGATTGGCCGTGTCGGGTGGTGGAGGGTTACGACACATTTATAAATAACGCGATCTAAACCCAAAAACGTTGATTATAAATAATATTGGTCACGAAAGCCTACGTGTTAAACTCGTTGAGATTCGTGGCATGAAACCTACGTCTCATTCGTGCTGCTTGCATCGATTGTGTTGTGCTTCACATTATGAAGCCACTGGAGCTATGCACTTTTAAATCTAGATTGAAACGAATTTCTTTAGAATAGCTTTTTGTGTGTTAGTTTGTTGTCCTTCCTCTGCACCTCCTATTAGCACGGTTGGCTACGTACGGTGCAAAGTAAGTTCTACATACATACACATTTGTACCATCTCGTATGTTTCCTCTTATTTGCCCACCTTGTTTGTTCCGTTAGCCCTAACGAATAGACTATCGTACCATTATCATGAAGGTAACATTTATGCATCATTTGCATACACGGTAAAACGAATAGATTTTCACCGACACGATCGTCCGAGCGGATCGCGATTCATCTTTAAATCAATGCAACGTTCCGGTGCCTGCAAGGGAGCCCCCTGCCTTACCCTCGGCCCGCCCGGGCCCTGCGGGCGCCTTGGAACCCGGACCCCAGACCTTGGTGCCGAGTGGTGTGGTGGAGGCAGTGACCGGGGAGTTGGTGATGTCCAGCAGACAGCCTGTGGGGGGTCAGGGGGTTGGTGTCACGAGTCACGTCGCAAAGCCCACTCGCTGCGCTGCCTTACAACAGCGCAACGCACAGCTGCTCAATGCTTGGGAGTCGGCTTCTTCTTTCGTATGGCTGATGGAGAGCAACAACAACAACAATTTCACATTCGGGTGGTCAAGCCAGATAACCGTGCCAGCAGCAGCGGAGTTGCATCGCGGTGATGTCCCTTTGTATTTGTGGACCGGGCAATGCGTCGTATCGTCCGTTCTGGATGACCACAGTCGCACACTACTGGAGAGTTTTTCATTTTCCATTTGTGCATCAGGCATCCGCATCTACCGTGGTTTGTGCGGATGCGATTTAGGGTGCACCATGAGCTTCGTGGAAGATCAAACCACAGGAGGTCAGCGTTGGCTCTTAAGGGCATCGATTGATCGATTTACAGTTGGAGGCCACAACAAACAGTGTGAAGTTGTACAGTCGTGTCTTCATAGTTTGGGTTCCAAATAAAACTTGGTTAACGAGGCTTCCCTACCTGTTCTGAATAAGTCATTGGCCAAAACGTCAGCGAGAGCTGTGCGAGTCATGCGCCGGCGGTTCTGCCAACACACTCCTCCCCTTTCGTTTCACTCGGGTGCCACGAGCGCCCTGCAAGTGCTTCCAAGTTCAGCTCTCATCACAACAGACACGGGCTGAAGAGGCGCCTGCAAGCGGCACGTTCACGGCGAGGCAAGCGAAGCCCATGTCCCGACACCACCAGATGGAAATCGAACTTCATTTCATCCTCGCAAGCGTGGTTATCGTGATCAATGCAGCCAATAGGAAGGGGTGGGGTGGGGGGGGGGCTCACAGCTGTGGATCCGTGGTGCTGGAGATGGCTACCGCGTATGGTGTGGACAGCAGGAAGAACCAGGAAAAGGGTGAACTACAAGAGATCACCGCGACTGCTCTTCTGTGCACCGTAAGCGAAAAGGAGAAACGGTTGGCTACGTACGGTGCAAAAGAGGTTCAACATAGATACATTTAGAATTTGGAACACGTAGCAATAGGCGTGGTGGGGAAAACCTGGAGAAACTGGTGGTAATTATATTTGTAATGCTTGTTTAGCCAGGAAAAGCTCACAAGAGTCTCAAGACTCTTGTTCAGGAGCGTCCGGCTAAGTTTTTCGCAGTAGACGGCGATGTTGCTGCTGTGCGCAATCCAAATTCTGTAATTTTCAGGAAATCTTTCAGCATCGGGATGTTTTGGACAACACCAATTACATAGTGCTTTTTTAAAATATTGTCTATGTGATAAAGCCAGAGAACGCGGAGGAAACCCAAGCAAAGCAGGGTGAGAACATAGAAAATCCAAACAGAAAAACCACCCGAGTTGGGAATCGAACCCGAGATTTTCTTGCTGCGAGGCACAATTGTTACCGCTGCGCTGTAACCGTGACAATGTTTGGTAATGTAAGAAAGGGATTAGAGGTAGACAGAGACTAAGGTGGACAAGTCATGATGTTCAAGTGGCCGTGAGCACGGTATTACAGGAGTGTTCTCTTCACAGACCGGAATATCTTCATCAGAGGTCACAGACACTACACCAGCGAGTAGAACGACGCAGAGAGGGACTTCATCTTAAAGAAAGGTCCTCCCTACCTTCACCCCTCCTCCTGTGAGCCGCTACCCTGGGGTTCCACTGCACAGCGCAACCGTGACAGCCGTGGCCCAGGGCTGCTGATCGCTTGTGCCACCTCGGGTGACAACACGCTAGCGGTACAACTTCATCTACACAGCCAATAAGAGCGAATCACAGCGACAGCATTTTATCGACCGAAATGAGAAATGTGTACGGCTCAAGTCCTGTCACCTCGGGTATATTGGAAGGAATAAAGTTAAACCGCTACCAAATGTAATCATCTTCGTGACCTTTTTTTGTAGAAGGCCGTTGCCCTCCGGGGTGAGGGAGCCAGCATTTACCAGAGCACTCGACCTCTCCACTTCATTTGAGGGACAAGTGCAGACGTGAGCGAATGCTTTTGTGTTTGCTTTCGCCTCTTATTTGTGTTCGCTTTGCCCAGAAAGGTTTTTTTCTCTCCCTTTTCCCATCCTGTAAATGTTTGAGTTTGTTTTTGCGCGCCAGAATATTTATACCGCACGGACATCTCGAAACGTAGATTTGCGTCTCAATGAGCTCTCCCCTGGCTCTATGGAAACTTCACGTTGTGCTGTTTAATTTGAAATCAATCATTCGTACATTTGGTATTCGCGTCATAATTACAATAATTATTATTTATCCAGGAAAGCTGCAATGATTCTACATTTGAAGCTTTCGTGACTGCAAGGATTCATATTCTTAGGTTTTTTCGGTAAAGTCACGTAGGTAAAACATCAAAAATAATACAAATAAATAAAATAAAACAAAAATCACGACGTTTCGGAGGCAACACAAGTCTCCGTCATTAGGTGGGACCGTCACAGCCGGACGGTCCCACCTGATGACGGTCCTACCTGATGACGGAGACTTGTGTTGCCTCCGAAACGTCGTGATTTTTGTTTTATTTTATTTGTTTTTATTATTTTTGATGTTTTACCTACGTGACTTTACCGAAAAAAACCTAAGAATAAGCTGCAATGAGTTGAAGCACTTTTTTATGAGCGTATTGCATTATATATTTTTTTATTATACAAGTGAAAGGAAACTGGAGCACACAAGAAAATCCACACATGTGAGGGGGCAACACTATCCCCGTACAGATGGAAACAGATCACGATTAGTCCACTTGCTGTACTGCCTTTTCCTCGAGAGCCAGGGAACGGCAGCTCAACGCCCACGGGAAGAGAGTTTCGCAACAACATGTGACCCACCCAACCCTCTCGCCTCCAGTGCATAGCCGCCGACACGACCACCCCCCTGTTTACAGACCACTGCAGTTTGCAGCAGTTTCACGGTGAGTAGGGGGTCTGTGTTGCACTGTACTTTCAAAATAATTAGCAAGTGATTTTGAAATTTGGACAGTGTTAACCGTGAAGCAGGCACACGTGGCCTACTGTTTTTCAAATAACGCCATGCGGTGTTTAACCTCTGTTGAGGAGACACGTAATATGTTAATACGCCGCAGTATTAACCAGGGCAGCCGCTCTGCTTGAACCACGAATCAAGTGGTAAATGCACGACCACCCACCGCTCTGCCCAGGCCCCATGGAACACAGGCCCCTAACCCGGTGTTGTGACCAGTTGATGAGGTGAGGGTGGTGTGGCCGGACCTCTTTGGTGAGACCCTGGGTCTCACCTTGTCCCTTTAACTTCATGGCTCCACCCGGGCGGCACCGGCGTGGCGAAGATGCCTCTGGGGAAGCGAAGCTGCAGTGGAGGAGAACGCAGATGAGATCAATGGACTTGAGGTACAGCCACACATACAATCACACATGAGTCGTCACACAAGTGTCAAGGCAACAGACTGTTGGGGCAAGTGCTGTTTGCGAGCACCTATGAAGGCCGGCACGGCACACAAGGAAGGTGGGTGGCCAGCACCACGCCCGACCACATGTGTCGATGTTTTCACACTGCATTGGGTACTCATTTGAGGCCGAATCGATCTAGGGGAGGCTCAGAACCGATTCAAATAAGTGTCAATGTTGATGTCGGTGAGCGGGAACCAAACTCGGCTCGCCGGGTTCGGAGTGGGCTAACCACTGCCCACAGAGTCACACGTACAATCACGAACTTAAACAACACGATATAGTCAACAACAACAACAACCCCCGCTGTTTGTCACCAAGTGGCGGTGACGACATCCCAGGCGAGGGGCACTTTGGGGAGGCCACGTGAAGTGGTCGTAGGCTCGCTGGCAGCTCACTGTACAGACCCAGGTGCCATGGGTTGACATGCCACCTGGCCAGATTGCACCACCTGTGCCAACTCAATCGCGTTTTATCCACCCGGCGCTCCGCTCGTTGTTGTGAGCGTCGCTCATCCGTCCTCCCGTTGCTGCTGCATCCAATTGGTCCCAGTGGCAGCGTCCTTGACGAGCCTCCTCCACCAAGGCCGATGTTGACACCGCTGGTGCCGTGCCCGTCTTGGGCAAAGCGCACACCACGCACACTGCACCACGTGGCAGAGCGTCCCTGCCACTGCGACTCTCTGCTAAGAAGTCAACACGTGCGTCAGCACCGCTGTGGGCCCTTAGCGGTGCCGCTCTGCAAACGTTGAGCGTCTCTTACCGAACTGGATGTAAATGTCTCTCGTTGCTATTGTGTTTGCCCGCCCATGGCCCTTAAGACGGCGGTGAAGCTCCCACCAGCAGGCCGGGCCGTCTTTGTGTCTCCCGGTGCCTTTACACCGCGCCACGTGCGCTGCCCTGGGCCGCTCCTGATATCAATCGGCAGGCCACTGATGGTGGCCGCGAGTGCTGTGCCTCTTGTCACACGAGGGACTGTGACGACTGCGTGGCTGGGCCGGGCCCACACTCACCCTGGCGTAGGCATCACGAGGGCGGCGGTGGCGGTGATGATGGTGGTAGCGGTGGTGATGATGTTGGCGGTGATGATGGTGGTGGTGCTGGTGGCGGTGATGATGGTGGTGGCGGTGGTGGTGGTGGCGGTGGTGCTGGTGGTGGTGGTGATGGTGGTGGTGCTGGTGGTAGTGGTGATGGTGGTAGCGGTGATGGTGGTGATGATGGTGGCGGTGGTGGTGCAGATTTCACCGATGGGGATGATCGTGGTGATGGTGTCGCACTTGAGGATGACGATGTTGTTGCCACTGTTCGTGATGTTGTTGATGATGTTGTTGTTGATGATGATGTTGATGATGTTGTTGTTGATGTTGTTGTTGTCGAGGTCTCACTGTGAGTGTCGCGCGAGGCGCTGCGCGTTCCCTCCGCGAGCCGCACATTCAAATCTAACCACGTGGTGCGCGCCGACGCGCCCCATTGGCCAACGGCCCCAACCGGCCGCCGCGTGACGTCACCCGAGGGCTGTGATTGGCCGGCTATTTATACCCATTGGATGCGGTAAATATTTAAATTATACATTTGAAGCTTTCCTGACTGCAAGGATTCATACTCTTGGGTTTTTTCGGTAAAGTCACGTAGGTAAAAATAAAAATAAATAATAAAAATCATAGAAATAAAATATTTATTTTAATAATTATTAATAGAAATAAAATAATTATTTTAGAAATAAAATATTAATTTTTTATTTATTTTATTTATATTATGTGTCTATTATGTATCTATTATTTTTTAAATGCCATTGACTTGAAGCTCTCGTAACTGCAGCAATTCATATTCTTTAGTTCTTTCGGTAAAGTCACGTAGGTTTCACATAAAATAAATCACGACGTTTCGATCACAACACAAGCTGTCATTCTCAGGCGGAAAAAATATAATCCGGCAGTGGATTATAAATAATAATCAGTGGAACTGCTGGATTATATTTTTTTCTGCCTGATGACGATTGGCTTGTGTTGGGATCGAAACGTCGTGATATTGTTTTTTTACCGAAAAACCCAAAGGGTATAGTTACCCACCAATAAAGCTGGGTGATTATTATTTAGACCCAGTCGGATACCAACTTAGCGTGGCGAGCGAGACAGCCAAATAAAAATGTAATTACAAAATTATCCAAATTAATTAAATGATTATTATTCATATTAATTAACATGTCAATGAGTGCGGAAAACGCGTAGTAAAGTAAGCAAGTTTGAACATTAGGAGAGAGGGAGAAAGAACACACTAAATTAAATAACCTAGCAAAATATCGAAATGTTATGTAATACAACACAGAGAGTCGGCCAACACATAATTAACGCATAGCCTGGTCGATTACGTATTTCAAAGATTGCTAAGTTAGAATTTAAGTGTGAAAATTCCAAAGAAAGACAAAACATAAAACAAAAGGAACGGAGACACAGACAGAGCAGAACATAAGAACGACAAAAAACGAGTGTAGACAGAAAAAAGTACACTATCTGCCTGTGTATTTAGTGTACTTTTTTCTGTCTACACTCGTTTTTTGTCAAAACGTCGTGATTTTTATTTTATTTTACTTTTATTAATTTAAAATTTTTACCTACGTGACTTTACCGAAAAAACCTAAGAACATTAACAATGAATTAACTTGCCAATTAATTCGTAACAACTCTCAGTTTAACAATGAATTCACTTGACAATACTGTAGGAACCTTCTGGTGTCCGTCGTGCAGGGAGGGGGTGGCTGGGAATGGATGGGCTGGGTGGGGAGGGGAGGGTGGGGAGGGGCTGGGTGGGGAGGGTGGGGAGGGGCTGGGTGGAGAGGGGCTGGGTGGCGAGGGTGAGGAGGGGCTGGGTGGGGGGTGGAAGGGGTGGGGCTGGGTGGGGAGGGTGGGGAGGGGCTGGGTGGGGTGGGTGGGGAGGGGCTGGGTGGGGGGTGGAAGGGGTGGGGCTGGGTGGGGAGGGGAGGGTGGGCTGGGTGGGGAGGGGCTGGGTGGGGTGGGTGGAGGGGGGGCTGGGTGGGGGGTGAAAGGGGTGGGGAGGTGCTGGTCACCCCGTGGTGCCCTTATAAAACTCAACGTTTAACCTACTCACGCCGGCTTGTGCCCGCCCTCACAGTCGGCCATATTTGCGGAATACACCACGCCGCCGTTGACCCTGCAGGCCATTGACCGAGCAACCCAACGTTCCTACCAGCTCCCTCCGCAGGAATGTGTTTCGTAACAACTCCCAGTTTAACAATGAATTAACTTGACAATTAATTCGTAACAACTCCCAGTTTAACAATGAATTAACTTAACAATTAATTCGTGACAAATCTCAGTTTACTCCCACGTGTCTTGCCCACAGGCGGACGCAGGCTCCGTTAGATGCCGTTCAGTTGCATCGCCGGGTTGGGATTTGGGGAGAGGCATTCATCCAGCAGTGGATTGATTGTGGGCTGATGCTGACGCTGATGAAGTTAAATCATTTCGGACCTTCTGGTTGATTTACAACGGGAAAACACAACGCGGGCGAGTTGATTTATCCCTCAAGCTTGTAAATAAAAGCATCAACCCAATGCCACACACTGTCGTGTTTGAGTTTATATAATCGTGGTACGCGCAGTATATGTACGCTAAACTTCTTTCGCACCGTAGCGTAGCCAACCGCGCTAATCGGAGGTGCGGGGGAAGGACAAACAACTTCTTCTTGGTTCTTTCGGTAAAGTCACGTAGAAGGGAAATAATAAAGTAATAAAAATAAAACAATAATATATTAAATAATATATTATTTAATATATTATTTTATTATGTTTTATTTACCGAAAGAACCAAGAAGATGAATCCCTGCAGTCACGAAAGCTTTAAATCGAGACAAACAACTTAACACAACCAACAGTTTTAAAGAAATTAGTTTTCAATCTGGATTGCAAAGTGCATACCTCCGGTGGCTTCCTAATATCGAAGGGAGAGCGTTCCAGACGGCCGCAGAAGCGCAGTGACCGTAAACTGTGCATGCATCAAAGATTGTCAGTTTAAAATAAAATGATAACGCGTTCTTAGTTTTAAATACATATGTAGAGGAGTAATATGGGGACGTGACGTCGTGTGTGCCGTCCAGTGTGATAACGGCACGGAACGTGACGTCATGCGTGCTGGGCGGCTCGATGACGTCACGTCTCCTAGAGTATTTAAGGGAGACCCCGTGACGAAAGCGGGGTCACTGTGGGAACAGGTAGAGTAAGAAGGGTGAAGAGAGAACCAGGGGTAGAGAGAGGGATCGAATAGTGAGTCTGGGGAGAAGCCGGTGGTAGCCGTAGAGGTGCTTCTCTCCGGTCGGTGGAGTCGGCAGTCCCCGATCCGACACGAGAGAGAGAGACCGGAGCTAGCCGGCAGGGACCCGGACTCAGAGTAGGACCCCTAGCCCCTGGGAGTTGTTACACCCTTGTGTGTATTTGTGAAGTCTTTAATAAACCCTTGGCGAAAGCCCTTAAATTACCTCCGTCTCCGAGTGCGTCCGTGGGAACTCCTCAACACATATATAGCGTCCTTCATGCAAATTGCATATCGCACAATTACTGAGCGGGAAGGCAGCAGCCAGCAATTGGCCACGCTCTGCGGTCCTCCATATATTAGAAACATGCGTTAAGATTATTTAGATTATTTGGCTGCTATAGATTTTCCACGTGATAAGGCACTTCGCTGAGCTGTCATTTGTGGCCAGGTCGCTTCTGAAAAATAAGTTCAGTTGATTTCACCTGTGAAGAAAAAAAAACTTGTTTAGTTTTATTTATATATTTTCAAAGTGCTTTGCTTACTTTTCCCATACTTTGCACTCCTATCGTGTTTTTGTATTGTTTGTTGTTGTAACTTTCTGACCCGCCCCAATTGGACATCTGTTATAAAGAGCTGTAAACCTCATCGGATTCCTCCCGCAGTATTAATATTCCGATTAAGATATTTTCTATACTCTTTGGTTCTTTCGGTAAAGTCACGTAGGTATAGAATAAAGTAAATTAAATCACGACGTTTCGGGCGCAACACAAGCGTCCGTCATCAGGTGGGACAACCGCAGCAAGAAACAATTACAGCAATAGTTTGTTGCTGTGCTTGTCCTACCTGATGACGGACGCTTGTGTTGCGCCCGAAACGTCGTGATTTAATTTATTTTACTTTAATACCTACGTGACTTTACCGAAAGAAGCAAAGAGTTTGGATCCCTGCAGTCAAGATATTTTCTGACAATGAATGAGTGTACGTGTGGAATAAAACCTTAACAGAGAGAGATGAAAAAAAAATGCGCGTGCGAGGGAGGCAACGCTATATGCCATACAGATGGGACACTTCGCGATTAGTCCGCTTGATGTACTTACCGCCTTCTCCTGGCCTCGACGTCCACGGGAAGGGAGCCTCACAACATTTGCGTGTGTGTTATTTTTTTTGGACACTTTTTTGCCAGCAATCGAGATGATGAAAAGCGAATATACTTTTCCTGGGCAAAAGGGGGGCAGGCGAGGGGGGGTGTAAAGGAATTCAAAATGTTCCCTCGAATTTCCTGCAGCGTTTAGGTTTTTGCAAAAAAGGTCATCTCTCGTGCGTTTTTAAAATCAGATTTTGTGGAAAAATCATTGCATTTATGTCAAGATATAATATTTTGTATAAAGCAAACTGGAAATTTGTTAGGGTTGCATAAAAAGTAAGGGCTTTGTTTTGGTCATTGCCAATGTCCACCACGCGACGGTTACGAGCACGTTATCCCTACAACTCCTCAAGGGAAACCCTCCCACACAAGCATAATAATAATTATTCATTCATACAGTATGTATTATTCTTAGCTGCATTCCATGCCCCGTAATAGATTATCATCGTTCTCCTGTCGAATTCCTCGGAGTAGAGTGAAACACGACATTCCAGGCATTGAGCTGGCTCACAGAGGAGCCAGGCACAGCCAAGTCGAGCTCAGCTCGCAGAGGCCTCAAATAGCCAGCGAAATGCTCACATACACACAGATATCAGTGACATTGAGCTCAGACACAGCGATCTCACGCAGTTATCACAGCTACATTGAGTCCATACTCTTTGGTTTTTTCGGTAAAGTCACGTAGGTAATTTTGCTGTGACGGTGCCACCTGAAGACGGAAGCTTGTGTTGCCTACGAAACGTCGTGATTTAATTTATTTTTTACATACGTGACTTTACCAAAAAAACAAAGAGTATAGCTACATTGAGCTCACAGAGACGTCTATCTCACTCGGCGATGGCACACACAGCGAGCTTGCAAATATTCCTATCTCACAGATGCTACGTCAAACTTAGGCCTCACATCATAATCGTAAGAGGGCCTGTACGATCGCCAGTTCACCAGCATTGAATGCAAGCTCGACTGCTGATGATGCGCTGTATGGCAAAGCCAATCCAGTTGGCTTGTCTTCAATCGATGCGGCTGAAATGCACTCCCAGGAGGACGTGCGAATGATAGGTTGCGTAAGCAATATTTGTTTTACGTGGAGAGGCCATGGAAAGGAGACGGATTACCTGCCTATTTATTGTCACGGGCACAAATGTCTCACAGACACAGCTACATCGCTCTTACAGACACAGCGATCTCGCCCGGTTATCTCACAGGTGTAGCGATCTCACGCACACAGCAGCATCACAGCAAGGACACAGGCAGCGATCCCACCCTCTCATAGCTGCTGTCCACGATGGCCGTGGCCCTTCCTGGTGGCACAAGAGCTGCCTGCGAGATGGGCTCTGAGCCACCACCAGCAGAGACTCCGGCTTCCAGACACTACCCACTCACGCAGACACCGCACCAGCCCGCTCCTCCCTCTTGCCTCAAGTTTTACAGCCAAAGCAAAAATGCTGCCTCACTGACGCATATCCTTTGGCTAAAACGAGATTTTCCACAATATGCATTTCCTGAGCGCAGCTTTTCCCTCCATCCTGCCCCAGCACTCATCCCCTCCCTCCACGGCGCCTCCTCCCTCGCAGGCGTCCGCTCTCCGCTCACACGCCAACCAGACGCTGCGTGGCTGGGCTGCTGTCAGTTTGTTTGTTCTGAAGCCTGAAAGACAAATTGAGAGGGCTGCCTCACCACGTTTGCCAGCCGCGCCTGGCCCAGACGCGCTCACGAGTTCGCGTCTTCGCCGCGGGAACGACAGCGGCGGCTGCATCTGTCGGCGCCACGTCCCGCTGGCGCCCACTCCTCCTGGGAGCTGAGCGAGGAACTGTTCGAGTCGCGAGCGTCGCTTTCACTTTGTCGACAAAGAACGGAGGAGCCATGGCTGTGCAAGAGGCGACATGAATGCAGCCAGAAGGTGCAGCAGAAGCACACGCGCACGGGCGTCGCATGCACGGGAGTTTGCGCGGTGCCGTTGGCGCGACCTCGTGGTGTGGCTCCCAAACTTCACCCTCCCTGTCCCCCCGTGTGAGCAGGGTGCTGCTTCGGCCCCGGAGGAGCGGCCAAGCATGCGGTGTCGCCCCGTGCCGATGGAAACCACGCGTCGCCGATGAGTGGCCCTCGCCGGCCACGGCGGCCGTCGTGGCCGCGACGGTGGTCATGGCGGCCCTGCTCCTCCTCTACCTGCTGTGGGTCGCGTAACCGCCGGCATCGTCACCACCGGCAACCACGGAATTTGGAAAATTCCCAACCACCACCGACAACCGCCACTGGGAATCAATGACACCAGCACGCGATGACAACCGCTGCTGGCGCCCAGCACCAACCACTTCTGGCAAGACCCAACAACCCACATCGGTGCCACATTTGGACAACAAACAGCAACAGTGCCGTTACGACCAAGCGGAGCGCAAGGGGAGGAGGGGTTCCTCCCAGGCCTGGTGCTCACCACCCAGACGTGGCACAGAGGCACAGACCAGCAGAAAGTATTTACTTGCCTATTAAAAGCGGCACTTTACACCACCTCTCACCGACGTCCCATAAACAATGCTGACACTTGAAGCTGCCTCGAGGCATTCGCTTCACTGGGAGATCTCTGTGTCTTGGCAATAACAGTGGATATTGACGACGGGCATGTGCGCGTGTGCGTGTGTGCGTGTGTGTGCGTGACCGAGGCCTGCAAGCCAGGGTGCGCTGTGCTCCAACTACTTGGCGCCCGCCGCGGTTCTGCTGAACGCCCTCGCACGCATTTCTCAGACGACCCGACGGTCCTGACGCCTTGGCATTACACACGACGTTCGCTGTGCAGCGGTCGTGCCAATGGTGCTCAGCCAATACCCCGTACCCCCACACGAAGAAAAACCCCGGCAATAACCCACAAACCATCTCCAAAGTCTCACTCATTTAATTCACGAGTTTCGGTACAGCAAACCGAGCACGTCAAGAGTGCGTCGCTGCACCGCGTATGCCGTGCCGAGTCGCGTGTCACGCGAGTGTCAAGGGGGGAACGCGGCAATCGGATCCCGATGTCAAAATTCGTCAGATCACGAGAAGAAGACATTTAAATTCGGAACGCCTACAACTACTGGCGCACCTCATTGTGTCCGAGAGAAACAGCCCCGCTTAATGACGTCGCAGAACTGCTTCTCAACTCCCATCGGCGGAGCCGGAATGAGCCGAGCCGAGCGGCTCGCGACAAAAAACCTCCCTCCCCACGCGATGCCGCGTGAGACGAAGCTGCCCCCCCCGCGCTGTGACCACCCTACTGCCCCTCCTTGGCGGCCATGCGGAACACCACGGCGTCAAGCAGCGTCCCCAGTCGCTCCTCCTCTGCCGCTACCTTGTACGTCTGTACACACACACCAACACACACGCACACCAACACACACGCACACAAACACACACGTGTTAACACAGCAGGATGAGCACTGAAAAACAAACACAAAGATCCCGCACGTAGCCTTAAGAGACTATTGGGGCTGTTAGCGAGCACCTATGAAGGCCGGCACGGCGCACGAGGGGGTGGGTGGATGGGACGCACCCAGCCGCCTTTGTCTCCCCGGTGGCAATGCTTACACACAGCACAATGTAGGAGAAACCCAGGCCCAGTTCAGATATTTGTGACTGGTCTTGGCCCTGAACAGGAATCAAACTCGGGTCGCCAGGTTAGTAGCTGTGTGTGCTAACCACTACACTACCACTCTCCACGATAGATGCAGAACATTTCCCCAAGGTACACACGGTAACACACACGCCACCAGCGACCGCCCGCCCCCCCACACTTGCGTCGGTGTTTGCGAGCGGCAGTGAGTTTGCGATCGGGATTCAGCCCCACCTTGCGTACGCGGGCGAGGTCCGCGAGGGCCGACAGCTCGCTGGCGGGCACGCGCTGCCCGTCCACGTGTGCCTCCACCGAGGCCGGGTCCACGCGCTCCGCACCCTCCTCCTCCACCAGCACCACCAGCACCGCCGTATCTCCGTCCGCCACGCCGAACCTCCGGAACGCATCCGAGATCTGCCGCCGGTTGCGCAGAACGTTTTGAAGATGTAAATCTCCAAAACAACACCAACACAAAGATCCCCCGATGTTGTGGGTTGAATCTCCAACACACCGGTGTGTTCAAGTAGTAACTAATGGGCACGTTACGTTTCCGTGATAAACCTTACTAAATGGCTGTGTCGGGTGGTGGCGGGCTCAACGACTAAGTGTTAAACTAACAACACACCTCTTGTGATTCATCGATTGTTAGATTTGGCCACGTGTTGTGTCAGCTCAGCTCACTGGTGAGCTGAAGAACGATGCTCACGAGTAAAGTGAGCGAGTGGACAACGACGTCAGATCGCTTTAAACTCCGGCAAACGTCTTCGGGAAAACTCAAGAACTCCGAGTGAGTATTTGATTAAGAGCAACACTCTGCATGTTCCGGCAATGGTGAGAGGAGGGAAGGCCCTGTCACGACGCCGTGAGGGACTCACGTTGTTGCTGGGAGAGAGGTTGTAGATGACCTCGGAGTGCAGCGCCTTGGTCTTGAGTTTGCCCAGACGGTGCAGGTGCACGGCCTTGTGTGCCGCTACGAGCACCTGGAACGGATCCAGCACCTGTGGGGGGGGGCGGCGGGGGGGGGGGGTAGCAACGACGTCGCAGTGATCCCCGCGTGTGTGGTTGCCCTGTGGGTGTGGGGCATGGCTAGGTGGTGGCTGAGCAGCAGCAGCAGCAGGAGTAGTCTTTATTTAGAACCAGGTGACATATCTTTGTTGAGGGAGACCTGGGAAACAAAGCAATTTGCAGTAAACGCGTGGCGGGAGATTTAAAACAGCAGCACGCCGCGTCTATATATTCGCAATGTGGTAAAACTTTGATTTACATGGAACACTAAACATTTAAAGACATTAAATAGTATTACATTCAAAAGTGGTTGCTGTTGGGCGGTTGAGTGGTGATGTGGTTTCCGTGTGGTGATGCGCTTGCCATGTGGTCTGTGATCGCTTTTTAGTCGTCGTGGTCACTGTGCGGGTGATGGATGCTGTGACGGTTGCTGTTCGGCTACCATGTGGTGAACTGTTGCTGCTGCGTGGATGAAATACGGTTGACCTGCGGCCGTCGTGAGGTTGCCGTGCGTGGTCGCCAAGCGGTTGGTAAGCGGGTGCCGTGTGGTCGTATGATTGCCAAGTGTGTGGTAATTGCTGTGCGGTTCCCGTGCGGTGATCCGGTTGCCGTGCGGCTTCGCGTGTCGCGGCCGTGCGGTTCACACGGACTCACCACGGCGGCGCTGATCACGGCCCCCGGCAGGGCCCCGCTCACGGCCTTGAGCCGGAGCTCGGCCGCGTTTTGGACGGCGCGGAAGAGCAGCAGGGAGACGTGCCACCCCGGCAATCGCTCCAGGGGCCAGCAGTCGGCGCCCTCCAGGCCCATCCCTCCCAGCCGCTCCTCCACGCGGGCTTCCATTTGATCTTGCTTCGCTACCACGAGGGTCATCGTCTATGCATGATGAATACATACACACACACATACAAAGATCCCCCGTATAGCCTCAACAGACTGTACGGTAAAGTGCTGTTAGCGAGCACCTATGAAGGCTGGAACGGTACACGAGGGGGTGGGAGGCCAGCGCCACGCCCGACCGCCTTTGTCTCCCTAGTGGCGATGTTTACACAACGCACCAGATACTCATTTGAGGCTGAGTCGACCTAGGGGAGGCCCAGGACCGGTTCAGATAATCGTCACCACTGGTGTTGGCCGTGAGCGGGAATCGAACCCGTGTCGCCGGGTTCATAGCGCAGCGCGCTAATCACTACACTATCGCTCCCCACATACATACAACAACAACCGCCATTCGCCACTAAGTGGCGGTGAGGTCACCACGACGCTTGTGCCAGGCCATGTGCACCTTGAGGCCACGTGAAGTGTCAAACGCCCGCTGGCAGGAGGTCACGGGGCAGACCCAGATGCCACGGGTCGACTGAGATGACCGAGATGACTGGCTGATGCATACACACACATATACACACACATACACACACGAATGCATACACACACACGTCACTAAGAAGTCCATATACAGCCGCATGCGGCTCCGGAGCCGCAGCTTGCTGACCCCTGGCTGAGGTTTATCAACACTGCACAGCTTATTGTGATGGAGTTCAACAACACAACGCCACCAGATCTCGGAACAAAGCAATTCCTATCACCCGAACACAGATAAGAGATGCCAGTTCCCAGGCAGGTGGCAAACCGAGTGTGTGAGTGAATGGGTGAGTTACTTAATTGATTGGCATATGAATGAGTGAAGGAATACGTCGGTGCGATTGAGTGGAGTTGCCACCCTTTCCACAGAAAAAATCCGGACACATTTCCCCGCTGGCTTGGGTCTATCAACACCGTGCAGTAGTTCCAGATTTGAAGCTTTCGTGACTTGCAAGGATTCATACTCTTTGGTTTTTTCGCTAAAGTCACATAGGTAAAAAATGAAATAAATGAAAACAACTAAATAAACTTTATTGATTTGTTTTCATTTATTTTATTTTTTACCTACGTGACTTTACCGAAACAAAAACAAAGAGTATGAAACTGTGCAGTATAATCAAGTAGATACGGTTCAACACTCCAGACAGAATGTCACCAGACCTCAATACCAAACAACTCTCGCCACCTGAATATTGATGCCAAACGAGTGTACTTGACAACTCCGGATCAAACTCCGGGTCAAAACCGGTGAGGTGACAACCCCAGTCAACACTGATGATGATTATTACGCGATTTTATTTAACTCACTCTGTTGTTGTTGTTGTATCCTCAAATCTTGTAACTCATTTTTAACCCACTTCCCAATGTGGTATCGACTGCAAACTTGGTATATTTACGTCATACTGATGACAATACTATATTCTATCATAAACAATAAAAGCATATATTTTAAAACATTAATTTGTATATGTTATGTTTCGGCTTGGCTCTAATTGTCTACGCTCAACTGACGTTGGCTGTAAATGACCACGGCCCCTTAAGTTATGGCAAGCTTCGGGGCCACCTCCTGGAGTCGTGGAGTTCTGCCATTACTAGTAGGGTACATTTCATTAAAGCATGTTTAAAATTTTTTTGTTTAATGTTACTTACTTCTTTTACTGCCGATGACTTTTCTGCTGCTGATGTTTCTACTTCTCGCCGCCAAGAAACGAACGTTTCCTGAAGAAGAAGAAAAACAACATTCCTGCAGCAAATCAGAGTACCGGGGATGTGATTCGTAGTCAAGGGTCGGGTTGTGCTGATCCTGCATAATGCATGGGCATAATATGACTTTGAACCCCCCCCCCGCCTACCTCCTACGCATTTCCCATGAATATGCTAAATTCCTCTTGATATGCACATTCTTTTTGCTAAGGCGCTCTTCTTCCACCTCCAACCCAGCTTATATATAAGCTCCTAGCTTGGCAGTGTCTCATTCTTCACCTGAAGACGGCTGCTTGTGTTGTAGCCGAAACGTCGTGAGAATTATTTTATTATGTTTTATTATTATTATTTTATTACTTCCCTTCTACGTGACTTTACCGAAAGAACCAAGAAGTTGGGAATGGATTTAGGGTTGGGGGTTAGCGATTGGTGGTGGATTTAAGGAGATAAGGGGCGAGGGATGCCGTCAGAAATGGGGCTACAGTCAGCACGAGGTCACTTTCTATGTGTTGCACCTCCGATTAGCACGGTTAGCCACGTGTACGGGGAGTGAGTGAACCGTGAATGAGTGAACATTGAATGAGTGAACCGTGAATGAGTGAACCGTGAATGAGTGAACAGTGAGTAAGGGAACCGTGAATGAGTGAACCGTGAATGAGTGAACAGTGAATGAGTGAACAGTGAGTAAGGGAACCGTGAATGAGTGAACAGTGAGTGAACAGCGAACGAGTGAACAGCGAACGAGTGAACAGCGAACGAGTGAACAGCGAACGAGTGAACAGCGAACGAGTGAACAGCGAACGAGTGAACAGCGAACGAGTGAACAGCGAACGAGTGAACAGCGAACGAGTGAACAGCGAACGAGTGAACAGCGAACGAGTGAACAGCGAACGAGTGAACAGCGAACGAGTGAACAGCGAACGAGTGAACCTTGAGTGAGTGAACAGCGAGTGAGTGAACAGCGAATGAGTGAACAGTGAATGAGTGAACCTTTAATGAGTGAACCGCGAATGAGTGAACAGCGAGTGAGTGAACCTTGAATGAGCTCCTCACCCGCGCTCCGCCCGCTCTCTCCTGGAGCCGCGCTCCGGCCCCCCGGCAAGCCGCCCCCCCAACCTGCCGCTGAGGCTCCTGGCGACGAAGGCTCTGGGCTCCGTGGAGACCTCCAGCACACGCGCCTCGTGCGAGGGGAGGACGACTTCTTTCTATTATCCCCGAGACTCCATCGCCTCCTCCACCCGCACAGAACGAGACGCCAAACAGCTCGTGACGTCACGTCCCCCCGATCGCTCGTGACGTCACGCCGCCAAACTGCTCGTGACGTCACGTCGCCCAACAGCTCGTGACGTCACGCCCCCCGATCGCTCGTGACGTCACGCCACCAAACCGCTCGTGACGTCACGCCACCAAACATCTCGTGACGTCACGCCACCCCCAGCCAAAAAATATCATGACGTCACGCCGCTCAACAGCTCGTGACGTCACGTCGCCCAACCGCTCGTGACGTCACTTGCGCTGAAGAAGGGTCATTGCCCGAAACGTTTGTGTGTCGGGAGTGCGTTTTTGTTGTTTGCGCTTGTGCGCTTACTCGCCGATGCAGCGGCACCATCACAAACAATCTGTGGAAATGTTCGCATCACGTACCCGTTGCGTGACGTCACCGATACCGCAATGTCACGCGTTCGAAATGCGTCACGCCGTGACGTCATTTGTCCGCGGTTATCCTTGTGGGGGGGGGGGTGCCGTTATTCCAGCAGCACGAGCAACACGGTGTCTCGTCTCCCACATTGAGTGTCTCGGCAGCAGCAGAGTTGCCCCCTCCCCCCCCCCCCCAGCTGTTCACTCTGCACCCGCGACATGACGTCACGGGTCAGAGGTCGCCCGTCATGGCCGCGCTCTGCGTCGCCACGGCCGCCGCCGCCTACCTCGGCATCTCGGCCGCGATCTTCAGCGCCATGAGCGGCTCCCAGCCCGAGCCCTACATGGACGAGATCTTCCACGTCCCGCAAGCGCAGAAGTACTGCAACGGCTCCTTCCTCGAGGTGCGGAGCGCTGCTCGCACGGAGAGTGACCGCCCTTGCCTAGCGACTTCGCGGGAAGCCTGCGGCAGGGCCTCCCGCGGCGAGTGGTGGGACGAGGGGGGTGCTGCCCGTGTTTTTCTTACACGCCGCGTTTATCCGCAGATAACCCCGTTTTCTTGAACGGACGTGTGCTTTCCAGCCACCCTGCGAGGCTGACGTTGATTGGCGGGCATAAGGACGGTTAGAGGGATGCTGCTGTTTATTACGGGGGAAATAAACAGCCCTACGTACCCCCCCGTATCAATTAGCTGCTTCTGTACATTCAGACGCTGTCTCCCCGACAGACCTGGTCTTCACCTGAGGAAGGCTGCTTGCGTTGTGGCCGAAACGTCGTGAGAATTATTTTATGTTTTATTTTTATTATTTTATGTTTTATTTTTATTATTTTATTACTTCCCTTCTACGTGACTTTACCGAAAGAACCAAGAAGATGCTTCTGTACATTTTCAGCCCTTTGCCACTCTGCTGCTGGATGAAGGCATCCTCACGTATTGTTTGACTCAGCGCTTCTCAGAGTGGATCGATGATGGGTGGAACCGAGGCACAGTTCAAACATGACCCGCGAGTTATGTTAGTCGTGGCCGCATTGCGCTAACCACTGACTTCTCACTAGTTATAGGATCGCAAGAGATGGCAGCGGGTTGGGGAATACTTTATCCAGCAAGAGATTGTGCATTACTAATGATGGCCCCGCTGATTTTACCTTTACGTTAACAGAATGACACGTGGCAGTAAGAGGCGAAAATAAATATAGATTGTAATCGACACTGCGGCGAGGGTCGTATCGTTACCCAACAGCCAACCCTCGTGTCACACTGCTGCATAAATATAAATTGTGTACTGCCCTGCTATCCCACCACTTCCGTCTTCCCCCCAAATAAGTCGGGTTCCCATTCATTCAGCCGTCGAGCCTGCACTCTGCCCAGCAGAGGGCGCGGCCGAGCTTCGCTGACTTCAGTTTTCGTTAACCGAGTGGGAACCCACCGAGCCTGCAATTCTCTTCTACGAAGGCGATCTGGGGCATAAATTGGTTTGGTGAGAGACTTCGATATTTCTCCAGTGCGAGGTGTAGTAGAAAGAGGTGCATACCTGTCAACCCCTTTTCAGTGCCTACCTTATTACACACCAATTCAGACCTTATTGGTCACCTCATGCCCTTATACATCTCAACGTTCATCCTACAGAGTCCCATCACAAGGGCCAAACACAAACAAATAGACAACATTTATTTTATTTTTGCCCGTATTGAAACGGCTGTATGCCGTATGGACCTGACAACTATTTCCCGATAGGAATACATGTTGACAGGTGTAGCAGTCACGGGTAACTATGACGTAAATGCAGTGACCAAACTCATGCTAATAACGTGTAACCTCTGCCCGTGCAGTGGGACCCGAAGATCACGACGCCACCGGGATTGTATGCATTCTCCCTGGGCCTCCTCTCCCCACTTGGCTGGATGCTGGGGCTGCCTCCCTCAGAGCGCTGCTCTCCTACGCTCCTCCGTCTAACGAGCCTCCTCTTCAGCCTCGGAAACTTCTACACACTCTACCTGCTCACATGCCGCCTTCACAGTGACACGGTGAGCGAGGCGTTTACGGCGATTTACACCTAAGCCGCGACTTACAAGCAAATTCAATTGCGGTTTTCAAGGTTGTGCTGCGTGTTTGGCATTTCTACTCTGAAGCTTTCACCACACATTGTAGCTTGAGAGAGATGCTCGACATGTAGCCCATTGTGATAACCCACATGCGAATTACAAGTGGCTGGGAAAACTTGCGCGTAAAATGTACAAGCACATTCTCACAGTGACAAATAGATGGGGGTCATTCTACAATCTCTACTGACACTGCATTATACTGGTAGGAACCTCCTGGTTACACCAGCCCACAGGGGATTATTGTGTCCGTGCGTCGTGCATCCAAAAATGGGAGGGGTGGGGCTGGGTGGAGAGGGGAGGGTGGGGAGGGGCTGGGTGGGGAGGGGAGGAGCTGGGTGGGGAAGGTGGGGGTGGGAGGGGTGGGGAGGGGCTGGTCACCCCGTGGTGCCCTTATAAAACTCAACGTTTAACCTACTTACGCCGGCTTGTGCCCGCCCTCGCAGTCGGCCATATTTGCGGAATACACCACACCGCCGTTGACCCTGGCCATTGACCGAGCAACCCAACGTTCCTACCAGCTCCCTCCGCAGGAATGTGTTTATTGGAGACCTGAAGCCTCCAAAATCCCTCACCACCACTACCTGCTCACTGCTGCTCTCTAGTGGTGCTATTAGGTAATATATTTGGTGATTTCATGTTCTTTTTGCTGCAGTGAAATGTCGAAAGTTGTGCATAGCTCATAGTCGATTCTCTTTGTCCCTTGGTCATTCTGGTTAGACTGAGCCCTCGGTCGACCCCATGGAAACTGCTCAAATGCTTTGACTGACAATTGAAGGTTATTATAAGGATGGTCACAATAGCATTGCTTGTTATTCAACAGCTTGCTGCAAACAATATCAATCTGCACGTTTTGTCCATGTGACAACTTTAATTGTTTGGCTGTGTCGGGTGGAGCAGGATGTACAACACCATTTGGCTGTATACTTACGTGATCCAACCCAAACAACAATGATTTCATAATGATTTACGTTTTTTTAGTACTTAAATGCCACAGTATCCCAAAGCGCATGTACTAAGGATAAAGCATGTGGCCGTCAGTTATTATTTCGCAGAAATTCCAACCACTTCCTCCCCCACCTCCACCCACCACAATCACAGTCATAATTGTGAAACCCGTAGTGAATTGCAATCGATGCTTTTTTAATTACACTTGACCCCGGTCTCCTGCTGACCCCCTCGTGCAGAAGCTGTCAACGCCACATCAGCTGCTGCAGGCGTTGTCACTAGCGCTGCTGCCCGTGCTCTACTTTTTCTCATTCCTCTACTACACGGACGCCGGCTCCACCTTCCTGGCGCTGCTCGCGTACCTCATGTGTGCGCACGGTCGCCATGGCGCCGCCGCGCTCGTGTCGCTGCTCGCCCTCTGCTTCCGCCAGACCAACGTGGTGTGGGTCGCCTTCTACGCTGGCACCGTCGTCTGCCAGGTGGGGCCTCTTGCTCGTGAGAGCCACAGTGCCACAAAAACACTCCTGCTCATTAAAACACCGATTGTCAAAAATACTTCTTAGTTGTTACCCCCCCCCCCCCCCCCTCCTTGCATGTGTGGGTTTTTTCCGAGTACTCCAGTTTCCTCCCACGTGTATTAAACATCAAACATCGCAATGTGTCGGGCCACAAAGCTTGGGAAATTGTCAGCACTGGTTATGGATGCCTTCCTCCTGCTGGTCTGTGATTTTCCACATCTCTCAAATATTCTCCCGAGAGAATATGAATGTTCATAGCTGTGCTATGAACCTTGTGACCCGGGTTCGATTCCCGCTCACGGCCAACATCAGTGGCGATTATCTGAACTGGTCCCGGGCCTCCCCTAGGTCGACTAAACCTCATATGAGTACCTGATGTGTAAACATCGTCACTCGGGAGACAAAGGCGGCCGGGCGTGGTGTTGTCCACTCACCCCCTTGTGTGTCGTGCCGGCTTTCATAGGTGCTCGCTAACAGCACTTGCCCCTACAGTCTGTTACGGCTAAATGGGGGGTCTGTGTACGTGCGTGGATAGGAACTGGACAAGGCCTGGGAGGAGCAGCACAGCAAGAAGGACGCGAGCCCGAGCGACCGGCGGTCCCCATCCCTGTGGCAGAGCTGGCTGCAGTTGCTGCGCTTCGGGCTGCAGTGGTTGCGTTCCCCGGAGTCAATGTGGCGCGCGCTGGCACCAGCCTGGCCATACGCGCTGCCGCTCGGCGCCTTCCTGGCTTTCGTGGTTGCCAATGACGGCATTGTTCTGGGCGACCGCGCCAGCCACCAGGCCTGCCTACACTTCCCGCAGCTCTTCTACTTCCTCGTTTTTACACTGGCGTTCAGTTCACACCTGCTCCTCTCGCCTACTCGCCTTCGCGACTCCGCGCTCGCCCTCCGCCGGCATCCAGTGGCAGCGCTCGCCCTGACGGCGCTCGGCTGCCTGCTGGTGTGGCGCTTCACCTACGTGCACCCCTACCTCCTCGCCGACAACCGCCACTACACCTTCTACTTGTGGCGGCGCGCGCTGGGGCGGCAAGCGCTGGCGCGATTCCTGCCGGTGCCTGCCTACCTATTCGCCGGCTGGGTGCTGAGTGAGGCTCTGCGCGCCAAGTCCCCGTTCTGGCGCGCGGGGTTCGCGGTGTGCGTGATGGCAGCAACGGTGCCGCAGCGGCTGCTGGAGTTGCGCTACTTCATCCTGCCCTACCTGGTGCTGCGGCTCAACGCGCCCGTGCCCCCTGTGCCCCATCTGCTCGTGGAGGCCGCCCTGCACCTGGCCGTGAACCTAGCGACCGTCCATCTGTTCCTGCACCGAACATTCCAGTGGCCCGACAGCGCCGACCTGCAGAGATTCATGTGGTGACGCGTGGCGCTGGGGACCGTGGGGGGGTGGGAGGTGATGAGTGACGATCGTGGCATTCCTAGCAATTCTACAGTCGGGAAAATTTGCAGGGCAAATGTTGCCTGTAATCATGATCGTTCATTCCTCAATCAGTTCATGTTCTGTATTTACAAAGATGTTGGTAGCTCCCGAATCTGAGCAAAAAACCCAACACATTAATCAATAACAAATAGGTGACGTTTTGGCCTATAGCTCTTCTTCATAGCACAAATCTAAACAATGTGATCACTAAAATAACACCACTACCCAAGATTACGTGGCTCTGTAGGCCAATCAGTGTTAATCAAACTCTGCTTTCATTGGCTTAGACAGAACTCGATGGTAACCATGTACCATTTACGAACCAAGTTGCCACAGCTGCTCGTCGTTATGTTGCCGGTGGCGACTACTGTAAAATACCCCTGGTGCATTGTGGTCTTAGCAGCGACGCACGAACCCAGAGTGGGGAGACGTGACGGGAATGTCTGCACAATCGGCACCCAATTGTTTTGTACTTGATGCGCTTGTACATTTTGTGAATGTAATGGCAGCTCTTATTTTGACAGCTGTGGGAAGGAAGTGTTTCGCACTGCTGCTTTAATTAATAAATATTTGTTCCCCGTACCACGCGTCGCTCGCATTGTTGAATATTGTCGCAGTTCTGCCAAGCGCTCGGCTACAGAATGACTTTGGCTGTCGTGTTACAGGACAGGTGATGGATGAGAGGTGCAGTTGCGGGTGGGCGTTCAGTGTCCTGGTTCCGTCTTCCTCACCCAGTTGGTCTGGGCTTGTTCACAAGAAGGAGTTGTGTTCTCTGTGAAGCTCCCGAGTGTCGCCCTGCAGACGCCGACGTCTGCAGGGCGACTGGGAACAACCACGATCCGAATGACTTTCATCATAAAACTAGGTTTCAGTTTTCGCGTTAAATATTATATTCATAGGCGGTCACCGACACGCTGCGCATCGGTATCTGAAACCGAATCATGTCGATAACAACCATGTCTTCTTGGTTCTTTCGGTAAAGTCACGTAGAAGGGAAATAATAAAATAATAAAAATAAAACATAATAAAATACTATTCTCACGACGTTTCGGCCACAACGCAAGCAGCCGTCCTCAGGTGAAGAACAGGTCTGTCGGACAGCGACTTTCCGACAGACCTATTCTTCACCTGAGGACGGCTGCTTGCGTTGTGGCCGAAACGTCGTGAGAATAGTATTTTATTATGTTTTATTTTTATTATTTTATTATTTCCCTTCTACGTGACTTTACCGAAAGAACCAAGAAGATGAATCCCTGCAGTCACGAAAGCTTTAAATCGAAACAACCATATGAACAAACATTTGCCTTGAGGGGGAAGCGACGAGCTGTTGGGTGAGAGACGTGGGCCGACAGAGTGAGGCTGCACACACAAACCCCCACCACCCCGCCCCTCGCGTGCACCTCGTCGACAAAACGCGCGGCCACCACGCGTACGCGCAGTTTTCACTTTGTTTTTAATAAAGTCCACAAAAGTCGATGTCAAAACAGGGGAAGCGAAAACGCCATCGTCCTTCGGTGAGAAACCTTCCCTTTTGAATTAATCGGCCGCGTCACGCTGCCTGCCGCCGCGGCAGTGTCTGGGGGTGCCGAGCCCCAACACACGCAGTGTAGAAAAGGCTGCTGTTCACGTAAAGACCTCTTCGCTACGTCCTACACATCAATAAATACATCCAGTGAAAAAAACCAGGCTCTAGCTTACAGACAGGAAATGTTGACATCCATTTAATATTCGTTCCGTGAAACAGGAGAAATGAAAACAAAAAATTCTCACAGAAGATGTGAATGTGAATGGCCCCAGGGGAGGGAACTCTACGGCGCATTCCTCGCCCACAGCCAAATATACAAACTCCCAGGAGTCGTCTGGGGGGGGGGGGGGTGGCTGCCCGCACTCTCCCATGCTTCTTCCCAGTGCTTCTCTGCGTTGCCCAACGCTGGCCCTCGTGCCTCCCCTGGGCGCAACCGCTACGGCACAGCTGGGGCGGTGCGGGGGGTGTGCGGCGTTGCTGAAAAACGCAAGCTGAGCGAAATTAGTGGGGCGGGGGGGGGGGGAGTTATCTGCAGCGTGAGCGCCGCTGCCCCCCCTCCGATGGAGCGCGGGTTGCAGAGTGCTTCGCTACACCGACTGCCTGCAGCGAGAGGGGGCACTAGTGGCAGTCGGAGTGAATTTTAACAGTGACTGACTCTCAAGCCTCAACAGTGTTGGACTGATTCTAGGTTTAACAGTGTCGGACTGACAGTCGGGGTCATAACAGTGTCCGACTGATGTACTCTTGTCTCTGGAGACGATGTTGGGGGGGGGGGGGGAGGGCGGGGAGACGCTGACTTCCACAGCCACATTCAAGTCTCATCGTGTGCAGCTTAAATTAGACTTTAGAAAAAAAAAACGAAATCAATTCTCATGCTATTCAACAACGACGACGACAGAAATCAAGTTAATAAAAATCAGTACAAAATAAACCAATGTACAAATGAGACCTCGCCTGCCGACGACATTAGAAACGATGATAGAAAGTATCTACAAATATAACAGTTCTCCCTGTTTGGAAAAAAAGGCGACGCGTTGGAAGATTTCCCAGAATGCCTGCTGATGCGACTCATCAGTTCAGTCCGCCGTAGTCATGTGATATGTATCAACCAATCGGAAGAGTGCACCCTGTTCCGAGGGCTGCGTCTGTCCTGGCAGTTCCCATCGCTGCGGAGGAGGAGAGGGGTGGGAGCTGCACTTGTGCCGCCGCCGCCGCCGCGGCAAAACACTTGCGCTCCCGTGCTGCTCCACCCGGCCTCTCGGCGGCGAGAGCGGGCAGGCGGGCAGGCGAGCGAACCGGCGCCGTCTCGAGGCCTCCGCCCTCCACGGCGGCGCCACCGCCGCCACTTCTGCGGTGGCAGCGTCCGCTGCTTAGGCGACGATTGCTAGGCAGTGGAAGGTCCACAGGCTCCGCGCCGTGTCAGCTGACGTCTTTCCCCCGCGCCGAGCAGCTGGTCCCGGGCACTCTGTGCACAGGCACAACGTGATGACGTCTCGGCCACGCGGAGCCAACTCACCTTTCGCCCCCGCGCCGGGCATTTTCCTTTGGCACGTGGTGCCCCCCCCCCCCCACGAGCCGCAGGGGCTTAGCGGATCGGGGGGGGGGGGAGGGGGGCGGGAGGAGTGATCCCCCGCCGAGCGGAAGGAGCGCGGGAGTAGGCGCGCGCGGTACAAACGCCGCCGCCGCTCCGCTCCCTCTGACCTCGTCTCTCACGCGCCAGGCCAGGGGAGGGCGCGCGTGGTAGTGGTGGGGGGGTGGGCGGCGCAGGCAATGACATCACAGGAAGCGATGGTGCCGCCACGGTCCGGGCGCCTGCTCAGATGGAGGTCTCATTGCTGCCACTGCGGGTGGGGGTGGAATGGAGCGGGCGACACCATGCAGGGTGAGCTCGCGCAAACAAAAATGGGACAACAGAGCACAACGACGACAAAAAACAAAATAAAACGCACTCACTGAAAATATTTACGCAATAGAAATCTGTGGAATGGAATGAGTTGATGACAACAAGAAGGGGACGGTGGAATCGGTTAACTTCACGCAAACGAAAGGTGATCAATCGGCCCGAGCGAGACATCGAGCGCAAGCAGTAGGCGGTGCGGCGTGAGATGTGGCCATCACCAGTGGGGGGGGGGGGGGGGGGGGTCAAGGGTCGCATGTGGCACAAAAGGGGGAGGTGGGAGTTCGCATGGCAGGGGATCGTGTGCTGCCCCGGACATCTATAGCCAATCTCGAGGAAGCGAAGTGACGGAGAGAAAATATCAATTACACTGGTTCGTTCATCCATTCCTCATTCGTTCCCTTTTATCCGCAGGGGAAATGCCCGCACTCCGAGGTCACCCTCTCGGCGACCTCGTGTTCTCCCGAGTGCCGACATGGAGATCCCCGTTTCACCGTTCGTTATGGTCGGTGGCGCAAACCCGGTCACAACACTGCAAGCCGTTGAGTCACACTCGCTGTCTCACTCTGAATCACTGACCAACACACTCACCGAGTCACTCACTCACCGGCAGACCCACTCCCTCCACATCACACATTTCGAGTCACTGCGACCAACTAGCTCGTTCACTTCCACAAAATTGCTCGCTCACTGCGAGTTATCCATCCCTGAGTCCCTCCGAGTCATGCACTCAGGAGTTATTCACTCATTCTGTCACTCTCTGACTCTCACTCTGACTCTGTCTCACTCACTCAGAGACACTCACTCCGAGTCGGAAGAGTCATCGGGCTGGCCGGCATTGGGGTGGCCGGCCCCGGCGCCCGTGGCTGCCGCGGTGTTCCCAGCGCTGCCGCCGGTGACGCTCATGGGGATGCGGTTGATGCCGTTGAGACGTTCGCGTGACGACTGCCGGCTCGAGAACTTTGAGGAAGAGCAGCCGGTGCCCGTGCGGCTGCCCTCGCTGGAGCCCGCAGAGGGCGCCCGCGTGCGCCCGCCGCCCCCGTGCCGAGAGCCGGCCAGCTCCGTGTGGATGCGGTTGATGGCATTGAGGCCCTCGGTGCGTCGCTCCGCCGAGGGGTGCGTGGGGTACGGCACTCGGTTCTTCAGGATTCCTGCGCAAACGGGTGGCGATTAAACCCCTCCCCCCCGCGTGACGCAGACCCTTTGGGGCCGTCGCTAATGGAGACCGCCTGCGAAGGCCACCCGGCATGATGCACGCTCTTCTTTGTTTCCCCAGTGCGGCACACGCGTACCCGTAGGTTCACGCGCGTGCGCACACAGACACGCAGAGATGCGCACGCACACAATAATAACAGGTGGTGATCTCACAGGAGCGTTTGTGCCAAGCTTGGTACAATTTGAGACCACAGAACAAACCCAGTTGCCATGGGTTGACTGAGATGACTGGCAGATGAACCACCCGTGCTGCTCACTGTGCCAACTTGCTGCGTTTTTAGCCGCCCGGCACACTTTCGTGCACGTACACAAACGTGCAAGGACCTACAAAGACAAAGGTCCCCCGTATAGCCTCAACATACTGTTGGGCAAGTGTTGTTCGCGAGTAGCACCTATGGCCGGCACGACACATGAGGGGGTGGGTGGCCTCCACTTCGCCCAGCCGCCTTATTCTCCCGAGTGTTGATGTTCACACACTGCACTGGGCACTCATTTAAGGATGAGGTGACCTTGCGGAGGCCCAGGACCGGCTCAGATTCCTGTCACCGCTGTTGGTCATGAACGGGTACCGAGAGGGCGAGAGGAGCGTGCGTGCATGCATGTTGCGTGTGTGCTGCGTGTGTGCTTGCGTGTGTGCTGCGTGTTGCGTGTGTGTTGCGTGTGTGCTGCGTGTGTGCTGCGTGCTGCGTGTGTGCTGCGTATTGCGTGTGTGCTGCGTGCTGCGTGTGTGCTGCGTGTGTGCTGTGTGCTGCGTGTGTGCTGTGTGCTGCGTGTTGCGTGTGTGCTGCGTGCTGCGTGTGTGCTGCGTGTGTGCTGTGTGCTGCGTATTGCATGTGTGCTGCGTGTGTGCTGCGTATTGCGTGTGTGCTGCGTGCTGCGTGTGTGCTGCGTGTGTGCTGCGTGCTGCGTGTGTGCTGCGTGTGTGCTGCGTGCTGCGTGTGTGCTGCGTGTGTGCTGCGTGTGTGTTGCGTGTGTGCTGCGTGTGTGCTGCGTGTGTGCTGCGTGCGTGCGTGCGTGCATGCGTGTTGCGTGTGTGCTGCGTGCATGCATGCTGCGTGTGTGCTGCGTGTTGCGTGTGTGCTGCGTGTTGCGTGTGTGCTGCGTGTGTGCTGCGTGTGTGCTGCGTGCGTGCTGCGTGCATGCATGTGTGCTGCGTGTGTGCTGCGTGTGTGCATGCGTGCTGCGTGTGTGCTGCGTGTGTTTTGCGTGTGAGCACCGCACCTTTGCGGATCTCCGTTTGTGCGGGAACGGGCGTGGGTGCGGCGTCGCGTGCCCCCCCCACCACGCCGTCCCCGTTGAGCTTGAGGCCATCCGGCACCGAGCCCTCGGGGTGCGGCTCGATGTTCACCTGGTGCACGGCAACAACAGCGGCGTCAACAACATCATGACAGCAACATCAACGATACCAACATCATGAACACAGCGATAACAACAACAGCACCCCCCTATCCCTGGTCTCTCCTTAATATGCTGGTTATCTCTCCCCCCCCCTTTCTTCTCCCCCCTCGCCCCCCCCCCCCGTCCGACGCGGGGTCCCCACTTGGTTGGGGCAGCGGGCCCAATTTGACCCCTCGTAAAAATGTTCTTGACGCACCAATCGGGAACGTCCCCTTGTTGTTTTTGTCCCTTTCCTATTGAACACCGGCGCGTTGTACCGGGCTCACGCTTGAGTCGCGATAAAAACATGAAAGTCAACAAGAACATCTACTTGGCAACATGATGTGGCCTCGCGGTCGCACGCTTGCCACTTGTTACAGAGGTTCATGGTTCGATTCCAGCGGCTGCCCTGGTTAATACTCTGGTGCATATTAACTGTAAAGTCCGCAATGTCATTCGCAATAGTAGGCCATTGTGTGCCGGCATGATGGTTCGAAATTTTCCAAACCTGTAAAATTACTCCGCAAATCACTCAATTGGGAAACACAGCGGCAGTCATCGCCCCATACAGGATCCCCCTGAAGAGGAGCCAGGAGACTCATGAGGGTTTCCCGGGTAAACAAGCAGAATAATATTATGAATAACGTGGTTACAACATGGATACATTACGGTCGCAGCAACCTCGTCAAGCAACAACGTGGCAACTCATCAGCAAAGCGATCACTTCAACAAAGCGGAAAGACCGTCGCAACAACACCACCACCACTTGAACGCCACCACTGGCGCTTGCCATAGGCAGTGCAGCTGTACCGCCCCCCCCCCACCACCTTGGTCTCGATGCGGAGACGCTCGCCCGTGCCTCCTCCGCCCGCGGGTCCCTCGCTCTCACTCGCCGTTGTCACGAACTCGCCCGGCCAGTACGGCTTCACGCGGCCCAACTCGTACTCCACTGCACACGTGCATACACATACACACACGCGCGTGTGTAAACCCTCTCGCTACCAGCAGCAGCAGCGTCGCTCGCCGTATAACCAGTCATCCTCCCCTCCCCCACAGCGATGCAGGGCTTTGTGCGGCCCGGCCTGTTACTCGACTGCAGTGCTCCACGACCGATGAGGGCGAGTGCCGCGGTATGTTCGCAAAAGCAAGGACTTCGCTGTTTGCATGCTCGAGGGAGGCCAACTTGCCTCCACTCCGTGGTCGATCCTCCCGCCCTCCCCTCTCCGTTGAGCGTGCACCCACCCGCGCGCACTCTCACGCACTCGCCCGTTCACCCATTTGCTCTCTCACTCACCCACCCACCCACTCATTCCCTTTCTCACTCACTCTGTCTCTCAGTCATCGACTCGCTCACCCTCCCATGGCCCGCGCCCCGCTCTCACCCTTGGGCGTGCTGTGCACGAGCTTCTCCCCGTTGCCCTTGCTGCTGTTGTGCGCCGGCGCCGGCGTCGTGTCCCAGGCGCGCTCGCCGCCGTAGCCCCTCCCGTCCTCCTCCTCCTCCTCCTCACTGTCCGACGAGTGCGTCGACGCCAGTGAGATGCTGTGCTCCTCGTCCAGCGACAGCTCGCTGTCCGAGTCCGAGTCCGGCTCTGCACGTTCATCACAGGACACAGTCACCTCGTGTCCCGTCCCCTCGGCTACAGCTCCTCCACACAGCTACACTCAGACTCCTCGTGTCCCCTCGGCTACAGCTCCTCCACACAGCTACACTCAGTCTCCCCGCGTCCCGTCAGCTACAGCTCCTCCACACAGCTACACTCAGCCTCCCCGTGTCCCTTCAGCTACAGCTCCTCCACACAGCTACACTCAGCGGAACATTCGTAGAGTCACGTCACCTCAACTCCGTCACCCCCCTCACCATCAACACATCACCTAACCCCCCCACACTTGTAAAATGGGGTCCTGCCCGTGACCCCCCCAGCCAACGACGTGACCTCTCCTCACCGTCCTGGTCGCCCTTGAGGTTGTGGAACAGCGACGAGTCAAACTCCGTGGCGCCGGCCTGGGCCCCCGGCGCGCTGTGCTTCAGATCGTCCCTGCAGCGTCGTCCCAGGGAGGGGGGGCCAGGTGGGGAGGAAGGGAAGGGCGGGGTGGGGGTGGGGCGTTACCCACGCATCATCGTTAAGCATTATCTTTGTTATTAATTAGCGCACAGGCTTTCATGACCAGATAATTTAAAAAGATTAGAACCTTTGCACCGCCAGGACTTGCATGCGTCATGGACGTGACAATCAACTCAACGCCTTCTCGTCTTCAACTATAATTACGGTTAATTATTCGTATTCTTCATCACAATTAGCTTCGCACGAGAGCAGCGACGCTCGCTTAACGCCTCGGCAACTCGGGAGCGCCTCCCCTAACATCTCGTCTCACCACAGTGCAAGGGGCACCCCCCCCGCACCCCCGCACCCCCGCACCCCCCCCCCCCCGTGCCAGTTGTCCCTGCATGCCACAATGTGGGCATTCGTCTGCCCGTTGTGGGCGGTGACCGCCGTGTGTGATCCCACTTGGATCGTCGCTATAACGCAGGTGCGCCGCGAGTGCTGGCGACGGTCGGGCAGGTTGGTGGGGGGTGGGTGGGTTGGCGGGCGAGGGGGAGCAGAAGAGACCCCCCCCCGCCCCCCGTGTGTCTCCGCTGCCCACCTGTGGCTGGTAAAGCTCTTGGCGGAGCGCCCGGTGCTGACGGAGGACACGGTGGAGGTGCCGATGTTGATGCGGTGCGGAGTTCCGTCCTCGTACGCCGACGCGTTGTTGTAGGCGAGCGAGCGCTGCAGTCCCACGCCGTAAACGTTAACATCACCATCGCCACCGCCAATAGCAACACCCGCCATTCGCCACTAAGTGACGGTGACCACGGCGCCTGTGCCAGGCCAGGTGCACTTCGAGGCCACGTGAAGTGTCGAAAGCTCGCTGACAGGAGGTCTCGGGACAGACTCAGGTGCCATGGGTTGGCTGACTGAGATGACTGGTAGATGCCCCAGCTGTACCCCCTACTGTGCCAACTTCCTGCATTTTAGCCGCCCGGCGCTCCGCTCACTATTGTGAGCGTCACTCTTCTGCCCTCCGTTGTTGCTGGAGGGCGAATGCCTCCAACTGTCCAGTAGCGTCTTTCACGAGCCTCCTCCATAGAGGCCGATCTTGACACCGCTGATATCAGTCGTCGGCAAGTCACCACCACCATCACCACCATCATCATTAACATCAACACCACCATCACCACCATCATCATCAACACTGTCATCATCACCACCACCAACATCATGGCCAACAACACCATCAAGATCAGCGCACTGCTTCCATGAGCATCCTACAACCATCACGGCCACCAGCAGTACAGCTGCTCCATGTAACCTCACACAGCTCAGTGTGACCCCATGCGACCCCGTGTGACCCCGCGTGACCCCGCGCGCACCGAGAGCAGCGAGGTCTTGGTGGTGATGCCCGTGTCGTCTCCCTGGCGCTTCTTGCCGAAGCAGGAGAAGCGCCACGCCTCGCGCACCTCGGGGTCCAGGATGCAGTGGAACAGCAGAATGAAGAAACCCTGCGAGATGCACAGAGACGCAGGCAGAGAGAGACAGAGAGGGGCAGAGAGAGGCAGAGAGAGACACAGAGGGGCAGAGAGAAAGGCAGATGCAGGTGTCATCACCACAGAACACAAGAGCCCCTCACCCTCCCCTCATCCTCTCACCCACCTCAAAGTCACCCGCCATCCTCACCCACCTTACCGACCACCCTCCACCTCACCCACCTCACCCTCACCCGCCACCCTCATCCACCTCCCGCTCACCTGCCACCCTCACAGACCTTACACACCGCCCTCCACCTCACCCACCTCACCCGCCACCCTCACCCACCTCCCCCTCACCCTCCACCTCACCCACCTCCCCCTCACCTTCCACCTCACCCACCTCCACCTCACTCATGCTCGGCTTTCGATCTCGTTTATTCGACCCAAACGCCCCCCCCCCCACCCCCCGGCCGCCTCACCTGCAGGCTGTTGAAGATGGCGAAGAGGTAGTGGAAGATGATGAGGTGGTTGTTGACGGCGAGCAGCCCGAGCAGCCACGTCGTGCTGACAAGCAGCAGCAGCAGGAAGGCCGTGCGCAGGTCGGCCCTGTGGGCGGCACGCGGGGAGTTGTGTACACGCAGGGTGTGTGTACACGCAGGGTGTGTGTACACGCAGGGTGTGTGTACACGCAGGGCGCTGTGTACACGCAGAGTGGCGGTGTGTGTACACGGAGTGGCGGTGTGTACACGCAGGGTGTGCGTACACACAGAGTGGCGCTGTGTACACGCAGAGTGGCGGTGTGTGTACACGCAGGGCGGTGTGTACACGCGGAGTGGCGGTGTGTGTACACGCAGGGTGTGTGTACACGCAGGGTGTTGTGTATACGCGGAGTGGTGGTGTGTGTACACGCGGAGTGGCGGTGTGTGTACACGCAGGGTGTGTGTACACGCGGAGTGGCGGTGTGTACACGCGGAGTGGTGGTGTGTGTACACGCAGGGTGCGTGTACACGCAGAGTGGCGGTGTGTACACACAGGGTGTGTGTACACGCGGAGTGGCGGTGTGTACACACGGAGTGGCGGTGTGTACACGCGGAGTGGCGGTGTGTGTACACACAGGGTGTGTGTACACGCGGAGTAGTGGTGTGTGTACACGCGGAGTGGCGGTGTGTACACGCGGAGTGGCGGTGTGTATACACACAGGGTGTGTGTACACGCGGAGTAGTGGTGTGTGTACACGCGGAGTGGCGGTGTGTGTACACACAGGGTGTGTGTACACGCGGAGTGGCGGTGTGTACACGCGGAGTGGCGGTGTGTGTACACGCGGGGCGTTGTGTACACGCGGAGTGGCAGTGTGTGTACACGCAAGGTGTAGTGTGCACGCGGAGTGGCGGTGTGTGTAGACGCGGAGTGTGTAAGTGAGACTCACATAGTGTAGGGGTTCTTGAGGCCTCGCCTAGAGGCTGCACACGACTCGCGGGCGGCCATGATGAAGATGATGATGTTCATCTGCAGACAGAGACAGGGTGAGGGTGAGGCTGGCGACGATGGCGATGACGACGAAGGTGAGGGTGAGGGTGAGGCTGATGGTGAGGCTGATGGTGAGGCTGATGGTGAGGCTGACGGTGAGCGGTACCAGCGCGACGAAGGTGAGGGTGAGGGTGGCGACGATGGCGATGACGACGAAGGTGAGGGTGAAGGTGAGGGTGAAGGTGAGGGTGAAGGTGAGGGTGAAGGTGAAGGTGAGGGTGAGGCTGACGACGAAGCTGATGGTGAGGCTGATGGTGAGGCTGACGGTGAGGCTGATGGTAGCTGACGGTGAGGCTGGTGGTGAGGCTGAATACGGTGAGGCTGATGGTGAGGCTGGTGGTGAGGCTGACGGTGAGGCTGGTGGTGAGGCTGACGGTGAGGCTGACGGTGAGGCTGATGGTGAGGCTGGTGGTGAGGCTGACGGTGAGGCTGGTGGTGAGGCTGACGGTGAGGCTGATGGTGAGGCTGGTGGTGAGGCTGACGGTGAGGCTGGTGGTGAGGCTGATGGTGAGGCTGATGGTGAGGCTGACGGTGAGGCTGGTGGTGAGGCTGACGGTGAGGCTGACGGTGAGGCTGATGGTGAGGCTGGTGGTGAGGCTGACGGTGAGGCTGGTGGTGAGGCTGACGGTGAGGCTGACGGTGAGGCTGATGGTGAGGCTGGTGGTGAGGCTGACGGTGAGGCTGGTGGTGAGGCTGACGGTGAGGCTGATGGTGAGGCTGATGGTGAGGCTGACGGTGAGGCTGGTGGTGAGGCTGATGGTGAGGCTGGTGGTGAGGCTGACGGTGAGGCTGGTGGTGAGGCTGACGGTGAGGCTGATGGTGAGGCTGATGGTGAGGCTGACGGTGAGGCTGGTGGTGAGGCTGACGGTGAGGCTGATGGTGAGGCTGACGGTGAGGCTGATGGTGAGGCTGACGGTGAGGCTGACGGTGAGGCTGGTGGTGAGGCTGATGGTGAGGCTGATGGTGAGGCTGACGGTGAGGCTGACGGTGAGGCTGATGGTGAGGCTGACGGTGAGGCTGACGGTGAGGCTGGTGGTGAGGCTGACGGTGAGGCTGGTGGTGAGGCTGATGGTGAGGCTGATGGTGAGGCTGACGGTGAGGCTGACGGTGAGGCTGGTGGTGAGGCTGACGGTGAGGCTGGTGGTGAGGCTGACGGTGAGGCTGATGGTGAGGCTGACGGTGAGGCTGACGGTGAGGCTGGTGGTGAGGCTGACGGTGAGGCTGATGGTGAGGCTGATGGTGAGGCTGATGGTGAGGGCTGACGGTGAGGCTGACGGTGAGGCTGACGGTGAGGCTGGTGGTGAGGCTGATGGTGAGGCTGATGGTGAGGCTGACGGTGAGGCTGGTGGTGAGGCTGGTGGTGAGGCTGACGGTGAGGCTGACGGTGAGGCTGGTGGTGAGGCTGATGGTGAGGCTGACGGTGAGGCTGGTGGTGAGGCTGGTGGTGAGGCTGATGGTGAGGCTGACGGTGAGGCTGACGGTGAGGCTGGTGGTGAGGCTGGTGGTGAGGCTGATGGTGAGGCTGACGGTGAGGCTGGTGGTGAGGCTGGTGGTGAGGCTGATGGTGAGGCTGACGGTGAGGCTGGTGGTGAGGCTGGTGGTGAGGCTGACGGTGAGGCTGACGGTGAGGCTGGTGGTGAGGCTGGTGGTGAGGCTGACGGTGAGGCTGACGGTGAGGCTGGTGGTGAGGCTGATGGTGAGGCTGGTGGTGAGGCTGGTGGTGAGGCTGACGGTGAGGCTGACGGTGAGGCTGGTGGTGAGGCTGACGGTGAGGCTGACGGTGAGGCTGACGGTGAGGCTGACGGTGAGGCTGACGGTGAGGCTGACGGTGAGGCTGATGGTGAGGCTGATGGTGAGGCTGGTGGTGAGGCTGACGGTGAGGCTGACGGTGAGGCTGACGGTGAGGCTGACGGTGAGGCTGACGGTGAGGCTGATGGTGAGGCTGATGGTGAGGCTGGTGGTGAGGCTGGTGGTGAGGCTGACGGTGAGGCTGACGGTGAGGCTGGTGGTGAGGCTGACGGTGAGGCTGACGGTGAGGCTGATGGTGAGGCTGATGGTGAGGCTGATGGTGAGGCTGGTGGTGAGGCTGATGGTGAGGCTGACGGTGAGGCTGATGGTGAGGCTGACGGTGAGGCTGACGGTGAGGCTGACGGTGAGGCTGACGGTGAGGCTGGTGGTGAGGCTGACGGTGAGGCTGACGGTGAGGCTGACGGTGAGGCTGACGGTGAGGCTGGTGGTGAGGCTGATGGTGAGGCTGACGGTGAGGCTGACGGTGAGGCTGGTGGTGAGGCTGATGGTGAGGCTGACGGTGAGGCTGACGGTGAGGCTGGTGGTGAGGCTGACGGTGAGGCTGACGGTGAGGCTGACGGTGAGGCTGACGGTGAGGCTGATGGTGAGGCTGACGGTGAGGCTGACGGTGAGGCTGGTGGTGAGGCTGATGGTGAGGCTGACGGTGAGGCTGACGGTGAGGCTGGTGGTGAGGCTGACGGTGAGGCTGACGGTGAGGCTGACGGTGAGGCTGGTGGTGAGGCTGACGGTGAGGCTGGCGGTGAGGCTGACGGTGAGGGTGAGGCTGACGGTGAGGCTGACGGTGAGGCTGGCGGTGAGGCTGACGGTGAGGGTGAGGCTGACGGTGAGGCTGACGGTGAGGCTGGTGGTGAGGCTGACGGTGAGGCTGACGGTGAGGCTGACGGTGAGGCTGGTGGTGAGGCTGACGGTGAGGCTGACGGTGAGGCTGACGGTGAGGGTGAGGCTGATGGTGAGGCTGACGGTGAGGCTGGTGGTGAGGCTGGTGGTGAGGCTGACGGTGAGGGTGAGGCTGGTGGTGAGCGGTACCAGCGCGACGAAGCAGACGGGCCCAGCGAAGCTCCAGATGAGGGTGTCGTGCACGGAGAGCCAGCAGAAGTCGGGGTTCCCGTAGCCCTCGGGGTCCAGGCCCACAGCCAGGCCTGGGGCCCGCAGGGAGAGGAACGGGACAGAGGGGGGGGAGAAAACACGGGGAGATGGAAGGACACGTGGACAGGGAGGAATACAGGGAGATGGGGAGAGGATGAGGGACGGGGAGAGAGCGGGAGAGGAAACATGGAGACGGTTTGCATGGGGAGAGGGAAGGACAGAACACGGGGAGATATAAGTAAGACAGGGAGAGGGAGGGAGAGGGGGGACACGGGGAGAGGGAGGGAGAGAAGAGGGGGGACACGGGGAGAGAGAGGGAGGGAGGGAGAGGACACGACGTGGTTAGAGGAGTGCGGTGCACAGGTAGACAAAGCCACCCGCGTGCGTGCGAGACGACGGCAGCGAACGAAGCGAGGCGGTGGTGGCGGCGAGCGGCGTCGCGAGCGGTACCGGTGATGACGGCGGGGACGCCCCAGCCCGTGGAGTAGTAGAAGCGCATGTGGCCGTGGTTGATGTTGCGCATCTCGGTGAGCATGCGGTAGACGTGCAGGCCCTCGACGAACATCCACGCAAACGTGCACATGAAGAAGTAGTGCAGCAGGATGGCGATCACCGTGCACGCAAACTGCACGCGCGCGCGCGGACACATGGGGGCACGGACACACGGGGGCACGGACACACGGGGGCACGGACACACGGACGCGCGAGAGTTACGGGGGAGGGGGGGGGCGAGGGGGGCGACAGCACGCACGCACAAAGCTACACGCACGTACGTACTGTACATGCGTACATTTACACATCTACCCTCATAATTCTACACTCACAAATTTACACTCACACCACATTTATCCTCATACACTCAAAATACAAAGAATCCCCCCCCACGCTTATCCCTAAGTAATTGAAGTCACACCTGTGGCTTCTAACTGACATCTGACATCTGAATGACAGAACCCAAAGTAATTGCCCATCTTTATTCAAATCACATGACACACAGTGAATTGCCCGTTAGTTTCGCGTGGACCCCACGCCCCCCTCTAACTCCGTGCCCTCTCGACCCTCGGCCCCCGACCCTCACACCCTACGACCCCCCCTCCGCGCTCTCCGTCCCCCGGGGCCGACCTGGTTCTCGGTCTGGTTGATGCCAATGAGGAAGATGAGCTCGGAGAAGAAGATGGCGACGATGAGGTTCTTGTGGATGGTGCAGCGGTTGGAGCGGAGCGAGCGCAGGCAGAGCAGCACGAGGAACGCGACGAGCAGGAAGAGCAGCGACACGCTCACCGCCGCGTACGTCACCACCGTCAGCATCCACTCGTTCTCCAGCTGCGTCCACGGCGGGTGCACGGTGGCGGGGAGGGGAAAGGGGGGGCAGGGGGAGGCGCAGGCGGAGTGGAGAGACGGGGTGGAGCTCGGGGTTAGGGTTGTGATTTGTATGCACTGTCGTTTGTTGTTGTTGTCGTTAGGCGGAGGTTGTGTGTGTGTGTGGGCGATGCAGGTAATTGAGTACGTGGTGCGGTGTGAAAACATCGCCACTGGGGAGACAAAGGCGGTCGGGCGTGACGCTGGCCACCCACCCCCTCGTGTGCCGTGCCGACCTTCATAGGTGCTCGCTAACAGCACTTGCCCCTACAGCCTGTCAAGGCTACACGGGGGGATCTTTGCCTTTGATGCAGATGGTGCTTGTGCAGTGGTTGCGTGCGTGTCTGTCGTTGTGATTGCGAAGAGTGGAAAAATTGTGGTCCGGGCTGTGGTTGTGTGAAGTTGTGGATGCGTAGCGGCCGTGTGTAACCGCAGTTGCCTATAGTTGCGGTTGCGTTTGTGCGGAGGAGGTTCGTGCTCGCGTTCGCGGTCGAGACTGCGGTTGTGCACGATGGACGCTACTGTATTTGTTGCGATTGCGGCTGTGTGAAGATCATGGTTGACACTGCAGGTTGCGGTTGTGGTCGACCGTAGCCACGCTTGGTTGTGGTCGTGTGCGCTTAAACGTTGTGCTCGCCGGTGCAGGAGTGCGCGGTGAAGGCTGTTGTTCTTGCGCGTGGTTGTGGTTGTGATACGTGGCTGGGGTTGTGGCGTGACCAACCTCTCTGTTGGACATGTCCATGAGCAGGGCGTAGCTGGACATGTGGTTGCACCGGCAGGTGATGTGGGTGCTGTTCCTGCTGTGCAGCTCGCAGCCCCGCGCCGACCACCCGCCCTCGCCACTCACCCTGCACCACACAGACAAAGGCCTCCCGCTGTAGCCTCAACAGACTGCTGGGGCAAGTGCTGTCAGCGAGCACGCACCAAGGCTGGCACGGCACGCACGACGAGCGGGTGGGGGCGGCAAAGCCTCGCTCCCTGCCTCCTTTGTCGATGCCGATGTATACGCGCCGCACCGGGTACTCGTTTAAGGCTGAGCTGACCGACGAGAGGCCCGCGAACACGTACGGCAAGACACACCGATCAGTGTGCATGCGTCTGTGCACGTGTGCGAGTGCGTACATTCACGTGTGAACGTGTGGCCTCGAAGTGCACAAGCGCCGTCGTGACGTCACCGCCGTTTCGTCATGAACGGCGGCTGTTGTTTTGAGTGTGTGTCTGTGAGGGGAGCGGTAGCGTAGCGTCTAAGACACCTCTCTACGAACCCGGCGACCCGAGTTTAATTCCTGCTCATGGGCAACACAGGTGACGATTATCTGAACAGGTTCCGGGGAGAGGGAAGGGCGGTGGTGCTGGCCACCCAGCCCCTCGTGTGCTATGCAGACATTCATAGGTGCTCGCTAACAGCACTTGCCCCAACAGTCTGTTGCAGGCTATACAGGGGATCTTTGGGTCACTGCGAATACATATGAGAGATGGAGTAATTCCAGAACAGGCAGATGGGCTTGCTGCGGTTGTGCTTGTGTGTGCGTGTACATGTACCCGGGTGTCTGTACGTGGGTGTGTGTGTGTACATGTACCCGTGTGTCTGTACGTGGGTGTGTGTGTGTGTGTGCATGTACGTACGGGATGGAGTGGTTCCAGAACACACAGATGGGCTTGCTGCGGTTGTGTTTGTGTGTGCGTGTACATGTACCCGGGTGTCTGTACGTGGGTGTGTGTGCGTGTACATGTACCCGTGTGTCTGCACGTGGGTGTGCGTGTGTGCGTGTACGTACGGGATGGAGTGGTTCCAGAACACACAGATGGGCTTGCTGCGGTTGTGCTTGTGTGTGCGTGTACATGTACCCGTGTGTCTGCACATGGGTGTGCGTGTGTGCGTGTACGTACGGGATGGAGTGGTTCCAGAACACACAGATGGGCTTGCTGCGGTTGTGCGTCTCCTGCAGTCGGAACTCGAGCAGCACCGGCGGCTCGAGCGAGTGGCGGCTCAGCTCCGTCTCGCTGAACACCGTCACGCTCAGCACCGGCGCGTTGATCACCGGTCGCTTGGGCAGCCTGCGCCGGGGGAAGTGGGGAGGGGGGGGGCGACGCCGCGAGGTTACGCTCGCCCACACACCGAGGGATCGCCCAGCCATCGCCCCCGCACCCGATCGTGCCCCATCGTCCAATGGACACCGAATTGTCCACCGTCTTCCCATTACGTCAAGCCGTCATCCGCTCCTGTCCCAGCCACGTAGTCGCCCGCTACCGTCCCATCAACACCGAGTCGCCCGCAACCCACTGCCCCCCCCCCATCACACGTGTGCCATCTCTCCGCTCACCGCAAGCTGCGCCGGTCCGAGTCGTAGTGCTGAGGCAGCAGTTCCCCCAGCGAGCGGAAGACGAGCGTGGCGAGCACGGCGTGCGGCGCATCTTCCTGCTGGTGCCGGCGCCGGCGCGCCACCTCTGCCGGCGACGCGGCTGCCACGGCGCCGCCTGCGCCGTCGGCGGCGGGAGCCCCGGGTGGAGCCGTCGCGTCGACCTCGTCATCCGGGCCGGGCGTCGGAGAGGGCCGTGGCGCCACCCCTGCCGTCTTGCGGTTGGCGCCGCCCCCGCGCTGCGAGCCGAGCCGCTCCGAGGCTGCGCGAGCAACGGCAAGCGGTCAACGCTCACGCGGCTAACGCACCCGCGTCTAACGCACGTCTCGAACACGCCCGCGTGATTATTGTGTTTGCGCGCGTGCCGGTTTGTCCGCGAGCGCGCACGCGCGTGCGTTGCGTACGTTTGACGGGCGGGAGGAAGATGGACTCGGGCACCAGGGCGCGCGTCTGCGTGTCCCAGGGCGTGTGTCCGCGGAAGAACGCCGCGTGGTAGCGCGGGAACTTGTCGCCTGTGAAGTTGTGCTTGTCCACCCGTTCCACGCTCAGCACTGCCGGGGGGGTAACAGGGCGACCGCCAATGAGGAAGGCAAGGCCGCCGCATGGCGGTGGGGGGGCATGGGGAGGGTGGGGGGGTGGGGGGGCATGGGGACGGTGGGGGGGTGGGGGGGCATGGGGACGGTGGGGGGGTGGGGGGGCATGGGGACGGTGGGGGGGGCGGGGCAGGGAGGGGCAGCATCAGGTGGCCACGTGAGTCGGCGGACGGGGTTCTGCGGAAAGTGAAATTGTAACGGGCGAGGCGACTGGGATTTGACAGCGATGTCCTCATCAGCAGTGCTTCCTCGGGCAGATGGGCGCACGCAGCTTCCCAGCAGAACCGGCGTGGTGGAGCTTGGCACTGGCTCATCAGTAGTTGGCTGCTGTAAATTTCCACATAAGCCACTTCATTGAGCTATCATTTGTGGCAAGGTCGCTTCTGAAAAAGAGCTATATAGCTCAGTGGGTCTTGCCTGGTAAAATAAAAAATAATTCAGTTTTAGTTTATCATGATCATCAGCAATTCGGTCATTCAGTCACCAAGGTCATCGGTATTGGGCAAACAATGTTGAGCCAAAGAATTACCTTCAAATGACTCGATCGGGACCGCACACGGCAACGTCGCCACCCTCTAATGGTGTAAACTCGGCAGGACCCTCATGAAAGAGAGCCCTGAGACTCGGTGAGGCTTTTCTGGGTAAACAAGTGTGGGCCTCCGCCAAGGCTGGAAGGAAGCAGACAAAGATGGGGGCGGGGGGGGGGCAGCGGCGATCGGCGTACCGAGGTTGGGCGTGACGATGGCGAATGGTTTGAGGTAGATGGTCATCATGTTGCGCGCCAGCGCCTGCGCGTACTCCTCGTAGAGGCGCAGCAGGCGCGCCGTGCCGCCCTCCGCCCGCTGCAGCTGCTCCCAGAGCTCGCGGTGCCGCGGCTCCAGCAGTGCACTGCCCGTGTGGACCATGTTCTGGCAAGAAGCACGCGTCATCGGCCAATCAGCTCGCCGGTCAGTCCACCCATCAGCTGGCTCGTCGGTTGGCTGATCACGTGGTCGGTCTGGTCGGTCGGTTGTTTAGGCGGCAAACCAGTTTGCCGGTCAGCCAGGTAATTAGTCAGCTGGTCGAATGGTCAGTCATTAGGGTCAGACAGGACATTTTCAGGCGGGCAGTCTGTTGGTCAGCCAGTCAATTGGTTAGCCAGTAATCCAGTTAGCTGGGTCAGCTAGTCAGCCGCTTGGTCAAATAGTCTGACTCGTGGCAATCGGTCAATTTGTCAGCCTGTCGGTCAGCTAAATAGATCGGTGGTTAGCCAGTTGAGAAGTTAGCCATTCAGCACACTAGTTGACCATCCAGTGAGTTATCGAGCCAACAAGTTGGTCAGTTATCGAGTCAGGAAAGAAAGTGAGTGGCTCATCTGCTCAGTCAGCTAACAAGTCAGCTAGCTAGTCATGTAGCCAGTCAGTCAACCAGCTAGTTACCTGGCAATCCAGGACCGTGCGGTTTGTGAGACATCGTCACGAGGGGTGAATAGGCCATGCCGACCCAGGGCAGACATTGACAGTCACCCAGGGTCACCCAGGGTCACCTGGTGGCACCTCCCCCTCACCTCAGTGAAGAGCGTGTCCTGCGTGGCGGAGAGGTTGAAGCCATTCTGGTCGCTCTCGAAGGTGAGGACGCGCGCCGCCAGCTGGTACGCGACGCGCACGTCGCTGCCGAAGGGGCGCGCCGTGTGGCGCGTGGCGTTGTGCAGCTGGTGCGCGAGCCGGCGCGACAGCTCGGGGATCATGCGCGTCTCGTTCCGCTCCAGTCGCTCCAGCTACGCGCACGCACACGCACACGCACGCGGGGACACGCTGCCATCGCGTGAAATCGACCAGCGGTGGCGTGAGGTTGACACAATCACCCACTCACCCACCCACCCACTCAAGGGAAACAGAGGAAGGAAGCGAGAGAGGGGATCCCGTGAGCTCAGTCGAAGAGCAGAGTGAAACTCTGCAGTCGTTTGGGGATCATTTACGGAGCTCCACCCACAGTGTCTGAGAGCAGAGCAACGAGGTCAGGGTCAGGTCGAGGTCAGGGTCGCGCTCCCCGCTCACTCACCGTCTCCTTGAGGGCGGTGTAGGTGACGGACGTGCAGTTGTAGAGGTTCGGCGGCAGCCAGCCCTTGTCGTCGTCGCAGTGCCGCACCGCCGTGCCTGCGGCACAAGCGCAGCCCGTCAACGACCAGCGGGGGATTCAGGGGTCACAGGGACAGAAGGTCACGGGGGCATAGGTCGCTGGGAACGAGGTGGGAGTGTCACGGGTCGCCGGGCAAGGTGCTACGGGCAGGAGTTGAAGGGTCACACGAGCAAGGGTTGCGAGGTGAGGCGGCCCGTCGGAGGGCGTGAGCAGGGCTTGGGTTGGAGTTGCATTGTCGCTGCGCTGGGGTCATGAGGTATCAGAGGAATTGCTTTAACACAACCGTCATGAATTAAATGGTGAAAGCGGCGTCATCAACCACTTCCGCGAGGTGTGGGGTACGATTTGCAATGCTGTGGGGAATTAACCATTCGTGTTTTCACGTGGACAGAGTTCACAGCGGCTTCACTAAATCAGCCGAATCGAGATGATGACAACGATCCATGCAGCGAGATCCTGTTACGTTCGGGGGTTTGGAAGACGAGACGGCACTGGCTTCTAGGTCTAAGCAAAGGACATAAAACCCTGACCGTGACCCAAACTCTCACCTCTGCCCTGCCCCTGCCTCTAGCCTCGACCCAGGCTGTAGCCACAGAGATGAGGACACGGAGACACAAGGACATGAGGACACGGCGACACAGTGACATGAGGACATAGGGATGCCGGGACTTAAGCACACACGGACACGGGGACACGGGGACACGGGGACACAGAGACGTGGGGACACAGGGACACGGAAGAGCATCGTGAGGAGGAGGAGACACTCACCTATCGGCCTCTTGTCTGACAGCAGAGGCAGCAAGAAAAACGGGGGGGGGAGGGAGGTTACAACGGGGGAGGGTGCGATGCTGGGGCACTGGCTGCGGAAGGGAGGTGTGGGCACGGTGTCCCCCTCCGTCTGTGTGTAGGAGTAGAGGGGAGGCTCGGGTGTCACCTGTGTTGACCTCTATTGTGGTTGATATTGGTCGCGAAAGCCTATGTGTTAAACAGGCTCAGGTGTGTGGGTCCGCGAGTGTGGATCTCCGCATGTGAGCGAGTGTGGACGTGTGTGTGGGGAGTGGTCGTGGAGTGGCTCGCGCACTGCGCTACGAACCCAGCTACCCGAGCTCCAATTCCTGTTTACAGTCAACAGTAGTGACAATTATCTGAACCGGTCTTGGGTCACCCCAAGGACGACTCAGCCTAAAAAATGTGTAGCTGGTGCGATATGTAAACATCGCCACGAGGGAGAAAAAGGTGGCCTGGCGTGGTGTTGGCCAACCACCCCCTCGTGTGCCGTGCCGGCCTGCATAAGTGCTCGCTAAAAGAACTTACCCCAACATTCTGTTCAGGCTATAGGGGGGGGTCTTTGTACAGTGTGTCTGCGCATGCATGGATTCATCTGTGTGTCTGTGGGGAGCAGTGGCGCCTTGATTAGCACACTGCACTACAAACAGGTGACCCAAGTTCAAGTCCTACTGACAGCCAACATCGGTTACATAAATTAGAACCTATTTTGGTGCCTCTGCTACGTTGTGTGTAAAACAACGTCACTCGGGAGACAAAGGCGGCCAGGCGTGGTCGCTAACCACACCACCCTTTCGTGTTGCGCCGTGCTGATCGTCATAGTGTGCCTCGCTAACAGCACTTGCCTCGCCCCCCCCCCCCCCCACAGCCTTGCAAAGTCTATAGGGGGGGACCTTTGCCTGTGTTTGTGTGAGAGTGAGGTTACCGAAGGAGTCCTTGGGGCAGGGCACGGCCGCCGGGAGCCCGAACTTGGTGCGTGGCCACCAGATGTCCGCAGCCATGGCCCTTGGGCACCCGTCGTAGTAAACTACATGGCGAGGTGGGGGGCGGGGGGGGGGCGGCAGGGAGAAGTGGGGGGGGCGGCAGGGAGAAGTGGGGGGGGCGGCAGGGAGAAGTGGGGGGGGGAGAAGTGGGTGGGGGGGGGGAAGTGGTCAGTTGGTTTATATCAGCTAAGGCCCCAATTGAGCTAAAAAGCTCTGTTCCAATGGTGGCCCAAAGAGCACTGCTAATACACATCCAGAACTATGCACGGACGAAATCTCGTGAGCGATCCGATGCAACATTGAGCACGGGCCCGTGGGCACAGGTGCGTGAAAACGGCCGCGTGTGCATGTGTAGGTACGCGCATACGGCTGGCGACAGCAGTGTGTGACGGAGTGCGCACGTGTCAGCATATGCACGTGTGTCATGTGTGCGTAAATGCAGTGGGTATGTACGTGTGTGCATGTGTGTTAGTGTATGTAAGTGTTTGTATGAGCACATTCCTTCATAGTGCGGGTGTACGCATTTGCGCGTGCAAAATTCTCTCAGCCTTTATCCAGACCACCGGCTCCAAAGAACTGAGTGTGTGCCCATTTTATTGGAGGCATACTGCAGCAGCATTTGCCGACTGTGCTGCAGCGATGAGTGCTAATGAGGACGAACCCGGTCGACTGCTACGGCTTTGTCTTTGTTTCGCAGCAGCTGCTGCCAGCCGTTCTTGGGACGACCCCTCGGCAACACGTTCAGTTCTGCTAAACGAGTGGTCTAGATAAGGCCGAGCGAGGGCTATTGTCTTCCCGGTCCGCTCTCATGATTCTGCTGCGATGATGCCGACGGTTTGTGCGTGCGTACCCTCGCATCCGGACGCGGCGACCTCCGCGAAGGGGTTGTCGCAGAGGTCGCACTGCTGTCCGACGACCCCTGGCTTGCATGGGCACTGCCCCGTCTCCCCGTCGCACGTGCGCGACAGCGCCCCCGTCACGTAGCACTTGCACGGGAAGCAGCTCTCGCTGCCGTTGGGGCGGTAGTGGTTTGCCTGCGGGGAGATCCAGGCGATTTAGATTTAATTGGCGGTGGCGAGGAGACATTGCTTCCCTCTCGCCCGTTACGCAGCAGGCCGTGGGTTCGATCCCGAACCCTGACGATGCCTGTTGTATATTTGTTCTCTCCACGTGGCTGTCACGTGGACTTTTCTCCAGGTCCTTCACATTTAGAAACGTGTGTTTAGTTAATTTGGCTGCTTCTATAAAGTCCCACGTATGGTGATATACGCCTCTGAAAAAGGGATTTTTCCTGGTAAATAAATAATTTTAGTTCAGCTTAGAAGAAACATTTAGCTGTGAGCTGTTTTACAAGAATGACCCACGGGGGACGTTACAGCAGAAAATAAATCAGCGAACGACGTTGGAGGAACACTACATTCAAGTCACGCACCACTCAAGCAACACTGGCAGCAGCAGGTAACGGAGAAATACAGCGGCAACTCGCGCACGGTTAATAAACCACGCGCGAAAAAGGGGAGATCTTAAATGAAGGAAGGAATTTAAAAGGCAGCCGGGTAGGCAGGGGGAGCTGGGGGGAGAGGTGGTAGCAGTGCCAGTACCCGCCCAGATTGGTAGCACCTTACAGGCGGATCTGGAAACTTCCCAGGGTGGGGGAGGGGGTTGTGAAATTCCAAGCTGGTTACACAGGGCTCAGCACGAATAATAAAAAATACCACTCATTGCATACTCTCTGGTAAATATCAACAACATAGCAGTTTTTGGGGGACTCTAGGGCAGCAGGGCAAGAGCCCTTCCCCGGCCCTTGTGGATGTTAAAGAGCCAGTGACATCTTTCGCCGGCATCACGGTACAAATTTGCCACATTTTTAAATGAACAACGCAATTTACTCAATGTTCATTATTGACGTGAACATAACTACACTACCACTCTGAAAAAAACCCACGCTTTATCTCAAACGTTATCATCTCATTTACAATGGTATAATTGCTGTAAAGCACCTTGGGATAAGGCGCTGCATAAAGAGATGGAATATCGCTTCTGCAAAGGTGTACGAATTGGGAATACACATGGCAAGTCTATTCTATTCTTGCGCGTGATAGCAGCAGTATGTTCGGGAGCTCGATGGTCAATGTCAGGGTCTGCTCGCCAAGACGAGAGGGCTTCGGTTATAGAGGTCTGTGTAGTTTTGTTATTCCTCCTCTACTACAGTGGTTTACCACGTGGTCCATAGTTTCTGTTAGCATGGCCATAATCGGACCACTGTGGCTTTGTCTTGAATTTTTCATTCGTGAAGGAGATGTGGTGCAGCATCAGCCTGGTGATGATGTTCTGGTGTGGATGACGGTTCCACCACCAGCGTCTTCGAGGAGGACGACGACAAACGTCAAAGCCAGGAGGAGGTGCGATGTGTGGGCCTCGAATGAGGAGGTGTTTATTCTAACGTCGCAATCGCCGCCCCCTGCTGAGAAAGAACTCACGGCGACGGTGGCCGTGCTTCTCAAACGACCGCGCTGCCGCAGGAATTGGCAGCGCCAGTACCCAGCGTGCTCGCGACTGCGCCCGCGCGTCACCGCCGCTCACCATGCAGCTGCACTGCCCCGTGCTCTTGTTGCAGTCCGAGTCGAAGCCGCGACTCGAGTCGCAGTTGCACGGCCCGCAGATTTTATTTCCCCACCAGCCCTTGGGGCACGGCTGGTCGGCCCTGGGGGAGCAGCAGCGAAGGGGGGTGGGGGGGTGGACACACGGCCCGAGTCACGGCGATCCCGCGGCACAGCCACCGCGAGATACTCGCAGACGCAAGGACACACGGACGCAAGGACGGGCGCACAACAGCAACAACAACGGCCGCGGTGACGTTATCATGACGTGGGCACGTGCCACACATGTACACATGCAGAGCGGGATGCATGCACATACGCGTGTACGGGGCCCGTGCGCGCGCAGAAACGGACGCGCGAGGAATGTGACACCACCCGGCCACTTCGCCGCGATACGTGGAGGTCACTCTCCGTGCCGGGTTCACCCCCGCACCGTCTCGTCCCAGCGATATTTTAATCATCAACTCAACGCACTTGGTGTTAGCGCCATGGTTCTTACAGCGCAGGGATCTGACGAAGGAAGGCGCTGCTGTGTTTCACTGACACGGCGTGCAGTGCAGGCAGAGGATGGAGCAAGCGAGCACCCCCACAATGTACACAACAAACACGACATACACTCCCGAACTCCTCACACACACACACCACTCATATGTACGATAAAAAAAGATCCCTCGTGTAGCCTTTACAGACTGTTGGGGCAAGTGCTGTTGGCGAGCACCCATGAAGGCCTGCACAACACACGAGGGGCGGGGTGGCCAGCACCACGCCCGGCTGCCCTTCTCTCCCCAGTGCTGATGTTTGCACACTGCACCAGGTCCAAACCGAAAGCCGAGTCTATCTCGGGGAGACGCAGAACCGGTCCAAACATTTGTTGCCGATGTTGGCTGCGAGCGGGAATTGAACTCGGGTCGTCGGGTTCGTAGCGCAGTGCACTAACTACTGCAATATCACTCTCCACACACACATGTCCACATGTACATGCGGTCGCATGCACACACAGCGAGGGAGTAGCTGACGTGACATCTGCTGCAGTGTGAAGAACGATCCTGAGCCTGAGAGCAGGTAAAGCACCGGGCAGGGCTGACCTCCCAAGCGAACTGCTGGGGGAGGGTGGCGATTGTCTGCATGACATCACCACAACTACCTGGTTCTTCAAAAGGGGGACCCCCACCAGGGCATCCTTCAAATCCTGCAGAACCCGTCCTGTCATCCACCGCTTGTAACAACTGATTGTTATTAGCTACTGGAGCATCTCTCTCCTCAATGCGCCAGGAACACGCGCACACACAAAGACAAACACCCCCCATATAGCCTGTATAGACTGTCATGGCAAGTGCTATTCATGTAGCACCTATGAAGTATGACACACGAGGGGGTGAGCTGGCCAACAATGTGCTGATGTTAACCACTGCACCATTCATCTAAAGCTGAGTCGACCTAGAGGAAGCCCAGAACCAGTTATGATTTGTTGTTTGCAGGAATCGAACTCGGGTCACCAGGTTCGTATCGCAGTGCACTTACCGCTACAAAACCGCTCCAGACACACGCACGCACGCGTGAAAACACACGAACACTCCCACCGCACTCTCAGGCGCTCGCTCACACAGACACAAGCACCGGGTGGCGAGCGAGTAATAAACGGGCGCGTAACGAGCGAAGGGGGCGGACGGGCAAGGGAGCGAGTGAGCGAGCGTGCCGTGGGGCCAGGCGAGCCGTGACCGTGCCAGCGTGGTGTGGCCCTCTCCCGGCCACGCTCGGCCGCCCCTCGCACGCACGCATTGTCCTCCACCGCGACGGCCGCCGCCCAGCGAGACGGCATTCCTCGCGGCGAGCCGGGCTGCGCGAGCCGAAGGAGAAGAGCCGTGTGCGTACTGGGGGCGCGCGACCTTTCTGTGCGGATTCACGCTCAATTTGCGTGTAATCCCGCTGCCAACGCAGCACCTCGTGCTTCCACACGGAGGCCGACGAATCGCGCTTCGAGTGCGCGGGGAGGGAGGGAGGGGTGGCAGCCGCAAGCCAAAAAGAGCAGCAGTGGAGACCCCCCGCAGCGCCCGCGAGCCGTGCAGCACGCCGCGCTCCCGCTGGCGGAGGTGCGACGCGGGCTGGTGTCCCCGAGTTTGCCGGCGGCAGCAGCCAGGGGACAAAGATTCGCCTCCCGTTTGGCGGTGCCGGGCGAGCAGGGTTTTGGGTAACGGGAGACCGCGGCGCGTTGCCGCGCGTGCGTCGCAGGAACGGACGCGCGCCATGTGTGCCCACGCAGACACAAAATGGGCACGGAACCCGCACATGCTTATAGTTATGCACACAGCCTGTAGCCCCACACACACACACAGTCTGTACCCACACACAGTCTGTACCCACACACAGCCTGTACCCACACACAGGTATGCACACACACACACACAGCCTGGATGCAGCACCCACATGCACACAAACACACAGCCTATACCCACACAAACACCCTGTACCCTGTACACACACACCCTGTACCCACAAAGACAAAGATCCCCCGTATAGCCTTAATAGACTATTAAGGCAAGTGCTGTTAGGGAGAAACTCTGAAGGCCAGCATGGCACACAAGGGGGTGGGTAGCCAGCACCACGCCCGGATGCCTGTCTCCCCAGGGACTCATTTGAGTTGACATGGGGAGGACCACTGCACCACCGCTCCCCACACTCACACACGCCTCTACTCAGCGACTCTCTCACTCACCTGTACTGCGCTCGGTGACTCACACCTGAACCCTCGCTCGCTCACCTGGACTCGCAGTACTGCCCGAAGAAGCCATCCCCGCACTCGCAGGTGTAGCCGTGTGACGAGCTGGGCTTGCGCCGGCAGCTCGACTGGTTCTCACACGGGTTGAGGCTGCAAGCGTCCGTGCACGACTGCCCGTAGTAGCCTGCGCACGCGGCACGGGGCGAAGAGGGTGCGAGTGTGAGCGTGCAGCACGGGGCGGGGGCGACGAGCGCGTGTGCGTGCAAGTGTTGTGTGTCTTCTTGGTTCTTTCGGTAAAGTCACGTAGAATGGAAATAATAAAATTAAAAAATAAAACATAATAAAATACAATTCTCACGACGTTTCGGCCACAACGCAAGCAGCCGTCCTCAGGTGAAGAACAGGTCTTAGAGTCGCAGCATCTCTTCAGAAAGGTGTGTGTGTTGGTGTGCGCGTGTGTAAATTTTGGCGAGGCGTGCGCGTGCAGCGTTGGACCGAGAATGTTCATTGTTACGCGAGCGAGCGGTTACGAGCGCACGATGTCGACCGAGCGACCGGGTGAGTGACCGAGTGGGTGGCTGTTGCTCACCCGGCTCGCACACGCAGGAGAAGCTGTCCCAGTCGTCGTTGCAGTAGCTGTTGGGGGGGCAGGGGCTCGAGTCGCAGGGGTCGGGCAGCGAGCAGCCGCTCTCCACCCTCACCCGGCGCACGGCCGAGGTGGCGCCCACCGCCGCCCCCTGCGGCTCCGCCAGGCTCGGCAGCACCGTGCCGAACAGCGTGTCGCCCATGCGCACACCCTGCGGGCCGGAGGGTGGGGGGGACACAGGCACCCGCGCTCACCCTCAACCCTTTAAACCTTTAACCCTTCACCCCTAACCCACGTCCCTGCTGGTTGCACTTGTCCGCTCGTTTACCCAGGAAAAGGTCACCGAGTCTCAAGACTCCTTTTCAGGAGGGTCCTGCTAGGTTTTTTGCGTAAGAGGTGCAATGATTGCTGCTGCGTGTTTCCCAACACGTGGTAATTTGTCAAACGTGGCAAATGTGGACCGTGACGCCAGCACACAATGGCCTACTCTTCTCTGAACGGCGTCACGGGATCTTCAACGTCTACTGTGCGTGAAGCAGACGGTGCGTTACAGGAGTAGTACTTTTCCAGTCAATACCGACACCACCGCAGTGTTAACCAGGGCAGCCGCTGGATTCGAACCACAAAAAACCGTGCAACAGGCGGCGAAAGGCGCGATCAACTTGGCCGCATCGCCAATCGGCCTGCGTCGTTACGAGTCCCCGTCTCCGGGGACACGACCCTGGCGAGGGAGGCGAGGGAGGCGAGGGGCCTTCGAGACTACAAACACACGGGGGGGGGCGGGGGGGATGGGGGGGCGGGGGGGATGGGGGGGCCAGGGGGGCAGGGACCCCGGCACCACTCGTACGGGTCAGGCGCAAGCCCCTGCAGCCAGCCGGCTGAACCCCGCGAGCCAGACGGACGCGAGGAAGCGCTGGCGGTGACGCTCACCTGCATGCAGCCCCGGAAGCCATGCTGGACGCTGTCGCCCCCCGCCGCGCCGAGCAGCCCCCCTACGTGCACGGACTTGAGCTTGAGGCCGTGGAGACCCCCACCCAGCTCCCCCGAGTTCTGAGACGACGCGACGGAGTTGGAGGGGCGAGGGGCGAGGGGCGGGGTGTGGGGGGGAGAGACGGTGACCGCAGCGTGAGCGCGATCCTTCGCGGTCTCCCGGACTCATCACGGGAGCAGGAACACCTCCCTTTGTTTAGCAGCAGCAGTAGTGGCAGCAGCAGCGGCAGCAGCAGCTCTATTGGCCAGGGTTCTGGGGCAGCATTTGGCGATGTAGGTCACGCGCAACATTAACTCAGCGTGGAGGAGGAGGCCGGGAGGCTCCAAGGTCAAAGCGCAGATCCGGCACCGCCGAGATCCTAGATTCCAATCCGGGTTTCCGCCATCGCCTGGGATTAACCCGGCTTCTCGGGTGCACCCGGTCACCAATGAATCACATCGAGACCGATAGAGACACATCGACTCGCATGTAGACCATTCTCACATAGAGAGGAGCCATAGACTCACATAGAAACCCACGGAGACTCACACAGAATGAGTTGTGATGAAACTGGGTTCTGGAGTGCAGTGAGTTCATGGTCTTGGCGCGGTCACCAATGGCTGCAGCACAAATAACCTTTGCACCAATTTGATTTAAAGCTTTCATGACTGCAGGGATTCATATTCTTGGTTCTTTCGGCAAAGTCACGTAGAAGGGAAATAATAAAATAATATAAATATAAAACATTAAAATTATCACGACTGTTTCGACTGCAACACAAGCAATCATCATCAGGTGTGAAATCCACAGAAAGAAATTTATTTTTATTGTTTTATATTTATATTATTTTATTATTTCCCTTCTACATGACTTTACCTGAAAGAACCAAGAATATTAACCTTTACACCAATTTGTAACTTGACTAAACTCCAGCTCTGGAGAACGTGAGGCTGTCAGCTTTGTTTTTGTGAACGTTTCCTCTTGCAGGTGTCCGCTATGACTCTTGCGTCGTTCACATTTCTGCACGGAGATCTGACGTCCTCACGACCAACGTCGACGTTTCGCGGCCCCCTCCTCTCCGCGGGCGAGTCGGCGCCGTGCTGCGGGGCCGCCTCCGCCGCTATCGCTGGGGACACTGCTTGGCCCAGCTCCGCTACGTCCGAGGCTGTGCCGGCACGGTCGGTTTGTTTACGCGGACTTCCGTGACGGGATTATTGACACCGCTGTTGATTTGTGTGTGATCACCCTTGTTCACTGTTCACCCTGCTTGCGGTTGAGTTCTGCCGTGGGTTTCGTGTAAACAACTTGTTGTTAGTTTGCTTCTTCTTGCTGCTCTGGTTAGTTTGCACATTCCCTCCACCTTGCAGTTTCTGGAAGCTGCCACCACTGCCCAGGTCTACGTAACTATGGATCTCCATGTAACTATGGATCTCCATGCAACTCTAGATCTCTGTAACTCCATGAAACCGTGATGTCCTCTAACTGATGCCAATGCCGATGGTCTTGGGCTACGGTCGTTCTCGTAACAGAGCTGCTCAGCTCAATGGGGCCTTGCCAGCTGAAATAATAAAGCCCGAGTCTGTTCTGTCCACCCAGCGACGTAACCACGGGTAGGGGGACACAGGGAACAACCAAAGTCCGTCGACCGGCCGGTCGCGTGTGGTGGGGTAAAGCGTGAGTACATGGACATGTCTGGTGAACGTGACAGAGTCGCGCAAACACCACCGTCGACTTTGCTCCGGCGGAGGGCGCTTCCGCCAGCAGCGGCGTGAGCCGGCCATCGCAGGGCCGCGCCTCACCCGTCGCCTGGACGCATCACAGGTGCGGGCGCCGCTGCGCGGTGGCGACGACGGGGGTGGGACGGAAGCACGGGTGGCCCGGCATGGCGCGCTCACCTGGTAGAGGCCGTGGTCGAGCGACAGCACCCCCACGTGGCGCACTTCCTTGCCGCGCCGCTCGTCCCGCAGCTCCACCTGCAGGCTGTGCCAGTCGCCGTCGTTGACCGTCACGGTGCCGAGGTGCAGCAGCTCCGAGCGGCCGCTGCCACGCTGGACCCCCAGCACCAGCGTGCCGTCCTCCACCTGCGCTCACGGGGACGGAGACACGGAGGCACGGGGACATGAGGACACGTGGGCATAGGGACGTAGGGACGCCGAGACACGAGGAAATGAGACGCACGGGTACGTGTGAGCACATGCAGGGACAGATGGCAACACGCGGCGACGCAAGGGAACACAGGAACACGGAGACAAACGGAGACGCACGGGCGCCTGAGCGCACGCACGCAAAGGCACGTGTGGGACGAGCTCGGAGACAGCGGCACTCGCACTCGGGCACACGCGCACGTGGACGCACATATGGGTGTACGAAGGAAGCGCACGCACGTACATATGTGGCCACACACAGACAAAGGTCCCCCATATAGCCTCACCTGCAGGCTGATAGAGGTGTACTGGCCGGCGCTGGCATGCAGCAGAGTGGCGTTGCTCTGCCGCGTGCGGAACATGAGGCCGATGAACCACGGCGACGAGATCGCCACATCAGGCCGCAGCTCCCACGACACGCGGCTGTTGCCCAGGAACCGCAGCGGGCTGCTCATCACTGCACAGAGACACGGGGGGCACAGGGAGATACGGGGAGAGATGGGAAGAGTGAGGCACGGAGACACCGAGACACGGGGGACATGGGGGGAGATGTGGACATTGAGGCACGGGGACACGGGAGAGAGACACGGGGACACGGGAGACAGACACGGGGACACGGAAGGGAGAAACATGGACACGGGGATGGGGACAGGGGGGTAGACGAAGACAGTGAGGCACAGGGACACAGGACAGGGGGACATGGGAACACCATCAGAATCTTCGCCAAGCACCACGACACCTCTGCCGCGCGCAAGGCCAAACTTAGAAGAGGAAAGGCCGACACGACGACACCTCCACGACCGACCCCCACGAGGCCATGCGGGGCGGGTCGGGTGGTACACTCGATGTGGGCAGATGGAGACCGACAGAGCCAGGGTTTGGCCGCCCATTCCCACGGGCGATGAGCCGGGCTGGAAACACGCCGGCGGGCAGGGCGGCGTGACCGTCGCTTGCCGGCGTCGGAGCTTTTACTGAGCTCGTAAAAACCAAGCGCGGTTGCTCGCAAACACGAGCACGTGCACTCAGGAAATCCAGTCAACAAGATGACGGCCACTCTTGCGGCTAAACCCGCAGAACCGGCGACGGAAGCGGTTACGGCGCCAGCTACATCGGCCGCTGCGCCACGAGCGACGCGCATCTCCGTCTGCACGAGGAGCCGGCGCCGGGCCCCTACCTTGGCTGCAGTTCTTGCCGCCGAAGCCGAGGCGGCACTCGCAGCTGTAGGACTCCCAGCGGTTGGCGCAGGTGCCGCCGTTGCCGCATGGGTCCCCCACGCAGAAGTCCTTCTTGGCGGAGCAGCCTGCGGAGGAGACACGACGACCGGCAACGTCGTCATCATCGTCGTCGTCATCGTCACTGCGCTCGCTCACCCTGGAAAGCCTCAACCGAGTCTCAAGACTCTCTTTCAGGAGGGTCTTGCCAAGTTTTGTTCCCAGTAGGGGGCGCTGCTGCTGCTGCTGCGTGCGATTCTAATGGAATGATTTTCGGTGTAATTTTTCAACCATCAGGATGTTTGGCCAATACCAGTTCCACAGTGTGCGTGTGTCGATTGAGCTATGGAAGCCGAGGAAACCCACGCAGAACAGGGGGAGTAGGTACAAACGCAACACACTCACTCACATACAAAGACAAAGGTCCTCCTATAGCCTCAACAGACTGTTGGGGCAAGTGCTGTTAGTGAGCACCTATGAAGGCCGACACGGCACACGAAGAGGTGGGTGGCAGAACCAAACACTGACAAACTCCACACACAGGCAAGGCACCGGAGTCGGGAATCAAACCCAGGCCCTTCTTGTTGCGAGGCGCGAGTGCCGCCACTGCGCCGCTGCCGCCACCCTCATTGACAACAACGAGGGTGGTGATGACAACAACACTGATCCCAGCTTGTGTGGACGATGACCGGGAGTGGACGGGAATCATCGTCGCAGGCCACACCGTGGTCATTCGGTCGCCCCGCTAGCGACAGCAGGGCGCCGAGGACGACCACACACGGGTACTGTATATACACAGATTTACTGAGTTCACCGATTGGCCGAGCTAATCATTATTCTTTTCTGGGGGTGGGGGAGATTGTGCACCGCTCACACCAACGTTAATAATAGAGAGGCCACGGAATGCGTGAGTGATCAAGCAGACTAAGAGAACAACTCAAACGAGTTACAGTGAAGCATTGGCGCTCAGATCTTGTTTACAGTTCTGAGCCAGCGATGCAAATTCCAAAGTACTAGGACAGGAGTAAGTATATCCATAGGACCACAAAATGGTGCTAATTTTATTGACCGTGGAGGGATGATGGCTTAGCTAATGCCCAACCATGATTTGAGCCACTCGCTCTACCGCTGAGCCACCACCCGGGCGGCTGATGGTTTTAAAAGGACATATTAAAGCGGAGTGATGTAAAAGTAACATTTAACGCAAAATCAACATCGCTAAATCTTCGGCTCGCGCTTCAACTGGACGCGACGCCACGTCGTTCAGCTCGCCGGGCCGTCCAAGGGGCGACGCAGCGCCGTGACCGATGGGCCCAAGGTCCCGGTAGCGCAGGCGGCGGTATCCTGCGGTGGGTTTGGGGAGGGGGCGCGGGGGAAACCGCTCACCGGGCAGCGTGCCGTTGTTGGCGATGAAGCCGGCCATGTCGACGCGCCGGCTGTCGACCTGCAGGTCGCGCATGCAGCCGACAAACTGGCGGCTCCGCACGGGGAACTCCTCGGGCAGGTTGGGCACCCCGCCCAGCAGCAGCGGCCCCGTCAGGTCCAGGGATCTAGGGACACGCACACGGACGCGCGTCACAAATACACACACACGCACGTAGGCACGTGCACACGGACGCGTGTTGACGCACGTAATGCGCGTGCAAGCACAAATGCATAGAGCGACAAATACACACACATGTACACACACAAAGATACATGGGCAGACAGACGCACACATCCATACAGTTGCATATGCACAGATGCACAGGCATGCGCAGACACATAGAGATACACACAAAGACAAATTTGCCCCACGAAGGTTTTAAGGCTGTTGGGGCACACGACGAGGTGAGTGACCAACACCACGCTCAGCCGCATTTGGCTCCCCAGTGCTGACGATTACACACCGTACCAGGTACTCATTCGAGGCTGAGCCGACCTAGGGGAGGCCTATCACTGGATTCCTAGCACAGTGCACTAACCACTGCACCACTGCTCCTCACACGCACACGGACACACACAGATCCATCGGCGACACGGCCACCCGCTCAGGCCACCCGACACTCTCGCGATCCCGTCACCATCGCCCCCAGTCGGCACAGCCGCCCCAGCCAGCCTCGTCAGAGCGTCAGCTTTAGTCATCGTTAGCAAACAAAATCGATTCCTAACGACGCCTCGCTCAATAAAGATACAGAACAGAAAACGCGGCGCTGGGTTTTAAATCGCCTGTCGTGCTTTTCACTTTCGCAGGCCGTGGGGCGAACAAGAAGGGGGCGCACGGGCGGAGGGGCGGGCGGGAGAGGCCCCAGCGAAGAACGGCGGCCGTGGGAAGAGCGGCGAGGCCCATCCCGGCCTCTAATTACACGGCCCAGCGAGCAGCCTCGCGACCCTGACCCCTGACCCCCCGCACCACTCATCAACCCCGCGGCTCCGCAGCGCGGGCACTCGGCCAGCGTTCGCTCGCTCCGCTCCGCCGGAGAATCACGCCGCTTGCGCCGAGACAGCCGCAGCCCCCCCACCGCCCCCCACCTGCCCACCCCCGTCACACATCCATACAATATTCATACACTGTACATTCATTATCCTTAAGCCAAAGATTGGCCCCAGGCAGGGTGGTAATAACGGCGTGGTTGCGTTATACTCCTCCCTCCCTCTGTACCCCCGCCCTCACCACGGCCTCTCCAGACGCAGCCAAGCGTGCCCACTCTATACGAACGCGGGATTTTGCTTGGGCCACGCCGGGCAGAAATGGAGGGTACCCACACTTTACCCCACCACTACAAGCCACTCGCCGATAGACTTACTCCCACGTGCTTATTTTTTGCACACCGCTCGTGTACAGTCACGGGGCATACCGTCACGTACGTCGTGCGATCGCGAGAGGTGGTGAAGACGAGGGGAGGCCTTCATCCAGCGGTGGATTGATCTAGGCTAACGACGATGGTTACGACGGTGAGAGAGGCAAGGCCGAGGAGCGTGGTCCGAGCGCGATGCTTCTCCCGCCCACACGGATACATTCCGCGGCACGGTGCGCGGAACCGGCTCCGCTTCGCACGCTCGGAGCCACGACGCCGTCGCTCCGTTGCACGCGGCACGCGCTGCTTAACATTAACCACGGTTCGTCATCGCGGAGACGTGCCGCCGCTCGGGACGGAGCCCGGCGTTCTCCACGAGCGACTCACCAAGGCCCACAAACGATCATTAACTCGACAAGAAGAAAGGGAGCGCTTAACCGGGCCGGCAGGACGGTGGAGTGAGGGCCTGGGGCAGCCAGGGGCCTCAAGATTCACAACCAAACTATTTTCCACAACAACCGATAATAGCCGCCATTCGCCACCAAGTGGCGGCGACGTCACCGCGGCGCTTGTGCCAGTCGAGGTGCACTTTAAGTTCGTCACGCAAAGTGTGGAAGGTTCACTGCTGGCATGAGGTCACAGGACATGGGCTGACTGACTGAGACGACTGGCAGATGCACCACCTGTGCTGTCCACTAAGCCAACTGGTGTCCACCACAAACACACGAACTGGTGGGGCAAGTTTAAAATAAAATAAATCACGACGTTTCGGGTGCAACACAAGCGTCCGTCATCAGGTGGGAAGAAAGCGTGGTGTGCTGCTGCTGAGGCAGACTCTTTTAAAAGGTTTGAAATGGGCGTAGCCCAAGGGTCATAAACAAGTGGCCGGGGCTAGTGATGTTAATGTGAGAAATTAGCATGTAGCTGTAAGATAGGAGGAGAGCGGGCTCCTCGACGAGGGAGTGCAACCCAAGGGGTGTAATTCAAAGGGCCTGGGAGCATGAGAGTGCAATCCAAAGGCATGAGAGTGCAATCCAAAAGACATGTGAGCATGAGAGATCTAAGAGAGAGGCATAGAGAGAGAGACACACACAGAGAGTCGAAATAACAGCTAACATAGGCAGCTAGGATGGAAACATCACAGTCAGTTAAAACTTTACCTGCTTAATAACGTCCTTCCAATGATCCTCTAATTTCTCACATTAACATCATGCTAATCTCTCACATGAACATAGCCACTTCCGTGCCCTCGTTGAGGAGGCCGCTTTCCTATCTTACAGTTATATGCTAATTTCTCACATTAACATCACTAGCCCCAGCCACTTCTTTATGACCCTTGGGCTACGCCCATTTGAAACCTTTTTAAACAGTCTGCTTCAGCAGCAGACCATGCTTGCCCACCTGATGACGGACGCTTGTGTTGCGCCCGAAACGTCGTGATTTATTTAATTTTAGACCTACGTGACTTTACCGAAAGAACCAAAGAGTATGGATTCCTGCAGTCACGAAAGCTTCAAATCAAGATTGGTGGGGCAAGTGTTCTGAGTAAGCACCTATTAAGGCGAGCACGACCCCATGCCTGGCCACCTTTGTCTCCTCAGTGCTGATGTTTACACACTACACCAGGTACTCATTTGAGGCTGAGTCGCCACTCTTACTGGCCAAGAGTGGTAATCGAACTCTGGCTGCCGGTTTCAGAGTGCACAGTGCGCTAACCACTGCATCACTGCATCACCGCTCCACACACACCGGCGACGTGGGGGGTCCCGGCTCTCTGCGGCTCCCCGCTGGCTCTCGCCGGGTCAGGGTAGCGGCGATCAATCCGGGGGTTACTTATAGATGGGACGGGCTCTGAGGATGACTCAACGAGCAAACCGAGCCACCCCTGCCTCCAGCCACCCAACGTACTCCGCTCTCAGCAGCTGCTTAGCCCTGAAAGTAGCTTGTACTGCCTATTCTGTCCCCATACTGCCACGTTCTGCATCCATGCTGCCATGTGCTGCCACCGTACGTATGTATGTCGAACTTCTTTTGCACCATACGTAGCCAACCGTGGTAATCGCAGGTGCCCCGTGCTGCCATGTGCTGCCCCCATGCCGCCCACGTGCTGCCCCCCGTGCTGCCCCGTGACCCGCGATGTAAACTCACTTCTTGGAGCCGGTCTGCCGTCCCTGGGCGGCGCACGAGTAGTTTCCGATGACGGAGCCGAACTTGACGGCGACGGAGGTGTCGCAGTCGTCCACCGACACGACGGCCACCTTCTCCTCCGACGGGCCCCGCACCAGCCCCGCCTGGCCCATGTTCGGCTGCCGGAGAGACGCGCACGCACAGCGCAGAGATAAAGATCACCCAACGTCGACTCGATAGAATGGTGGGGCTGGTGCTGTGAAGCGAGCACCTACGAAGGCCGGAACGTCACGCCGGCGGGTGTGGGGGGGCCAGCGCAATGCCTGGTCGCCTTTGATTATGTTTACCGTGCACCGCACCAGGTACTCATTTGAGGATGATTCGGCCTAGGAGATGCCCACGACCAGTTCAGATAATCGTCACTGGTGTTGGCCGTGAGCAGGAATCGAACCCGGGTTGCCGGGTTCATAGCGCAGTGCATTAACTGCTACACTACCGCTCCCCACTACACATGTACACACATGCATGAACACGCACGCACGCACACACACACGCGTGCGTGCCTGCACCATGAGTGGGATGCAGCAGCAGGATTGCAGCTGGCGCGACGTAACTCAGTGGCGTGTGCGGTCACCACCGGGGCCGCCTGGCCAGTTAAAAATAGCCAAAGAGTGCGACGATCAGGACCCGGTTTATCCAGAATTGTCGCGCGGGTGCCTCTTGTCCCGGGGGCCCCTCCCCTGTCCCTCGCTGTCCCCCGCCCGCCCCCACCGCCGCTGGACCCCGTGTGACTCGCCCGGCGGCCGCCCGGCGGCTCTCGCTAACGCTTCGTGACGGCCCCACAAAGGACGTCCGTTACCGCGCGGCAGGAGCAGGCGCTTCCCCCCCCCCCCCCGCGCGCCGTCTCCTCCTCCGCCCCGGCGAGAAAAACCCCCGGCGCCACCGCTGCGAGGCCTGGGCCGGCACGGACGTGAGGCGACAACTCAGGTCATGTGCTGGGATTCGTTCCTCGCCGGAGGCATTCTACATTTATAAATCCTGGAAAGGTGGTGGCAAGCACTTGACAAAGTAGCCTCGCAGCCACAGCGACAGGTTTACTGGATGCGATGTGCCAGTTTGCGAAAAAACATTTTCAGGGTCACCGACCGTGATGAAAGTTCCAGCCGAAAATAGGCCCTGGTCACATCTGGCACAGGAGCAGCAGGGAGGGGGGGAAGTCGCATGGCCCAGGTGTATTCGCCACGAGTGAAATACCCGGCGCACCGCAATTGTGCCGAGCCAGGGATCGCGTGCCGCGTGGACGTGACGCCGGCCAGCACGCCGCGGGGGGGGGGGTGGGCGGTCGCGTCGCGGGGTTCACGCAGAGCGGCCGCCGCTAGCAGCTCCCCGCACATCCTAATTGGGGCCGAAGCGCGCGGCGGGCGGTGCGGCGGCGGCGTCCGTTCGCACCATTGTCGGCTTCTTGGGAACAAAAAAATGATTCCTTTATTGTGCGGCGCGTAATGAAGACGCCGTTAAGAGGGGAAGCAATCTCAGATAAGCCTTTAAAGCCACACAAAGGGCGCCGCGAAAGGGCGCCCGTCGCCGCCGCCCCCTCACGAAACCCGCGAGTGTAAATTTATACGCGGAAAACATAACAAGCAGAGGGGCGGGCAACATGGGGCCCTGACACACGGGCCATTATGAGGCAGGCCAAGTGGCTTTTGTCAACAGGAGAGGGGAAGAAGGCCGAGGAATGCGGCGCGGGACGCCCGTGCCGCACCTCCCTCCGTCTCCGCCGACTGCGCGCGGCCACGCGCCGCTCGGAGCCTCTCCCTTTCCTGAGGTTCCCGGCGGCACGGAGCGAAACGTCGGACATTGTGCCAAATGACGCGCGGTCAAAAGTCAAGGCGATTTCCCACCACTCAAATGAGCACTGAGAGGCGCTGGCGCTCCGTATCCTATTTACAGCCCTGAGCCCGCGGTGGAAATTCCACGTTCCCATTGTGGGGCACTAGCATCTCCACGGGACAACCACCGTCGACTTGCCCGTGCGCTGCGTTCAATAACGAATCTGCCGCGAGCCACGACCTCTCCACCGTGCACTCGGGTCACGCCCGCGCGCTGTTCAGGCACTGACCCCGCAGCGTTCGGGCACGACGGCGACTGCCCACGTTACGTGGGTATCGTTTATTTATCCGAGAACGCGGCGGTCTGGGCGGCAGCGGCGGCGGCGAGGGTTTTGTTTTCACTGCGGAGACGGCGGCCTTACCACGGCGTGGCCCACGCAAGTCAGGGACAGCCGTACCAACACGGCCGCATTCACCGTCCTCACCACCAGCACTCACTACTAACCACAGCATTAGCCAACAGGCCAATAAATTACCCGCCACTGCCATCACTCACGACCAAGGACAGCACTCACGGCAACCACCAATCACCACAAACGTCTCCAATAACAGCCCTTGCAACTACCTCTTCAGATGCACAGGACACTAACGCAGCCGCTCCTCTGTCACTCACCGCTAACCACAAAGCTCGCCACAACACCGATAGTCACAACCACCGGCCACCACTCACCACCGGAACTCACTGCCACCACTAATTACCAGCACCAGCGGCCCCTCCAGGGGATTCTGGGACGGTGCCACTTGGACGCCGAGCCAGACGGAGCGAGCGCCAGCCCCGTGTCCCCGTGACCCCTGACCCCGGCCGACCTGCACAGCTTCGGCTTCTCTTGACCGACCGGGGGAGTTGAGCCGTCCTGGGAAACCCGCGCTTCTTGGCAGGATGAGGGAACATTCCTCGGAGTGTTTTGTTTCTTTTATTCGGTTATGGAAGCACTTCCCCGCTCGTATTATTTTACAGAAGTTGTAATTTCCTTCTCCCCACCGCGCTCTTCAGTTTCATTATACGACGGGCAAAACACTTCACGCCCAGCGCCTCCCGTCTCCTGGCCAACGCCCTCCCCCTCCTCACAGACCTTCGCTCAACTCTCCTCTCCCAGCCTCTCACTGTAGTCTCCCCATACACGCTGCCGTTCCCCTGTCAGACATCCTGCTGCTTCTCTCTCCTCTCTCAGGCACCCTGTCCCTCCTCTCCTGGCTTTTATTTTTTCTCCTCCTAAGCATCCAGTTCGCCTTTCTGGCCCCTCAGGGGCCTCTCGCCCTGCATGATTGAGATGGGGGCCATGGCGCGGACCCGGGGAGGCTGTAAATTTTGTCACCAGCGAAATCCAGACCCTGCAATTCCACCGGATGAAAGCCACCACCGTGCCCACTCACGCACGCACAAAGATCCCCCGTGCAGCCTAAAACAGGTTGTTGAGACAAGTAAATATGTACGCTGAACATCTTTCGCACCGTAGGTAGCCAATCATTTGAAGCGAAGGTGCGAGGGGGAAGGACAGCAAACTAGAAAGTGGTGTTAGCGAACAACGATGAAGACCAATACAGCGCACAAGTGGCTGCCTTTATCTCCCCAGTGCTGATATTTAAACACCACCCCAGGTAACTAATTTAAGACTCAGTCGACCTAGCGGAGGCCGAGGACCAGTTTATATGTCCGTCACCAGTGTTGACTGTGAACAGGAATCGAACTCGGGTCGCTGGGTACGTAGCGCAGCGCGCTAACCACTACGCTGCCGCTCCCTACTCGCACACTTGGCACATGCACAGACGTGCACGGGTCAACGCCAGGCGCACTGCACAGACACACACACTGAGATGCACGCACCGAGATGCACACACGCATGCGCCACATTCTACAGCGGCCGTTGGGTGACGTGCGAGTTCCTTTCTGTCCACTCTGAGAAAAAAAACCCACACCCGTTGTTCGTTTTTTCTCGTTTCCCTTTTATTAACCTGTGCACCGCCGCCACGGCGTTTGTTTCCCTCTATTTGCCCAGGGCGGGCGGGCGGGCGGGCGGGCCCGATGGCCAGACAGGCTCGCCGGCTTCCCGGCCAAGAGCAACAATAATATTTTGTGGGGACGCCGGCGAGGGCACGTTGGGGTTAAACGTCCCCAACGTCCCCCCCCCCTCTCCTCCTCCTCCTTCTCCACCTCCTCCTCCACCTCCTCCTTCTCCACCTCCTCCTTCTCCACCTCCTCCTCACGCACGAAGCCAGGAGGACGTCCGCCAATCGTTTTGGCCGTTTGCCGCAGCAGTGCGCGACGGTGGCTCCTGCCCACGGCCACCCGAATTATCGCGGTGACGGGAATCCCCCGGCGGTCACGCTGGGGGTGAGGGGGCGCGCTCATGAAATATTCCGCTGAACGCGCACGCTGCGCGCATCCGATAAGTTCCTCGCGGTATCGTCGGTTTATCTTCCCCGCCGCGTCCCATCGCCGGGCTGGGCCGAGGCCTCTCGCAAGCGGTTGCCGTGGCAACGCTCACGGGGTTCGCGGCGGACATGTTCGTTCTGAATCCAAGCAGAGGGGTTGGGGGAGAGGGGAGGGGGTGTAGGGTAGCCAGCTGCATGGTCACCATGGTGACGAGCACGTACATCACCGAGACACACGGCTGGATTCGCTACCCCCTGCCAAAAAAAAATGTTTTGGGATATAACGACAATACCGGAAGAGGGGAGAACTACATCCCGGGTTAAACACAATTAACTCACAAATGGCAAGGGGATTTAGAATACCTAAAAGGCGGTGTTTTGGCAATGGCCGTTCTACCGTGCAGTGGGCCATGAAAGCGGAATTATTGATAAACGCGTTGAGTTCTTGTCGCACGAAAAAACATTGTCTTGAGTGGCAAATGATTATCATTATTATTACGTGACAAACGACCGAGACTGTCCCCGAGAAGACCGACAGATTTCCCAGGACAGCAGCTACCTCATCAACAAGAGGCAGCTCCTCAACGACCCTGAATAGAAAACGAGGACGAGATGGCAAGGCCCTCTCCTCCCCTCCGGCCGAGCGCCCCGGCCCTTGACGAGTGGGCGCAGACCCCCCCCCCCCCCCCCCCAGGGTACCCGTCACATTAGCTCGTGTTGGACTACCCTCTGGTAACGAATCAAAATTCAACAGCTGTGCGACGAGCAGGCTCTCCCGCTTTGATTTTGTGTCCGACCTCGTCAGCGCAAGCGTAGTGATTTTTTTTCTTTTTCAATCAATTAAATTACTATTTAGTGCTAAAGAGCAAATCACCGCGGCGGCTTTTAACGAACAAGCGTAAATTAAATGATTGTTC